AGTCGCTAATAGGGCATGTGCTAGAACGTTCCAGCGTTCGCCGCCGCGACGCCGCGACAGGAACTTAGGAAGGACCGCCCGACTGACTTAACATATATAGTACCTCATGTACGCGACCGAGATTTGCAACTGCATAGTCGCTAAAGTCGATCAATGGTCCGAGCATAGTTGGGACGGTGCCGGTGTGTACACACCTTCACGCCATTAATTTACTTTGAGCGGGTATTGCTGTCTATCCTAGTACATCGTCATCGTGAGCATAACCCCGTCGAGGTCTGTAAGAGCCTGTCGGATATAACACTGCATATCGGTCTTCATCATCAAAATAGCACGATGTGCTGAACGCTCTGAGATCAGCTGAAGCGATGTGCACCCCGGATGATGTGGCAATGTAGTACACAGACTAGTATGATCAAAGGTCAAGGTCGACTCACCCATAAGCAGCAATCTTGGCGTAATGATCAGCAACGCAGCAGATATCATTGTCATACGCCCTGTCAATTGCGAAGACCATGCGTATGGCGGGGCGGAGCAGTACGTTAAGCCTGAAAAATGAGTGACTGAAGGTCGCATACACGCGTGAGGTCTTACAACTCGTGCTGATGCAAGCTGACTACAGTTTTCGCAATGATGTGCGCAGGCCAAGGAGGCAAGTGTCTATTGACTTAATGGTGGCTCTGGCATGAGATGCTACCATGTACACTGCGGATACGATACTTGATTTCATCATGAGTAGGCCGAAGATCTCGTTATATCGGCTAATAGTATAGAACAAATATTGAATGACTTGGGCTTCAAATGTCTCCAGCACTCATTGAGTCTCCGGATGCACCCTTGTGACAAAAGTTGAGACAAGTCCCTCGAGGCTTAACCCCCATGCCTTGCTACACTTTGCGCTCGCTAATCCCTAGTGGAAAATAGCCTCTCAAATGCCGAAGTATTTCGCTAAATATACGCAGAGCCTAAGGGGGTCTCTCGTGCGGGAACAAGAGCAACCTTTAGATTGGAGCATTGTGACACCGTCTAATGCGTTACAATGTGACGGGCAAAAGTGCGACACGTCAGTGTATCTCGCACTACCTCCTCCAGTCTTATCCCTTTCATAAAGTTGGTATGGCGTATATCAACCAGCAATGGCTTTTCGGCCAGTTGCCCAGGCTTATGGCACAGCCGGTGGGCACTTGGGGTATCTCATATGATGTTTACACACATCCCTCGGAGGATCCTGTTCCTTATGAATGGCAGTCGCACCGCTGTATGTGCTATTTCTCCATGCTCATTCACAGGCCACCATCCTTGTTCATTCGATGACAACGATTTACAGCAAATACCTACCGCGAATTGCTCAAAGTGTTGCGAGCCAATGGCTTTGTACACCACCAGTATTCTGACCAACGCCAAGACAATATCACGGCTCTATTCACATTCCTGACAATGCTTCGTCTTGTGATCATCCTCCCCCTTGACAAGTTACCGACGACAATCAAAGGTAAGGAGTACTGATTTATTCTGACTATGTTTTACCCGCTGATCGAGCGATTGATATCGTAGGGCTGAAAATGCATTACATCGATGATATGGCTCTGTTTGACGTGACCGACGAGGTCAGGTTAGGGGGCAATGTTTCTCCACGGTTGAGTGGCCCGGCGCCGAGAAGGCTGGTTCACAACCTGGTTGGAGCAGGTCATTTGCTACTTCAGCCACCTGGACCTGTACCACAAGAACACCCTGGTGTCCCACCACGACATACTCGACACAATGCTGCTTCTAGGAATGTCAACAATTATGTAATGTAAAATGAATTCCTTTACTGCACCAGGGTGGACCAATCTCGTCCAAGTCTGTTGGTTGATACTGGGTTGTCTAGCATACATGTCAAGGATGTGCCGCAGGTTGTCTCCCGTGTCGCACCATTCTCTATCAGGCTAAAAAGTCCTCATTCCTTCGTTCGTCAAGTTGTCTGCTGGTGAAGAAGATGTACAGACAATGATGCACAGCCTTTCATGTAAGGAGCGATCTGCCTACAAACTTGAGATAAGTGGGTGGTTTGTTGCCCATACTTCCCCATGCTTGACCGCACTTTGGCTGGCAGTAATAGAGATACCACGTTTATTCAGCCGAAAATGAAACTGCCAGTCCCTACCGACGTGAACGTGATCACGCTCCCCTCCAGCGTCGCCCCACTGTGTAGCACCTCCACCACCGGCGCTGTCTTCAGCCCGGGCACCGTCGCAAGGTCGAACATCTCATTTGCATAATTCAGGTTCGTCGCAAGCACGAGAGTCTTCTCGCCGACAGTCCACAAGCCGATATCGATCTGGTTGGAAAATACGTGCTGGAACACCGCAGCATCATTCAGAATATACTCTTTCAACGTCGCAGAGGACTGCGCGAGCACCGATGCGTACTCCCAGATGTCGTCCGTGGTCGGTGCGGCCCAGGCGATGACACCTGAGGACGACGAACAAAGTCAGCACCCGCCACGGGAAAGCGGCGGGCGACCACCTTACCTGTGCCGCCGTGGTTGATGGCGAGCGCGCTCTGCAACACAAACTCCGGTCCGGTAGGCCACCCCGTCCAATATCTTGCATCCCATGCTGAGCTTGCCGCTTCGATATGCATGATGACACGACAACTCACTCTTCATCACCGAATGCTTGAGGGACGGCCCAGACGGTCTTGGATCTGTCCCACCCGTTCACCCACAGCCTATACGCGAAGTGGTCCATGCGCTCGCTGATGTCCTCAAACACACCCTTGCAGTCGTCGCAGCCGCAATCGCCGAAGTCCGGCGTGCACGGCGTGTGCTAAACTCACGATCATTCGCCGTGTTGGTCCCGCAAAGCATGGCAGGATCACTCACCCATTCGCTGGAGAACGTGGCGTTGTTCGAGATCATGTACGTGTCCTGCATCACGATGTCTGCGCCGGCCGTGTAGTTGCTCCAGTAATAGTCGTAGCAGTTCAGGCACAGCGACACGGGGTGGTACCCGTCGAGCTCGTAGATGAGGTCGTACGCGTGGGCGGCCGCGTCCAGCGGGTCGGATGAGCCGTCTGGCTCGTCGCCCGTGTACCACAGGAGCAGCGCGGGGCTGTTCTTCACCAAGTTTACCTGCGCCGTAAGTTCGGTGTCGTTCATGTACGCCCTACGGCGCGTCAGGCGCGTGAACTTGAGCGAGTCCCAGCGCACTCACCATCGCATGTCATACATTAGATACATGCCTACTTCCTCTATGCGCGCGATGACTTCCTGCAGCTGCGTCAGATTTCCGAACGTCGGGATCGGGTGTATCTGGTCTGTCATGTCAGTGCCGCGCTCAGCAAGCGCCGTCGGGTACCTCACGCACGATGTTGAATCTAGGACAACGGTCAGAGGGGAGGGAGCACAGAACGGCTCGACTCTTTGCTCACCCTTTCTCTTGTGCCTCGTTGATCAGAGACAGGTTCGCGGCGATGTAGTTAGTAAAGCCCGTGAAGAATCCGACCGGCAGGACTGTCTCATAGTCGCCGCCATTGCCCGTAGCAGGCTTCGCGAGCAGCGCACCCGTACGCGCGTCCATCTTTACGACAGAGCTGCCGTCCGTGGGCGAGGGCACATACGCCAGTTCCGTTGACGCGGTGAATGTCTCCAGCCCATTGTGTGCTGCATATGTCGCAGAGCACGTCACATCATATATCCCCTTCTTCGGCGCAAGCTCGAGGAGGGAGAAGGACAGCTCATATTTCGTCACGTTCAGTGGGACAATGCCTGTAGAAAGCCGCTTGCCTTCCGCCTCAATGATCACAGAGAGCACACCCAGTGGGCCCTCTTCCGGAATGCCCACGGGAGCTGTGCCCGCGATCTCGGAGTAGACGATGGGTGTGTCAATGAGGATCGCTGCGGACGTGAACGCGTCTTCTGGCAAGTATGGCTTGATGACAGGCGCGCAGCGGAATGCTAGCAGTGGCGAGAACGACGTCGCGGGTATGGGGAACTGCCCACCTGGCGGCACGATTGGCGAGCCTTCCATGTAGTTCTTGCCGCACCTGTAGATCAATGTCAGGCCGTCCGTTTAGAAATAATTTACGCTATGGGCATACCATGTCTGCGCCAACGCGGCCCCCGCTGAGGCGAATACAGCGATGAGCCCAAGACGAAGCATATCGTACACCAGGCTACCTCATTATGGACCCCATATGGTAGGACATATATACACAACTTGAGGTTTCAGAAAAAGGAAATGAGGATTTGAATCGGGGAAACAAGACCCGAGGCTTGTCGAATGGTGCAGCATGGTCTCAGGCGTCGTGATGACCCTGAAGCCGAGCAGCACCTTCGATGTCTGGTTGGGTGACAGCAATGGCCCAGGATCGCGCCCTCACCGTGGCATTCTAGTGTCTGCCCTGCGTGCTGGCTGGTTGTATGCAACGATATTCATCTCACGCAACAACTTGCTGATTCAGATATATGAAGCTGCGTTCAATACGCTCATTTATGTGATCTAGCATTGACTGGACTAGGCCACACAAAAGCGAAATCGGAAGGAAGCATGAGTGGTGGAAACGTAATAAGTCAAAGCACAACCTTATATCAAGCCGTTATGTTGTCTGATAAGGGCTTGCCCTAAAGCAGACCATTTGACTTCCACAATTCGGACGAGTGTCACTTGCATGTTACCTCATGCGCATACATTCGGACTGTGCACATTGTTACGGCACATCCCAAGGCTAGGTGTATAGGCATTTGCAACGACTGAGATGTGATCACGATAATCAGGGGCCCTTCTCCTTGCATTCGAATGTGACTCGTGACTGAGTATTAGCCATGCCTATGCTCGCCTCCACTTTGATACTCTGTTTCCATATGATGAGCCCAGTTCAGTCATTCCCATCTGAATTACACATTGCTGATGTCGAATTTGTGATGCTTTGATTGCTATGCATAGCCTCGCGCGTTCGTTCATTGAGCGGTCGTGTACTGACAGCTTATCAGCGTTGGACTCGCCGGTAGCTGTCCATGACAGGGAGGTACGTACAACGGTATCTAGACGGGTGCCATAATAAATTCATCTGCTAGTGGCTCCGAGACGCATGGTGCAAGTAGCGAAGGTCCAGTGTATAATGTCAAGCCCACCCATTTCATTCCCAATGTGAAACATCATTGAACTCTATCTTACGTGATTCTGCATCAAGCTTGAGGGTCCCTGGGTTTCTTGCGCCACTATGATCTGAGTACGCTGGAAGGTCTCCCCGCTACGGTGCATGAGAGCTAGTACTCTTGGCAATTGGTAGTTGTATAGGTAAGATGCAGTGAGTACCTTCACCGACCCTCTGTGATGCGAGGGCGCTTTTGTACGGTTCGTATTGGTATACTGAATAATTCTACCAACGCGATGTTACCGGGGCTCGTATTTGCCGTGTTGTGTCTCTGAAACAGGATAAGTCCGACAGAACTGGACCGTGCAAACACGTTCTACCTCAGGCAGATAGCTACGAGCCAACAATGCTTCTTGTGTTTGGGGACCCGCCAGATACAATGTTCAGGTCTGACATCGCTTTGCAGTTTGGCGTCGGACTCATACAGAAAAGACGGTGCGCGTGAATGAGCAGGAAGATGCGTGCACGAGTAGCCATCACCTCTGTCTACACGCTAATTATTGTGGTCACGAATCGACTATGACGTGGTTGGCGTGCGATGTGTTTGGACTGTTGAAATCATGCTCACTTCATTTATGCTGTAGCGTGTACGTCCAGGGCGCAAGCCAGCATGGGCTCACCGACTTAAGTTGCTGCTGATCTGTCGTCGGCAATGTGGCCCAAGATTGCCTGGATACGCTCGCGCCCGTACCGAGATTGTCGCATTTTGCCTTTTTGGGAGAGACTTCTACCTGATATAGCCAGATGGCGCTGAGGATCGAACTTCCAAGTCGACACTCCCCTGTCTTTCTCAAGGCGATGCGTCGTCCGTGTATTCCTCGCAGCTAATGGCTTGCAAATCTCTCTGGTCAATCGGGGTGTCTCTTTGCAAACCGAATTGCGCACGATGCACGATGCACGTGACGTCAACGGACGATGCAGCATTCAGGCCGGGATGCGCTTTCTGGTATGACTTTCCACACAAAATGGAAGACATCGTAGGTCTCCGACAACCATGGATCCTTACGCAAGTTGTGGTGTGCATCAGATGTATGTGCGGCTCGAGTGCCAAACGCCCTGCCCTAAAGCGATGCGATGCACGTGGAGATGGACTGACTCCATTTTTCATGTTATCGTTAAAGACATCTTCACTTTAATCCTTGTCCCTCATCTCCTTGCAAAATGACCTCCGTTGGCACCCTTTGGACAATTCCCCAGCAGGATTACGGACGCAGGGTGCGAGCTCTCGCTTCGATTTTCAATCTCGTGCTAGCCAATATGAACATAAACCACAGATCCGTGCGATCGTAGCGTTCGCCGGCCTCTCCATCGACCTGCCCGAAACATACGTGCACTTCGAAACGAACAAAACCCCTGCGTTCCTCGCCAAGTTCCCCCACGGCAAGATTCCCGCGTTAGAGACTACGGATGGCTTCAAGCTGTTCGAGACGCAGGCCATCGCCCGTTACAGTGAGTATCCGACGTCCGGACGTGCTGGTTTTACAGGACGAGAATATATCACATCAGTTATCCCTGTCTTAACCTCTCTTGGAGGCCGTGTCGAGCATCCATTCATTGATCTGATTTTTCACCATTTTGCTTCATTAGCCGCTTGAGCGCGAACTTCATTGACACTGCTTTCTCAGTTGCTTCGCTAGCCCCCAACACTACTCTCTTAGGCTCCAACATCAAGGAGGCTGCTCTGGTTGACCAGTGGTCCGCCTTTACCGACAGCGAGCTCAATGCGCCTGGGCGCATCATTTTCCAGCTTCTCATTGGCGCGATCACACCCTACACCAAGCCAGTATGTCATCAGGCCGAGCGTACAACAAGGGTCATCTGATATCTTGCGTAGGTTCACACCACCATGGTTGAGCGCCTGGAGCGTGCACTCAATACCGTGGAGAAGCACCTGGCGACGCGGACGTTCCTCGCAACGGAGCGCATCACCGTCGCTGACATTACGCTTGCGTCCGTTGTCCAGCGCCAGTGCTCGTTCGTGATCGACGCGCCCTTGCGCGCGAAACTCCCCAACCTCCTGCGACACTACGAGACCATCGTCAACCACCCGTCGTTGAAGGCAGTCTTCGGCGAGACCGAGTTCTGCGAGAAGGCGCGGCAGTACACTCCCCCCGCGAAGGAGAAGAAGGAGCCCAAGCCCGCAGCAAAGCCCGCAGCAGCACCCGCACCTAAGGCTGAGAAGAAACCCAAGGCAAAGGAGGTGGACGACGAGGAGGACGACATCCTCGTGCCGGAGGAGCCCAAGGCGAAGAACCCGCTTGACTCATTGCCCAAGTCTACCTTCAACTTGGAGGACTGGAAGCGCGCGTACTCCAACAAGGAGACGCGTGGCGCTGGCGGAGCGCTTGAGTGGTTCTACGAGCAGTGCGTTCTATGCAATGTGTATTTATTGATCTAGCACGCTAATGGCGAACGCGCAGCTTCGACGCGGAGGGCTTCTCCGCGTGGCGCGTGGACTTCAAGTACAACAACGAGCTCACGCAGACATTCATGTCGTCAAACCAGATTGGTGGTTTCTTCAACCGTCTGGAGGCATCTCGCAAATACCTGTTCGGTTCGGTCGGTGTTCTCGGGCAGACCAACGACTCGATCATCAGTGGTGCCCTCATCCTACGCGGGCAGGACGTCAAGGGCGTTGTCGACGTCGCGCCTGACTGGGAGTCGTATGAGTACGTAAAGCTCGACCTGAGCAACGCCGAACAGAAGGCGTTCTTCGAGGCTGCGCTCGCCTGGGATCTTGAGATCGACGGCAAGAAGTGGGTGGATGGCAAGAACGTAAGCTCGCATCGCTCTACTATTGATCAATGACGGTGCTGATGAATGATCCTCGCACAGTTCAAGTAGACTTTTTTTCCTGCATTTTCTGTCTGATTCTGGTTTGCCTACATTCTGTGCTGTCTTTGTTGTGCTACCATCATCGGGGGACGTGTTGTGCTGTTGCAGTAGATCACAATGCAAAAAGAATATAAAAGTGTATCATACATCGATGTCTATTCTTCACTCAGTCTGTTGATCCTATCGCTGAACCACCGCACGAGAGCGCTTGCGCCAGCCGCAATTAAGAATGAGCCATCGAACAGCGCGCCGAATAGTTGATACTCAGGCAATGTTGAGAATAGGTTCACTGAGTCCTCGTTTGCGCCTGTGTCTGGTCGCACTGGTGGTGGCGGGAACGATGTGCGCAGCTGAACAAGCGTCGACAGCAGGTAGATACCCTATACCACAGGTGAACAACGTCAGCAGTCAGATGATAGCGGAAACTTACCATCAGCTGCGCGAGGATAAGCAGCATGAGCGACGCGCCCAAATTACGACTCGTCACACGCAGGACCTATGCTCGCAGACACAGCTGAGCAAAGGCTGACTACAACACGCGGTGCACTTACTCTCGCCACGCCGCGTAGCACAAGGCGCAAACTGCTCAGGATGATCACGCCGACCAACGCGAGGCTGATCTGCCGAGAGATGACAGCTACGTCTTCCGGTGGGATGTGCACGGACGGGAGGAGCCCAACGAGGTACGCGAGCCCCATGCTGATCATGTCCGCGCCTGCCTTGGCCGCCTCTTCTGGGTCTGACGACCGGCGCGAGGGAAGCAGGAGATTCAGGATGGACTGTCAGCACTTTTGAGAGATCGTTCAAGGCTGGGGGAACGTGAACAACGCACGTTGATGATGCGGTATGCGCAATATAGGGCGAAGAGGCGGCCGCCCCAGTTGAACGCCTTGCCGGCGAGCGTCCGCGCGAACTTGGCGTCTGCCTGACGCTGCTTGAGTTGCTCGAGGTTGCGGGACATTTGGTACTCAAGCGCTTCGAGTCCGCTGAGTTCCTGCCGCACCGAGGAGAGCTCTGTGGTAGGATGGATGACGTCGAGTTATATGCGCGTCAGCGGAAGCAAGGACTTACGAGGGTCTCCACTGAAGCTGGGCATCATCTTGGAGAACCAGCTGGCATCCGGGTCGGGTTGCTGGGGAGTACGAGTCGACGACTGTGCGTCCTGACGGGAGAAATAGCATACCTGAGCGGCTTCTAGCTTCTGCACGTCCGCGCGGCGCTGTAAAAGATCATGTTGTATCCGGCGAAGTCCGTCGTCTGCTATCCGTACGTCTTCTTCCGTGGGGAATGGTCTACAAAATCACGGCGCATTAGTCTGGGAGGTACATCGAATAAGGAAGTGTCGACGACTTATTGGTACCGTAGAACACGGGGAAAAAAGTCCACGCCGTATTGATAGCACCGAAACCAGACAGGGCGCCCAAAATAATTGTCCCCAACACGGTCAGGCGCGACAGAGCTGTTACTACGATATTGGCCGATGGTAGTGCGGATGGCAGGGGAATATATGATAGGAAAAATAGGAACAAGCCGACGGGTACCATATTGAGGCATACGCGCAGGGCGGATGGACGTTGTCGCATATGCATTCCTATGCAAGGTTAGTCTCGTGTATCGGTACGCAAAATAAGGCTGGCTTACCAGGTCCTCTGGATGAACTGTCACTCAAGACGAGGCTATATGACAACGGTATCAGAGCTAAGATGGCTGCTAATAGCAGGGATAGCGAGATATTCCAGTTGAGAAGTCGTGCGCTGAAATGAGTGGTCAATGCCTTCGCCCGCGATCCGTTTGAAGGTTTACGCGAACCGGACGTGGAATATATCTATTGCTTGGCACATTAGGAGCAGAAACATGGTGCAGCTCTCTGAGAAGCACAAAGAGAACATAGCCCTTGAGATTGTTGAATGGAACGGCCGTTTTGCTACTACTACTGCATCACGTCTCGTCGACGGAGTCGTTGTGGACGTCGGCAGTGTATCGAGCTCAACGCCTGTGTCATCCAGTGGGATTCCGGTGTCGTTTGACGAGTGCGCTGAGAGGTCCTGGAGATCGTGATAGAGATTACGTAGCAGGTACTTTCTGCACGCAAAGAAGAGACATAATCTAGCATATATGCAGATTGTTAGCCATATTTTCTACTGCAGGCGTAGAAGGTAAGCAACCTTGATCCAGTCAAGAGCGCTGTCTCGAGCGCCACTGTGCTCCCTGACATGCTTGCCACCGATGGATGTAACGGTCAAAGCTCTAACTCCACGCCAAACATGCGTTTTGTGGATTTGGTCGAACACGCAGTCGAGCGCAGCCGCTGTGCACTGGCAGCAGGTTTCGGGTCGCGGAGATTGTAAATCTAGATGGACGCTGGCTCGGAGTAGCACAAGTTGGACAATAGCCGCTCGGGAGGTGATCTTAGTCCAATCTCAGAAAGACTATCCAAGTTCTCAGTGGCTGGTCTCAAAAGCAGAATATGAAATCAAGTACAAGAAATGAACATATAGTAGCTACATGGCCATTTGAGACTCCAGATTTATTCTATCAAGTCTAGCATCATCGTCATCCTTCCAGCCATCCGGGCTAATATCAGAAAACCTTTCGCCATGATCATGATTAAACAGAGTATCACGAAGCCAAGCACGACGTAAAGTAGATCCAGGTAACAAAAGAAAATTCTTAAGTTCATTTTGCTTTTTCCAAAGAAATTCCAAAACAATCACGATTTGTAAAGGGGTAAGCCATTTCTCAGCCTCCACCGTTGCTGCTGCCTCGTCAAATTCATCTGGCAAGGTAGCAGGTGTTGATGGCCCAGGATTAACTCGTAGATTTATCATAGCAAGAATAGTTTGAGTTAGTTCGTCCAGCCGACAAGGGAGCCGATCATCTCTGTAGCGTTTTTTAGAAGCATGCGAGATGGGAGAATTGGCTTTGTGCTTCCGACCAGCCAGAGAGATTGAGTCAGAAGGTGCAAGAGACTGTGAGTATGTAGTGATGGCAGAGCATGGACGAGAGGATGGAACTGGAGAAGGTGAGGGAGCAGAAGCTGGCTGAGAACTTCGACAAGTTTGTCTTCTTTTACCGTGGTCCACCGGGCTCCTGTGGATCTTAAAGCCTCCTGACATTGCGAAGTTGTCTGATTCTAGGCTTCCGAGTTGCCGCTCTCGCCGTTTTGCAAGGTCTGAGAGCGAGTCTGAACCATAGCGCTAGTATCAAAGGAGCACGGTGCGGGGCAGCGAAAATGACACCGAGCTGTGATGGGAGACGTCAGCCCGGCGTGAGCCGTTAGCCGCCCGGTGTGATGTTTGCTTTTGGACGCGCTCTAAGCATCTTCTCCGATACAACAAAATTCAACTCAGCTGTTCACAGAGATCCGACATGGATATCGGAACCAACAAACATCTTTCCCACATTGCCATTGCGCTGCTCCAGAACTGCAATTTTGATCCATTGAGAACAGAGAGGTTCGCTATACCAATGTTCGTGCATATCTGCCGATTGTCAAATATACATTACCAAACTATGCGCGTCCAAGATTTTAACCCAAGATGAATCCACCAGTCCCTACCGACGTGAACGTGATCACGTTCCCCTCCAGTGTCGCGCCGCTGTTAAGCACCTCCACCACCGGCGCCGTCTTCAGCCCGGGCACCGTCGCAAGGTCGAACGTCTCGTTTGCATAGTTCAGATTCGTCGCGAGCACGAGCGTCTTCTCGCCGACGGTCCACAGTCCGATATCGATCTGGTTGGAGAATACGTGCTGGAATGTCGCGGCGCTGCTCATAATGTACTCTTTGAGCGTCGACGACGACTGCGCGAGCATCGACCCGTACTCCCAGATGTCGTCCGTGGTCGGTGCATCCCAGGATACAACGCCTGCGCCGTGTTAGAATACACGCAGATTGCGAGGGACTGAATCAGACTCACCCATGCCACCGTGGTTGATGCCGAGCACACTTTGCACGACGAATTCCTGTCCCGTGGGCGTGCGCGGCCAGTACCTTTTGAAGTCGCTTCAGATGATCTCCTACTATATCCAGCATGGCAGCACTTACTCAGCCCCACCGAAGCCCTGAGGCACCGTCCATACTGCCTTCGTCCTGTCCCAGCCGTTGACCCACAGGCGGTAGGCGAACAGATCCATGCGATCACTGATGTCCTCAAAGACACCCTTGCAGTCGTCACATCCGCAGCAGCCATAGTCTACGGTACATGGTGTGTGCTGTTGTCCTGTTGTGTCAACTCATTGCCATCACAAATGGTCCTAAATACACTGACCCACTCAACGGAGAACGTGACGTTGTTCGAGATCATGTACGTATCCTGCAGCACGATGTCCGCCCCGGCCGTGTAGTTGCTCCAGTAATAGTCGTAGCAGTTGAGGCACAGCGACACAGGATGGTACCCATCGAGCTCGTAGATGAGGTCGTACGTGTGGGCGGTCGCATTCAGCGGATCGGACGTGCCGTCCGGCTCATCGCCTGTGTACCACAGCAGTAGTGCAGGGCTGTTCTTCACCAAGTTTACCTGCTCCGTAACCGAGGTGTCGTTCATATATGTCCTGCGACGCGTTGAGTATAGGAAGGGGGCATATCGTGGCACACCTACCATCGCATGTCGTACATCAGGTACATACCGACTTCTTCCATGCGCGTGATAACTTCTTGCAGCTGCGTAAGGTTGTCATATACAGGAATGGGGTGGATCTACTCCGAGGTCAGATGGAGGCTGCCATCCACGGCATCCGCCGCACGCACAATAGTATAACTAACAACATGTCAATACAGGCACACATACCTTCGACCGGTCGACTCACCCTTTCTCCTTTGCTTCGTTGATCGTGGATAGGTTCGCTGCGAGATAGTCGGCGAACGCAGTATAGAATCCAACAGGCATCACAGTCTCGTATGCACCACCCTTGCCCGTCGCAGGTTTAGCGAGTAACGCACCCGTACGCGCATCCAATTTTACAACGGAGCTGCCGTCCGTGGGTGAGGGCGCATACGCCAGTTCCGCCGACGCGGTGAACGTCTCCACTCCGCTCAGCGTCGCATAGGTCGCAGAGCACGTCACATCATATGTCCCCTTCTTCGGCTCGAGCGCGAGGAGGGAGAACGGCAGCTCAAACTTCGTCGCGTTCAGAGGAACAATGCCCGTGGAGAGTAGCTTGCCTTCCGACTCAATGCTTACAGAGAGCACACCCAGTGGGCCCTCTTCCGGAATACCCACAGGAGCTGTGCCTGCGATCTCGGAGTAGACGATGGGCGTGTCAATGAGGATCGCCGTAGGCGTAAGCGCATCCTCTGGCAAGTATGGCTTGATGGCAGGCGCGCAGCGGAATGCTAGCAGCGGCGAGGACGACGTCGCTGGTATGGGAAACTGCCCGCCTGGCGGCACGATTGGCGAGCCCTCCATATAGTTCTTGCCACACCTGCGTGGGAGCGACTGACGTGAGGCATCTCCTGCGCAACACCTTGCTATACACGTACCATGTCTGCGCCAACGCGCCGCCCATCGAGGCGACCACAACGGCGAACCCAAGACGAGTCATGTTGCGTGAAGGAGCTGGAAGACCGCACCGTGCGACGGACCGCCGACGAGTTCGCATACGGCGATATAAATATGCTTATTTCAAAGGTCATGCATGATAGGCCAAGGGGATCAATCCCGGTGCATGTGGGGGCAGCGTACGGCATGGGCACAGGCGTCGTGATAGCCCTGATCCGAATCGTTTTCGATAGCTGTGATAGCGGTCATGCAGAATCATTCCGTTGGTATAGCATAGTTCGAATTCAATTGGCGGGATCAAAGTTGAGCGACTGGTTTATTGGGTCTACTTTCCGTTCGAAAGTTATATAGTACCCGCAGCAACTAGTCCGTAGCGAACACCGAGTCTGTATCATTGTCGTGATAGATCGTATCGAGAGCAAGGATGGAAGTGTATATCAGGGATGTGAATATCGGGTGAATCTCAGCCATGGGGTGTGGAAGCTTGCCCTAAACTGCCGGCATTGTAAACTTTGAACGTTTGAACCTTGCGTCCGAATCAACAAATGTCTACTCTGGTGTCCCTTCACAATCGTCTTACTATCTGAAACATCCTGTCAGCTGAAAATGCTTACGGTGCAGTTGACAGAAATGTTAGAAGTAGCCTCGAGGGCGAAGACATGATGTGATCCGTGGATGCGACCCCACATGCCCAATCAGGCGACGACGTTGGTGAGTACATTTTCCAAATCGTCCTTACGCCGGTGTTTGCGTATGATGAGTCTAATTGCATTCAGTTATCCCTGTCTGAATCACATACTATGTGCATGTCGATATTGTATTGCTCTGATTTATTTCCATTGCATTGAATTGTGGTCACCGTTTGTTGAATGATCAGTGCTAATTGCTCTACGCAGGTCAATCGTCGGGGTTTCAAAATATAGCCTCGAGCTCCTAGCTACATTGGCGTGCATTACTGTGAATTCAAATGCAAAGGTACGTACGGTCATGCCGAGATACTAGTCGGCATGAGCCAGTCGCTAGCTGGTGGAGGCGCATGGTGCGCCTCCTTCGATTCAGGGGCTCCGTGTCAGTACCTAGCAACATGTTCACCTACGTAGTGCCTTTGATGGATAACGCGACTGCCGACGGCCCTCCGTCGCAGTCCAATATTTTCCTTGCATTATCTTGACACCCTCGGAGTGGATGCGGCAAATGATCATTCACTGCTATCTGCCGCTTCGCGGTCTCGAGTACGGAATCAGTAGCGGGTGTGTTGAAGCTTGCAGAAAATTGTTATATATAACCACTTGGAGGACTCTCGATGACGCATCGTTCGTGTCTGTCCAACACCATGAACACCCGGTCATGGCGTGGCAAGCAGCATTCTAAGACACTGAGCAATGTTGTCGATATTGGTCGATATCGGACATTTCGCTGCACTCATCATGGCCGCCACCATTAGTGCGTTCTTGCCAACTTCCTTCCGCCGATCGCGAAGGGGGTCGATAGTCTGTACACCTACCTTATGGGTGTCCCTCATGCCTTATGACACTGTGCTCACGGCCGCGGCTAGATATTGCAAGGTATATATGTACAACTTGTTGAGTCGCTGCAATTCAAGCGTGGGTCCATGTCTCATTATTCACTCCGATATACATTTGGGTTGACAGAGGAATCACAGGGAAAGATCAGACGGGACATATAGCACTCCCCTGGATTGAGTCCACCTATCTCTTCCGCCCTTCGAAGCGTCTCATTCGGTATTTATGAATGGTACAGAACAGTCACTTTGAAGGCAGTCCATGCTGAAATCTGCCACCGATGCTCTGACGTCATATTAGTTCATGACGGTCGTCGTCGCGCAGTTAGAGGGTACTTCTGAGCGGCCAGTGGGAATCATACTCTTACGATGAGTCCACATGGTCTCGCGTAGAGTCGCATCATTTGGCAGGCTGGGCAGGCTCCGTCCTACGAACGTATACGCTCACCGAGCTCGTATACCTGGGATTTGGAGCGTATCAGGGGTGCGTTGGGGACCGTCAGTACACCGTCTCGATGTCGACAATGAATGCTGACCACAACCGACAGGAACTGGACAAATCATCTGATGGGGTCTTCATATCGACTATCCCAGCCCTCCCACCTTCTACGTTAGTCTACGAGAACCATGCACCGGGGATTCGCTTCGCTTGCACACCTTCTGTCATCCGCCCTGTGTTTTTTGCCGGATGTCGCTGCACGAAACGTTTCCGCGAGGCGAGCTATCGCACCCATTCCGGATGCTGTACCAGGGTGCTCTGATATCATCATCACGCCCAATGATAGAGGTCCCGCCCCTCCGGTGCGCCCTTGCCTCTTTCTGCCTCCTTCCCCCGCCGGGCCAGCACGCCGAGCCCCGGTGCCTCGAGGTAGTATACACGCTGACCGTTCGTGTCCTGCCTGATACGAGGGCGCTGATCACAGGGGGATCGGGTCCTGACGCACGACCGTCAGCCGAGGATCCTCACGCCAGTAATAGCACGTTGGCGCGTCATCCTGTATGGACTACGGATGTAGGTGTCATCGCCCGTAGGCTATCTTACTCGCTGATGCTGATGGGAGTTCAATCAACAGTGGGATGTCTAGGAAGTTGTCGCGAGCAAATCACACGTACAACGATACATCAAGTGCGGCGAACGTACCCCATTCCCGAAAGTGGATGGCTCGCTCGCAATATTCTGATGCGCCGATCTCCGTGGTGGTATTATGGGCAGCGTTCGCACTAGTACTTCGGCCGTGACGCATGCCGCGCACGTTGAACGAAATCCCTTCGATTGTGGGACTGATGGGCCTCTGGGCATCGGGGCAATTATGCAATCTTACTACAGCCGGGATACTGCTACCAGCTTCGGGCTTCCCCAGCGCCATCATGACGCAAGCCTCGTCGTTGCGTGCATCGCAAACTCCCATGCTAGGCGGGCTGCATGAGGTACGTCTGTCACGAGAGCTCCTCGCAGGCTGAGGCAATGCAATGCGCGCAGACACGCGAGCACTGTATGGCGAGCAACGTATGGACGATCTGCGCAGCGTTGAGCGCAACAGCGGGATGAGATTCGCCGAGATGAATTATGACCGCGTGCACGAATTGGTGAGATCGTCCATGTACACAAGACGAACCGCTCAACCTACCTGCCGTACCAGACGCATTTGAAGTTGATCATTCTCGAGGGCCGTCGGACTCGTGCGCACAATGAGGTAGTTCGGTACATATGGCATAAAGCATAGATTGGTTACGTATGAATACAGAAGCACGTAGGACTGGGGTATAGTTGCAACGTCAGAGTCGCCGAATAAATATCTATTCGGGGCTTGATACGCGAAGCCCTTCGCGAGAACTCTGCTACCTTGTCATACACACCCTAAAGGCAATATAGATAGATGGAAACAGATTGTCGGAGGGAGAGTCAACGATGACACAGGGAAGGCAAGGGAGAGGAATATTGCCGCAGAGGAAAGAGACGGGTCGAGATATGGCTATAACGGGAGTGAGAGCTGCTAAGCTAAAGGCACAGAATGGAACGGAAGACAACGGAGAGGAAGAACACGGAGAGAATGTTGTGGATAGCAGAGACGATGCTGCAGAGACTGTGATGCTCGGACCGGGATGCGAATAGCACGGATAGCGTAAGAGACATCTACATGGGGGAACATCGGGAGAAGCAAGACGAGGGGGAAGAGGAATGAGACGAATACCAATTACGCATGCGCAGCCACCGTCCGCAGACAACGACGATTCCCGCATACGCGCACGCAAGAGAACTGTAAAGTAATCATTGACTACATGCGAACGTCCTTGAGCGCGAATGTGGGAATGCGGATGCTGCGTTGTGTCGTCCGGATCGTTAGAAAGTCACCATGGGCGTGTCGTAGAAGTCGGTGTGATTCGAGCCCTTCCACTCGTTCGGCAGCATGGGAGGGTGGAGCTGCAGACCATTCATCGAAGGCGAATCGTCAGGAGGAAGCATAGGCGGGTGCAGGTAGGTCGCGAACAGAGACTCCGTGTCGTCGTGGTGGAGTCCTTGCGTATGCAAAAACATGTTTGGTGACTGCTCCGACGCGACCATCGGCGGATGTACGAATGAATGCGGCGAGTTCGTGTTGTCGGGCGGCAGCATAGGTGGATGCCACATGGCATTGTTGATGCTGTTGCCACGCAGTATACCGTATGACCCATACGGATTGTACGCGAAGTCCATGGACGAGCGCTGAGACTGCGAGGTAGATGACGACGCCGATGTAAACGAGTCGGAGTACGAGCTGAACGAGACCGCAGACGATGGAGGCTCTGACGCCGAGTCGTTACTCAAGCGGCGGCGCTTGTTTGTTCGCGTCTCACCACCCGAGTTGTCCACGTCCGAGAGGTCACCGGAGGCGAAGGGCAGCGCGTCCGCAGGTGGGTTGTACATCTGCGACAGATAGTCGGGGTGGTAGGGCCCCGGAAACGCCGAATAGGAATTGAAGTTGTAGTTCTGCCCGGAGTACGGCCCGTTCTGGCTGCCGCCCAGCGCGCCCATGAGCTCCGACTGCATTGACGTCCGATACTCCATTTCGTCGCCGTTGACGTTGTTGTACATCTGCGTCGTGGAGTCTGGAGCCAAAGTCGGCGTGGCGTCCATCGTTGGCGAGGCGCGACGACTCGCGCCAGGGCTGGCCGAGGGCGTCTCGGACGGGCCATTGCCTGCACGCCGAGCGTCATGACGTGCGCGCTTGCGAATGACATCCGACTTCATGGAGATAGGACGAGCAGAGCCGTGGAGCTTGTAACTACATAAGACGTAATAGGCGTCAGCGGCATGCCGAATGGAAGGCCGATACGACACTTACTATAACCCGCAACTAATTCCAACACGAATAGGCGCGAGAGAAGAGGGTCATTAGGACACTGATGTGAAAAACAAAGCCGCATATCATCACTTACGCATTGCACACTGTCTTGCCTTCGTCATCCTTTCGCCACAAGGGGGTGGCTGTGGTATGACAGTTATAGCATTGAGCTAATGTGGGAGTGCGTGAGCTCGCATCGCCGAAGACGACGTAAAATAGCGCATATACGCACCAACAACTTCCTGTGACTCTTGACGAGGGGCGCTCTGCGTGCGGCCTTCTCCGTGGTTGTTCCGCATGGACTTCGGCCGAGGACGCTTGTGCTTTGGGGTCGTTCTCATGAGCATATATGCGCTTCCCGAAGCACCCAGGATCACGTACCAGCTTACAGTACAGCCCACACGCGTTGCAGTTCAGTTCATCATTGAGGCCACGGCGCCACAGAGGAGTATGTGTTGCACCGCAGTTGGAACACTCCGCCTTGACGCCGCCGGGAGCAGAGTTGTTGTTGTTTTGCGCAGTCGAGCTGGCACCGTTGACGGGTGTGGCGCTGGGCCCAGACGAGCGCGTCGAGACGCTCTGTGTGCGCACGCTGAGAGATGGTCGTTTGCTGCTGCCGCGGCCATGGCCCAGTGCATCGCCATTATTCTGCATGTTGGAGCCACCAAGCCGGGTGGGAGTGATCGTGCGAGGGACCATGTCTTCAATGGGAGTCGAGAGCGGGGGGACATTCCTAAGCGCCGCAGTGGATGTGAGGAGCGCCTCGTCGTCCTCGCTGCTCTGCCCGCGGGAGCTAATCGAAGTGTCGAGAGACATCTCCCGCTCCGGCTTCATCTCCACGTCCTCCTGCGCCTGCTGCTCCAAAGAGCGACCGTCATGACCTGCGTTCATGAATCCAATCGCCCAGCCTCCAGGGCTGTCCGCATTGAGCAGCTCGTCAAGAGGGAGCTCGATAGTGGGACGAGGGATACTGAATCCATCAGAGCTAGAGTGGGTGCCAAGCCCAACGCCTTCGCCGTAGGTCATGGGGGTCGTGAGCGTAGGCGTGGGATACAGAAGCGCAGCAGGGCCAAAGTCGTTCGAGAACAGAGACGGGAACCGGAGGGCGGCGTTCTGATAAATGTCGTCGGTGTACCCTGAGCTGCGCGAGTCGTCGTTGGAGGGAGCGGGCTTGCGGCCACGCTGAGTAAGGGGAGGCTCCGTGGTATTGTCGTTCGAGGTCGAGGTAGAGTTCGAGGTAGTTGTCGTGGTCCTCGTATCGTCGTGGGCAGCTGCACGGGCAGCTGGCCTACCACGCTTGAGAGCATTGTCCTTGAACTCGGCAGACGGCTTGAGGTCGGGCTTCTTCACCGGCGCAGCGGACGCAGTCGGCGGGGCAGGCTGGTCGACGCTGAAGGTGAACTGCATACGGTGAATCGTCCCGGGCCTGCCGTTCTGGTTCGCCAATCGCTCGCGTTCCTTCTCAGCTGCACGCTGCTGGATGAGCTCCGTGGAATGGTTGCGTTTGAAGCCTGGCGCTTGCAACTCTTCGATACTGCTAAAGACGTCGACACACGTCAGAGGGTATTGTGATAGCAAGAAAAACATTCGTACCGTCCTTTCTCCTTATCAAGCTTGTCCCCCATGCACTTGGACAGCTTCTTGAAGTCGCGCTTTGACTTTGCATTGTCTGTGTCGACCATGAGGTTCTGGAGGTGCCACAGCCTCCAACTCAAGTTCTCCAGGCGTTGTCCCTGCTCCAAGAAGCTTGCTACCTTGGTGCAGACCTTTAAAAATATTGAGACAGGCTAGCGAACCCATTAAAAGGCAAAACATGCCTTCCAGGTCATCGTCAACGAGTCGACATCGCCGAGGTTACTGAAAGGCACGAAGGACTTGTTACCCTATTATGTAGGAAAAAAACAAAGAAGTAAGTCCTGTTTCCGACGTCCGTGAAGACGCAGAACCGACTTTGAACTTGAGGTTGAGAATGGAGGGCATTGACCAGGCGTAAGGAGGGCAGGAAGAGGGAAATCAGAGGATACAGGGGAAGGGGGACGGTTATAGGGAAAATAGAGCCGATGGAGAGCGTCAGAAGAATGCGGACGAATCCGTCTTCACGAAATGCGCTGCGCCAATATTTACACGAATTTCGCCAATTCCGCCCAAATAAATGCCCGCTCAGGACAAATTGCTCTCACAGGCACGTTGCGCCGGTTCAAACTCCGCGGCGGTGCCACCAGCGGGCCATTCAATACAACTTCTTACGAGGCATTCAAGCGTCTGTGTTGGAATTTCTAGTAGCATTCAAGTGGCATTCAAATCAGGACTATTGGACTCTAACCTTGCCCGCTATGTTCTATTGACCATCACAAGGTCCGATCCGAGTCTTCCGTGCCCAGCATGGACGGTCCGCACAGCTCGGCTCGCCCTTGTGCTTCATATTCTCTACCCACACGTGCCCGTACACTGATCGCTATGCATGAGACGACCGTAGCATGCGGTGGGCCCCATCCCAGGCTAAATGCGTTCCCCAGGGCACCATTTCCGCCGACGTCGTCCCGGGCGTCCGCACAGACGCTAGCCCTCATACAGCAGCTTCGTCGTCGGTTTCCGGCCGTCCGCGATCGCCACTGACGAGCTGCACATTGCGCGGACACCGCTCGCCTCTCGGCCGTAATATAGTACCTCCCGCGAGTGCCCCTCCTACCAGTGGAGATACGTCGCACTCACCAGCAGTCCAACTCCCACAACCGAGCCGGAATTCCGTCGTAAAGAAGGCTGCCACTCGTGATTGATATCCCACCGCCTCGTACCCCAGAAGAGAACAAAATGATCCCACTTACATACGAGACGCTCCGCCGTCAAAAGGAGTCCTATGGCCGCCAACAGCCCATGTACAGTTGACCCGATGGTCGCTCTTCTCGCCATAGCTGCGCTGACACATAGACGGCGTCAATCACGGGATCAGGGCCTTCCACAAGTTGGCCGGCGAAGAGCCTCGAGGCAGATATTGTACCATCCACACATACCTTTTATGGTAATTTTGCACACCATACCCTTTGCCCATAGCAGCATGTGTGCGGGACGAGGGGCGTCGCGGTCGGCATCATCAGTCTAGCAGACAATTCCGACGTCAAGATCCGCTGTTGGCACCGAAGATGTGTCGCCAAGAACTGGCAGCCTAGCGCGAACCCAGCGCTACCTTGTTGTGGACAAGGCAATGGCCCAAGACCTTGCGCCTAGCGACTGCGGCGTCCGCAGGGCCTGTTGGGTCCTGTCCCTGCCGCAGCCGTGCTGTCGGCTATGAGATGAATGCAATTGACCGTTGAGTCCGCGCGTATTCCCAGCACACGGCCCACAGATGCAGAGTCAACGCTTCAAGAAACAGTCCACTTACCACAATCCGTATCAGAAAAGAAGCCGAAGCAGGCACTGTCCAGCTGAAGGGCATCTGCGCTCCAGCTCAATGTGAGGCCCCGTCTTCGGAGCATTTGCCTCCTACCTCGAGGCAGCGGAGAGATAGCGATAGGAATAGCTTGCCAGGAGGAAACAGCTCTTTCTCTCTGGCATTTCGACGCTGGACGAGTACCAAGATCCGATAAGCAAGGGGCGTAATCGATCCCGAGCACTCGCGGCGCGAACTCATGCGCGGGCGCGTCGAGCGGTCACGTGCACCGCGTCTTCCATTACGGCTCGGCAAGAGGGCGGTGCGGGATCAAGGTCGTCTGAGCAGGAAAGACAGACGGAGGAGATTCCCGCAAAACGTGGTGATCGAGAACACGATTGACGCGCTAGGACGAAGTAGGGCTTCCCAGGGCTCGTAGCAGCCACCCCCCGGCCGCGCGGTCAACAGAACACGAACCCCTCGCACATCGCAACACGCGTATCAAGCCACAGTGACTGCATTATTGAGACCGTCGCAGGCTGGGTGGCACGACGCGACCGAGGGGCATACAGTACAGCCTAGCGTCTGCCTCGTTTCCCGGTGACCGAAAGCACGTTTGCACGTTTAGAGCAGCTGAGCGGAATAGCGTCAGCGCGAAGATGAATCTAATCACAGGCCGTCAGCACGACATAGCTTCGAACAGGGACCAAGCGAGATTGGCACTTCCCAATTCAGAGAACATGGCTATGTGAGGACGAGCGGAGCAGTTGGTTGCCCCCGCCACGAATGGCGGGTCAGCAGACCGTTCGTCATTCCCAGACGAATTTGATTACGAAGCTCGCATGTGGATATAGGTCGTACCTATCTGTTCTCGTCTTGCTTACGGGCGTCATTGCCCGGGCTTGTGAGGCACAGCGTGCCATTGCAAGCACACACAGAAGAGTACAAGTTCCCAGGAGAGACGCGGAAGTCGTGTCAAGAACGAGATTAGGCGAAGACGTGAGATCCGCTGATGGGACGTAAGGCAGGCCATTCAGTGAAGGCCCAGGCGAGATAAACACGTGGGTTGACAATGGAGATAATGGCGTTGACGACCTCTGTTGATGCATTCGCGGGAGATTTGGAGTGCACGATTGTCGACTATGCAGTACAGAAAGCGGCAGAGACCCGATGCCGACTATGTTCATGTGGTCGCAGGCTTCGCACGACGTCCATGAGCGAGGTACAAGAGAAGCCGCCGGTGGTGCTGAAGAACCCTCGAAGAAGAGCTATGCCCGCAGAGTTTCCCAGAAAGCAAGGCGCCCGAGGCGGAGAGAGCATCAATGGACAGTCACGGGTCCGAACGATCAGCATCCCGCCACTCGTACCGCGCTTCGCGTCGATGAAACGGGGGATCGAACCTAGACCATCCTATTGCAAAGGTGGCATTTCGAAGCCGAAGACGGATGGTCCGCAGGCGGGAGCGCTTTTAGCAATGCCGGGGTCATCGGCCCTGCCATTGCGCCCATGATAGTTGGCAATTGTCAAAAGCCGCAGTCGCGATGGGGATTTTGAGGCGTCTCAGCAGCCGCGCGCTGTGTGTTGCGACGTGTATGGGAGGGAGCAATCCGTCATGGGGTCAGAAGCGGGGAAGGCACTTGAACAAGACGCGAAATGAAAGGCTAGTTGAAGCAGCAGGTGGGACTAACCAGAAACCTTAGGTAACATGATACAGGCGCCAGGTAAGGGAATGAACGACGGGCCGAAATACGGCGCGCTCTGGAATATGACCGAATATGACCTTGTCTCTACAGGTAGTCCGAGGTCTTGATCGTCCCAGGTACACTTTCCAGAATAAGCGTCAGCATGGTGAAGCACCTATTTCCGGTACCCTCGAGGCCTTGCGTTCCCATGTCGAGCGGTCCAATTAGCAAGGAAGACCGAGAGGCATAGCATAAATGGCAGCGCAATTGCAATGTGTGGCACCGGAAGCGAGCTGGTTGACTCTAGCTACCTGCTCAGTACAGTCGTTACTGCTTTACCTTTCTATTGCTTGGGGTGCAGCATCCTTGCTCCATCGCACAAGGGCTCCATCAGACATCGAAGAAAGCAAAAATGCGCAAGTATTTGCCAGGTAGGTGTTTCTTTGAAATGCTATGGAGTATCTGGAAGTTTTTAGAGTGCCACAAGTATGAGTCGACAGTGCCAGAGCCGAACGTGAAGGAGGCTTGTTGTGAACAAGCTGTGGCACGCCGAAGTTTGAACGCGCCACGTACTGGCGCTTATATGAGTGAGTCATGTGATCGCGTCGTGCGCCGGGAAAGTCCGACGTCGAGGCTTGTCTCTTCTACGACCTCTCCTCCATCACGGTCCCTCGTCGTTCTTTCTTGAAGACCCATGTTCTGATTACAAATTATACAAGAGAAGTTGTCAGTCATCCATTCCAACGTCTCCTGCTTTGGACTATGAATTTATTTGCTGGAGATGTCTCATTACCTCATTTAATGCTAGACTTTGGTGTATGGCTTGTCGGCCGTTACACATTTTCTTTTCCCTGAGTACTCGACGACCAACACTATGCTGAGTTCCTCAATGTCTGTACTACATCTCCCGCGTCGGTCTCACGTACGAACATGAGTGGTAACCGGGTGATAAACGATTGCACCCTGCGCGGTGCGCCCGTTCTGTTTCCCTTTGCCAGAGGTATGCTGTACTCAATGTGCTTTGCATGCCGACCCGTCTTCACGGGCTTCTCTTTTGTCCGTTTCTGTACTACTGCACGGCAGCGTCGTACGCCGGATGACCCAGGCATGTTAATACGTTCGTGAGTGGGATGCCCTATGCCATCTTCAATGAGTTTCGACCAAATTCTTATATATCTGGATCGCACATCCGGGCACACCGCCAATTCAATACCTCAACATGTCGACAGCACCGCCCCCTGTCAATTGTGTTTATGTTCGCTTATTGACGCTCCCAAAACAGCCATGCCTGTCGATCTTAAGGGTCAAGTGGTCAAGTGTATCAAACGATCGCCAGTCATATGACGATGGGTACCATCGATCCTAACGTCGTTGTGCCAATGCTGTGCTGCCAATACTGACAATCTATGATGAGATAGACTTTGCTCGATGCAGTCCACTCGGTTCCTCCAGTGGTGCTGTGACTGTGAGCAAGCCTCCGTCGCTTATGGCACCACTCCCAGCGATTCCGCGCCGCTCCGTGTATCCACCGGAGCGCACAGGCGAGTTGTTTGTAAGACTCTTATGGTTTGCAAATGCTTGTCGTTTAGCCATGTCGTTTAGCCATGTCGTCCTACATCATTTCCAGCGCAGTGCAGCTCGGCCATATATGGCATGACATAGCGCACTTATGGAATGAATTGGTCGCGGCCTTGCGGCGAAGGTCCGTTCCACGAAGGTTTAGCTCCTCATAGCAGTGTCATCACGGACGGTCTTATGAGTCACCTAGCTGGCCTAAATTGATCTGCGCGCCATTCATTCGTGAGCTCCGCGTATTCTGAAGTTCGTAGCGATCCGCATTTCTCCAATCCACAACCTCAAGGCGAAGTTGTGCGTTGTCATGCGACCATGCAAGCCGCAATTTTTCCTTGACTTATACTGACGCAGGGGCTGAGAAATTCGCTGTGTTCGACGGATTGGTACTCATTTGCGTGACTGCCGCTTATCACCGCGATCCAAGATCTCTTGCCAGTGGGGAAGGGGTGGTCGCGGGTCTTGAAAATGAGGTAGCTAGCTCCGGGAAAGACATGCGGCCGTTACCCCAGTTGCCGCTTGCCTGATCTCTCAGATCCAACGTGACACCCGATCAGGGCGCTTGTCGGCGTCTTGGGGTTTGCGGTGAGTAGCTACTATTGTGCGCCCTCCGTTGCAGCAATCGGCTCATTGGTGATTGTGTCTTGCGGACGTGTAGGTTAGTCAAGCTTTCATCTATCAAGTACCCCGCACTCGTCCTTCACCCCGCATTACGTATGGCGACGACTTCCTCGGCTCCGTCCCCACAATTGTGAGCGCCGATAGATACGGTCCGTCGGAGCCGGAGTGTGGAGGGGCTCCAACCCAGGCGACCTTCTGATCACAAGGAAAGTTGTCGGCAGACACTCGCCTTCCGAAAGTACTACCCGCTGGACGCTAGGGTATAAGATGGCTTCCGGTCAGTTACGAAACCCTCGTCGTCCTCTCGCGATCCAACCCACGACCGCACTCACAGAGACGAAACCACGATGAAGTTCCTGAGCGAAGCCTCGGGCAGACGACTGTACTACACGATCAACTTGGTGGCAGGCCTTGCCATATTCTTGTAAGCCGTCTCCTCTCCCCATTAGACGTGCTCATATGACCTATCGCCTACAGCTTTGGATATGACCAAGGCATGATGGGAGGCTAGTCTGCTTTCGTGTACTCCAACATTCAATGTCTGATCGATTGTTCAGGTGTTAACACCTCTCCCGATTACGTTCGCGTCATGAAACTCGGCTATTCCACGTACGTACCATGGTCATTCGGCATCGCACGGCTGTCTCAAGTAACGCTTTACTCGGTATAGCTACGAGGGCCCCTCTGAGGGGTATGTTGTAACCATTACGGAGCCCACGAGACAGGGCGGCATTGTCAGCATATACTATTTCGGAACATTGCTCGGTTGCCTCATGGGCGGCGTGCTGGGCGACAGGTATGTTCTGTTGACTGTCGCTCGACTTGTCAATTAACGCCCTACATAAGGATTGGCCGTATCAAGACGATGCTAGTGGTCGGTAGACTTTATACTATTCCCTTTGATTTCTTAGCTAACTTGATGCCGCAGGGGAGCATATGGGTTCTCATCGGCGCAACTCTGCAATGTTCGGCACAGAACATCGCATGGTTCGTCTCTGCCACAATTAATGCATTTGCAACTCTGAATGTCAAATTCACGACAGGATGCTGTGTGCCCGCGTAGTCAATGGTATTGGCACGGGTTATCTCAATGCCATTGTACCCGTCTGGAGCGCCGAAGTCGCGTCACATACTTCCCGCGGTGCCTTTATTGCCAGCGAATTCACGCTTAATATCTTCGGTGTCGTTGTGGCATACTGGCTCGAGTTCGCTCTAGGGTATGTTGGCGACGGCACAACTCAAGTCCGATGGCGGGTGGGTTCGCTCCTGCGTTGTTATCGATGCGCTACTGACATCGACATAGTTCCCGATAGCGTTCCAGATTGTTCCGGTGCTGGCTTTCATGGTAGGCGCAAATCCATAATCTTGTCTAGCCCATTCTAATCAGAATCGTTCGTAGCTCTGCGTTCCTTACATGCCAGGTATGGCTGTGTGCGGCTGCAGAGTCGGTATCTCGAGCTAAACTGTGCCCTAAACAGAGTCTCCGCGATGGCTCATGAAAATGGGCCGTGTGGAAGAAGCGCGGACAATTCTTGGCCGCCTGCGCTCAGAGACCGGCAATGTGGAAGATGCGGGCGTCATTGCGGAATACGAAGAGATCGTCGTTGCAGTCGAGTTGGAGAAGGAACACGCGGCAGGAAACTCGTACCTTGCGATGTTCCTCGGGTGGCACGACAGCGATCTCCACGTCGCGCGTCGCGTGCAGCTTTCTATTTGGCTGCAGATCGTTCAGGAGTGGTGCGGCATTGCGGCGATCACAGTCTATGCACCCACCATTTTCGCCGAGGCTGGTTACGGTGCGCGGAAATCTCAATGGCTTTCGGGATTGAACGACGTAAGCAGGTTATATGACTGTTACCGCACATACTGAGTTATTGTCTAGATCACATACTGTTTGAGCACCCTCCTCGCTGTTGTCACCATTGATCGGCTTGGTAGACGCATTGGCTTGTGGTGGGGTGCCGTCGGTCAAGGGACTTCCCTCATCCTCGCAGGTGCCTTCAGCAGACTTCTCAAGGACCACCCGGAGAAAGCCACGGAGTACGGTGGCGCCGCCGCTTTATTCGTCTTCACCTACACTGCAATCTTCGGTGCCACTTGGCTGACCATTCCATGGGTGTACCCCACCGAAACTTTCCCACTGTACGTGCGCGCAAAGGGAAACGCATGGGGTGTCGTAGGCTGGTCGATTGGTGAGTCGCCAATCGCCGTAGTTGGACATAGCTGACCGAGCGTTTTCCTCCAGGCAACGGCTGGCTTACCTTGCTCAACCCTGTGATGTTCTCCAGCATTTCTGAGAACACGCTGCACGTCTTCGGCGCCATCAACTTCCTCACGATTCCTATGATTTGGGCCTTCTATCCCGAGACGGCGAATCGCACATTGGAAGAGATGGATCATCTCTTCATGAGCGAAAGCCCCTTCGTCTGGGAAGAGGAGGCGTACTTCAGGAAGTGGAAGGAAGAAGGGGAGCCCTCTGTCGCAAATAAGGGCGCAATCAAGCAACAGCCGGAGGAGATCGACATCAAGGTCGATGAGTCGCGGAAGGAGAAGGAAGCTTCATGATCGAAACGCGTTTCCGGGTGCCCTTTTCCTCTTACTCTGACATGCATACAGGTGCTCGCCGAGTGTGAATAGCTGGGCTCTGCTCTGCTCATCACGCTCATCCGGCGAGACCACGATTCACGTCATAATGATTGCACGCCTTAGCTCCGATTGTTGACATACAGTGTATACTTCCACTTCATTAATGATTTGTTGTAGCTCTGACTGCATTTGTGAGATGTGAGGCGTCATACACCAATTGAGTTGTGATAAGTGACGCAGTCTTCGGCCGCAACGCGTCTGTCACGCTGCCTCAGGTACGATCTGCTAGACTGCTCATGCAGTTGGTCTCTATGATCCAGGCATGATTCGCTCTCCTTCAAGACATCCTCTACTAACGATCCACAGATCCTCGGAAACATTTCCCTGCGTTCGTCCCCAAGTGCACCAATTTGTGGCAAACGCGGAGCCTCCTTAGTTTCTACTCGGAAACACTGGCGTTGGCGTGCGACCAGCTCAAGGCACATCTTGGCACCAACGCTATGCATGCGTAATCAGAGGTTGTGACTCTCTAACGCTTACTAGCAGAAGAGGAACACTATTGACATTGATCGCAACTTGTGATTCGGCAAGCTAACGGAGATGCCAGATTGAACACGGAAGAGCCTGCACTATCCCGTGTGGCTCGAATCCATGGCCTGTCGCATGGAGCCCCAGACTTCGTTTTTCTTCTAGTAGAAGTGTACGGGTGAATGAGCGTGACGGTTAGACTGCTCTGCGTCACGCGACATATTGCTTCTCGGTCAGAAGGTTCGTAGTCGGTCTTCCGAACTGATCTTTCGAGCGGACCCATTTCCTCGTGGACTATGGTACTGACCTATGATAAGTCCTTGAATGGAGATTGCACTCAAAGGCTCTGCGCTCGCTCATAGTCCGCCATCTTTGTCAGGCGGCGCCGTGCCCCACTGCGCGGATTTCTTGCGCCTCAAGCAAACATGTTCCAATCAATAGCGACAGCATCAGGCAGACGTCTTTGTTACACGATCAATTTATTCGCGGGTCTTGCCATATTCTTGTGGGTGTCTGCAGACCGGTCTTGGTTATCATTCGTTCCTTGAATTTCCAGCTTCGGGTACGACCAGGGAATCATGGGAGGTACATCAATCAACTTCTCGCACTCACACGAATCATGCTGACGCTTCATACAGGCGTCAACACCTCACCAAGCTACGTTCAAACCATGAAATTGGGGTACTCGAGGTACGTAACATAAATGAAGGCGTGCGAGAAGCAACAGACACGTTCCTTTGTCATGGCAGTTACCAAGGTCCGTCCGAGGGTCATGTCGTCACCATAACGGGACCAACAAGGCAAGGCGGCATTGTAAGCATAGACCATTTTGGCACGGTGCTGGGATGCTTTATGGGAGCCTGAGGCGCTTTGGAAGACCAGTAGGGAGAACATATCCCCTATCTCTTGATAGAATTTGACCCGAGAAACCACCAATTGGCCGTGTGAAAACAATGATGCTAGTGAGTGCGAGCGTTTGGTACCTAGCTATTATCGGCTGAATCAGTGTCTAAATTAGGGTAGCTTGTGGGTGCTTGTGGACGCCACCCTGTAATGTTCAACACAGAACATAGCATGGTAAACGCATAGCATGGTACGGCATCGGGACAGAATACCTCAACGCAATTGTGCCCGTCTGGAGTGCCGAGGTAGCATCACACACCTCGAGAGGAACCTTTATAGCGAGCGGATTAACCCTCAATATCTTCGGAGTCGTTGTGGCATACTGGATTGAATTTAGCCTCGGTTTCATTGACGAAGGAAAGGGGCAATTGCGATGGAGAGTGAGTGATTCACAAGCATTGTATGGAGGCTTTGTCTATCAGACCAGACCGACATGCAATAGTTATCCACTGCAATCGAGGTCATACCTGTCTTGATGCTGATGGTAAGTGGCAAAAATGGTGAAACGTGGATGTAATAAACAGAACATCAGGACTAGGTATGTCTCCCTGTGAACGACGACAATAGAACGCGCCTTAGACTCTGCCAATAATATTCCGTAGAGAGTCCTCGCTGGCTCCTGAAGATGGGCCGCACTGCCGAGGCTCGTCACATTCTAGCCCGGTTTCGCACTGAGAATGCGGCCCCGGAGGACGCACACGTCGTGGCGAGGACATTGTCTATGTGGCTGCAAATACTACAGGAGTATGTGATCAAATGCTCTACGCTGACTACCGACTACATCAGCACGAGATGCTAGCTATCAGTCAGGTGGTCGGGGATAGCTGCAATATATTTTACGCTCCTACCATTTTTTCTAATGTTGGTTATGGGCCACGAAAATCACAGTGGATGTCTGGACTCAACTACGTTTGTTGGACATACCTCTTATTGAACCAATATATTAAAGGGTCACGCCACATAGATTACATATACGCTGTGCACGCTGTTCGGCATTTTTTGTATCGACCGTGTCGGCAGGCGCATCGGTCTGTGGTGGGGCGCTGTCGGGCACGGCATCTCTCTTATCCTCGCAGGCGCTTTGAGTAGCAAGGACCACCTAGATAAGCGCAGCAGTACGGTGGCGCCGCAGCGCTTTTCTCTCTCGTGTGGGCTTTCTACCCAGAGACGGCAAATCGCACGCTGGAAGAGATGTGGGATGAAGAAACGTGTTGCAAAGCATGGCAGGAGAGGCGTAGCGAGGTGGCGACATGTGAAGAATAAACGTGGAGTTGTCTAGCTGTTTGGTAACTGTTTTCTACAATAGGACTTATCGGCTCAACAATAAGTCATTGATGCGCTTGTTACCCGATTGTATCGAGATAACCGATTTCATCTTACGCCACCATAATCGGACCGGTTCTTCAAAGCAACATGTTGTCTTTCAACTCTCATGCTCGCTACAGAACTGCTTTTCTGCCTCGACGACCGTCTGTAAACTTTTCCGCCACATAGGTGAAGCGCTCTACACTGCTGACTGGATACATATAGATGCTGACGGGCTACTCCAAAGCTTCTTCCAACTCGTGTACGAACAAAGATGACACCCATGGACTGTCCAATACTTGTTTGGATGCTCTTTCTTAACAGAGAAATGACGCCAGAGGTATGTGGTCCATCTCTACTGCGCCATGGCTACTCATGAGAGACTCAGGAGTATGAGAGATGTTATCAAACAATGCGCCAATGCGCCAGCCACGCACAAGTACCGTATGCACCCGCAGTGCCATCAACATGGCATGAATCGATTCGTAAGTTCTTTGTCCCCCCCTGCATGCTACATGCAACGAGAATTGTTTCCTTTTAGGACAAGTCATCGCTCACCTGTTGCCGTGCTTGATGATGAGGCATCGACGAATACCACGAGCCCGCTGGAGAGATCGGGTCAGCCCATCGGGAAAGCGTTATATCGAGCAGGTGCGTTCCGCGGTCGGCTCCTCACATATCCGGCTCATCATTTGTAGGACGTCGATACAACGGCAAACCCCACGCAACGGCTGCGTGCGATGATCGGATATCACCTAGCCTACGACAACAACCTCGTGGGCATGGTCATGACGCAGGGGCAAATGAAGGATGTGATCAACATCGGGCTTGGGGTTAAGCAGCTTTCAGTAACCCCCTCAGACGTGTCAGCCAGTACGTACGCGGAGTCTCTTCACCACAGAGTGCGTATGCCTCAATGTACGCTTGTGAGATACGACGCTTAATCATTGATTATACCTTCCATAGCTCACCCCACTTGAACTGACGTTCGTTGCGCCATCTTTGGGTGACGAGGTCGTTCTGCGGCGACTATGTCTGCTACTTGCGCTCAAGCAGGCATATATAAAGGCAATTGGGCAGCCGCTCGGTTTTGACTGGGCACGACTTGAGTTTGATATTCCAAAGGAGAAGGTGACTGGGGACGGCATACCCTTGCAGGGATGGGAGTTCAGGGTGTGGCAGGCACAGATTGGCATCGAGCGCAACGGCGAGGTCGTCGAGGAATCGTATCAGTGCGCCCTGGCGTTCTTCCGTGGCACACGGGAGAGCCATTTTATCTGGCACAAAGAGCGCGAGAAGCTGGAGTCTTGGGTGCAGTTCATCAACCTGGACCAATTGATCAACGTAGTGCCGAAGTTGATGGACTGAATGCCCCCCAAGGTGGGTTCAGACGCTGTGGCCAATACTTTGGCTTGTAGAGCTTGTGCTCTAGAACTGCAAGGTAATTGTTCAAAATATCTCATATCTCCGTGTTGTGCAAGGTATCCGTACGCACCCGCCATGTTCTGTTATTGCTTGTTGTATTGGATCTTATCATCAGTGCCGTGCGTTGTCGTACAATTTGGTGTGGCAATCATTATCAGACCTACCGGATTGCAGTGTGACCGGTCTGGAGCTGAAGACAGGCATCACTGGGATCATTACTATATGCCTACATTCGTTGCTCGCTAACAAGAAATCCACCAGGGTGGCCTACTCATGGTAATGTAAGTGGCGAAATACATCTCTCGCCTTGCATCAACGCTCATTCCGCTGGTTTTCTTCACCCCCAAACGGGTCCTTCAATACCCCAGATGTCCGCTCTCGGGTAGCCTGTGCGTTATCCTTCATCTACTCTTTAAACTTCACTAAGACTTTGTCTCCATTGGCGCGCAGGTCGTCCAGGTTCGTAAAACCAGACAGTGCGAGCGACGTGTCAAGCTCTGCAAGTGTGGCCTTGATCTGGGTTTCAACGCCCTCCGTACCCCCAACTGCCAGTGCATACATAAATGCCCGGCCGTCTTTAAAGAAGCCAAGCATCAGCACGAATGAATACAGAGAGAGTATAATGTGCTTACAGAGGACTGCCTGTGCGCCGAGCGCTATTGCCTTCATCACGTCGGCACCCGTGCGCACGCCGGAATCGAGCATGACGGAGAAATTGCCGCTTGCTTGGGCCGCCCGCACTCTGGGGCTCTGCATGATCTGGTGCAAAGCATACAGAGATGGCACTGCACCATCAAGCTGGCGACCGCCTGGCATGATTCCGTCAACTACGGTTTATTTTGCTACAGGCTACGACTAACCGTGGTTGGAGACGATGATCCCATTCACGCCATACTCGATCGCTAGTTCGGCATCCTGCAGCGCAAAGTACAACATAAGACCAGCTGAATGGCAGGTCCCAGGTGCGTACCTCAAGGGATAGGATGCCTTTCAGAACGATAGGCCCATCCCAGTATTTTCGCAGGTCTTTCAGGTTCTCCCACGTTTTGCCTGTGTCAGTGACTTGCGTGAAGAACTCTTGCCCGAGCTGCGCGCGCTCCGTCGCAATCTTGTCTCCGGACGCGATCAGTTCGTCGATATGGGCTGCATTGTAGGGGAATTCGCCCTTTGTATCCTCAGAGTGGGGCTCCAAGCCGAATTTGGCCATGAAGACTGGATCAGTGAGCCCTACTTCTGTACCGAGACCGTGATTAAGGGGCCAATATGCCGTGTCTAGGTCTGTAGGCCTCCAGCCATGCAGCATGGCATCAACCGTGACGACCACGACGGAAAACCCAGTGCGCTTGATGCGTGACAATAAAGAAATTGTAACGTCTCTTTCTTTTCCCCTGTTATGGCGATCAACTCACGAAATGGTGACGTATCCTGCTACTTACCAGTACAGCATGAACCACCGAGGTCCGTTCCCGTTAGCTCTAGCGATAGCTTCGATTGAACGACTTGAGGCTGTGCTCATCACAAACCCCACTCCCAGGTTTCCTGCAGCTTTTGCACTTGCACACTCGCCATCGGGATGAATAGCAGTCTGTGCGCCCACAGGCGACAAAAGCAAAGGAGATGAATACTTCACGCCAAAAAGGGTTGTCTAGATGATTGTTCCAAATATCGACCAACCATTGAGATCTCCGCTAGACAATGACAAAGGCAAGACGTACATCAAGCGTGCGAGTAGTCACATTTCGGAGCACACGCGGAATAATCCTCCACTTCTTGAATTCCGCGTAGTTCGCCTCCTTGGTCGACCCTGTACCGGCGCTATCGAAGACGAACAGAAAGGCGTCTACGCCAATGAAGATGTACTACTCTGTGAATCAAACTAAGCGCTATCGTACTGACCTGGCCATTCCCGCAGTTTCTCCCGGGCTGCCGCCTCAAGCCTCTCAGCGCTGACAGGAACAACAGGTGGACGGCGAGTTCTATACAGCGTTTTTGCGAAGCCTGCCCAGCCTGGAGGAATGTCCAGCGTGCTAGCGGGGGGCTCCATACCTGTAGTATGGTGCAAGAGCAGTCGTGGATAGCTAGCCAGTCTTCTACTGCATATAAGAAATCCTTCTCCCAATGCGGGGTCTATATGGCAGGTTCCTGGCTGCGACCAGGGACGTTCCCGCCCTGATTAGCCTCGGCTTCACGGATAATCCTCAGAGCACATTCCGGGCCACCCGGGACGTAATTTTGGTTGTGCTGATAGGCTCGCAGTCTAGTGGGAATACTTCGATAAGAGCGCGCATGTCTTGGATCTCACGCGAAGAGTTAATCGACGATATTTTTTCGAGCCATAGCAGCTCGCCCTGCCGAATCACCATCATACGCTCTCGTTGAGTTCGCATGCAAGCAATCGGTGGAAGTCAAGCGAGTCTATAGGGGGCGTTTTACGTCACAAACTATACAGATAAGCCCTTTTGTTTACGTATTGGTATCTTCTTGTAAGGATCTTATCACCGTTCCTGAGTAGCTCGTTCAACTGCAAGTGTGGCCCGCATCGGACTCTCAACGTCTGCCGCGCCTCCAAGTGCGAGGGTATACAAAAATGGCAAGTATCAGACGAAAGGTGAATCTATCACATCAGCATCGAGTTCGTGAGTTTCACGTACAGAGAACAACGGTCTACGCCCCGAACGTAATGTCTTTGAGGACATCAGTGCTCGTGCGGATGCCCGAGTCGATCGTCACGGTGAATTTGCCCTTGACTGCTTCGCCTTCGGCACTCTTAAGCTCTGCGTTATTTGATGAGGGGCATAGGGAGTGTCGAATCATTGCCTACCTGTTTTGGCTCAGCTGCTCCCAGTGCATAAGCAGAATGATAGAGTCCAGCGTGTACTCATTATGGTGGGAGATACTGTCCACTGCATGGTCAATCGCCAGTATGCCTCCCTCGGAAACGTTGTCCGAGAAAACCCCCTTCAAGGCGGCACGAGATGAATGTCGGTTGTTTCTTGACAAAGCGGTGGCATCAGAATGTATCATTTCTATCTGTCTGGCATCAAAACACAAGTTCCTGTGCCTGATCGGCGATCATAGGGAACATGTTGTCTCGTTTAATCCGCGGTGGTGGGGTGCGGGATAAAACCGACTGGGTACGAGACAAGGAACATGCGTCGTGCGCCCTCAAAGTCGCCCCATTACCTGCAACTGGCGGCGCAGGATTATGGGAGAGGCACGCGCCAGGGACGATGCAGTGCACAGATATATGTGCTTCAGTCCTCACGATAACTGCCCACTTCCCCGGTGCGATGTGGGGAACCTAGGGCGCAGACGAGTAGCGGCAGACGGTCCCCATGTGCGGGTCTCAGCCACCACTGTGACAGTCCGAGTCCTGGCCCCACGGTCCCTGTGGACACGACGTTCTGCTGATCGCATACACCGGTATACCTACGTGGACCTCAGTCGTCTGCCGCACACCATGGCCCGACTGCAGTTCTAGTCCTAGTCTTAGCACGTCCACATGAGGATTATGTTTAATTCAGCATCTTCAAGAAGCGCACAGTGCATTCTCTGCTTATGGAAGGCGCAGTGCCTATTTGGAAGAAGACATGATGATCGGATTGACACTTCTGTTTCTATGTCGTTCATGTTCGGTTGTGTCATCGTCCGAGTTCATGTCACTCTTGCTCATGAAGTAAGAGCGATGTGCAGGTTTGATTTTTCTCCACACTCTGGACACTGCGCGGTTGCTCAGCCTGAAGAGTATTTCAACAAGTATTGACAGCACGAGAGGAATGGCGAGCGGCATCACAACAAGCAAGTCTTTGTATCCCTCGTAAATCAGCAAGTGTAACTTGTGGGATGGAACTCACGCCTCTCAATCGCTAGGTCCCGGTCCTATAAAATTCATGGTGTGTCCTTTGCCTCCTACCTCCAAGTCATCCGTCATTATCGTGAAGCGACTGAATTGCTGATGACCAGGGGCAAAAAGTCCTCTTTCTCACATCGCCGGACTTCATTGAAACTCACAGCGCCGCACTCGAGCCAAGCCTGGGTCTCCTCGTATGATCGTCCGCGGTGCGCAAGAAAAACACGCACAAGCTTCTAGATTTAGACATCCAGGAGTGTTGTTCAGTGAGTAATGGACACTTGCTAGCTTGTTTTCTATGAGCGCAAACGTGAATTGCAGCACTGTGTGACTGTTGCCCAACGCTGAGGCCTTCAGCCACCAGGCCAAATCGGGCACGGCATTCACCGACGACCAGATCTGGAGTCGATCGTCCTTTTACTCGGGATTTTCAGTCTGGTCTCCGTTCCCCTCTTTTGCTTTCTACAATGGCTGAAGTCACCATCGCCACCCCCGCCGTTTCAGACAAGGCGACTCTCAAAGCCGACCCACCACATCCAGAGGAAGTCAAGGATGCGACTGTCAAGGTGGAACAACCTGCAGCCAGCAACTCCGAGACAGAGGCACAATCAGCTCCCAAAGGGGAGGAGGACGCAAAGGCGGTCGTGGAAGGTGGAGACAACAAGGAGAAGATGCTCGACGCGATGAGACAGAGTACGTCGCGCACGGCTCACAAGGCATTCTCGCTGACCACCATTGACAGTCGAATTCTACTTTGCCGACTCCAACTTACCCTTTGACAAGTGCGTGAGCTCTGATCACAATTTCTGACGAGGAAGTAATACATTATCGTATAGGTTCATGTGGACGCTACACACCGCGAATGCAGAACACTGGGTGCCTATCAAGCAGGTGTCGTCGTTCAAGCGGATGCGCGAGTACCAACCCCTCGGCCTCGAGTGGATCACAAATGCGCTCCGCCTTAGCGAGGAGCTCGAGGTCAGCGAGGACGGCACGCAGGTGCGCAGACGGACAGAGGTGCAGGAGCCAAAGGGCCAGTTCGAGCGTAGCGTGTACGCAGTACGTCTCCCCTCATGCGATGCAGTCTGTGTGCTGAACTCAGCGCCAGAAAGGCTTCGGGGCGGAGACGGAGGGAATCCAAAAACGGCTGGAGGCTTTCTTCAACCAGTATGGAAAGACCAATGCGGTGCGCATGCGGCGGATAGACACGACGAAGGAATTCAAGGTGCGTGCGCCTGTGTGATGTCGTAGTTGTGGTCGCTTACTGTCCCACAGGGCTCTGTGTTTGCAGAGTTCGCTGACTTCAAGGCGGTTGAGAAGTTCTTAAACGCCGACCCAAAGCCGAGTTGGAACGGAGAGGAGCTGCTCGTTATGACTAAGTACGGCTGTTCCGCGCTTGCTTTGCCTAGACACATACTCATCGTCCACCACAGGGAAGCTTATTGCGAGATGAAGATCAAGGAGAAGGGTCTCACCGGCAAGGCGGCGAGCCTGCGGAAGCAGAGCATCGCAGGCAACGGGCGCAGGGGCTTCAACGCCTTCAAGGAGATGGAAAGGGAGGCACAGAACAAGGGCAAGGGCGGAAAGGGCAAGGAGAAGGGCAAGCCCGAGATCTTCCTCGAATTCATGGGGAGCAAGATCCGCGTGCAGGAGAACGGCGGCGAAGACGGCAGCGTAAATGAGGAGGACGTGCCGTTCGTGCGGGGCGCCTCGCTCAAGTTCGAAGGCAGCGGGGAGAGCGTCAGCTTTGACGAGATCAAGGTGTGTGCGACATGCACCCTGCTTCCGCGTGGCGATCTGAATGCGCAGAGCAGGGCACGTTGAAGGAGCGCTTCGCACGCGTGCCGTTCGTGAAGAACACGCGGGGCGAGAGCTCAGGTCTCGTGGGCTTCGACAAGGCGCTCACCGAGGACGAGATCAGCTACGTCAAGGAGCACCTCAAGACGCTGAGCGGCAAGGAGGTGACATGGAGTGTCCCGGACGGTCAGTCCCTCCGTTGCTGTGCTGGGTTTCGTCACGCTGATTCCCGCTGCAGAGGAGACCGAGAAGGCATTCCAGCTCGAGCGTGCGCAGTCTGCTGCTCGGCGTGCTGTCCAGTTCTCAAATCGGGGACGCGGAGGCCGGGGCGGCGGACGTGGAGGCCGTGGACGTGGTGGGCGAGGCGGACGTGGTGGCCGCGGTGGTCGGGGTGGCGGCGGACGCGGCCCGCGAGACGGTGGCAACAACAACGGCGGCGCTGCGGACTCCTCAGCAACACCTGCGGCCGACGGGGAGCAGACTGGCGAAAAGCGAAAACGGGCCGTGGAGCCTGACGGTGGGCCGGACGTCGGCGTGCGCGGGCAAGCAGTGCCTGTAATCCAGAGTGTGAAGAAGATTAAGACAGAAGATGGCGCGGTGAAAAGGGAAGACAGCAGCTCATAGCGGTAGGTTCGCGCGCGGCGAACCTGTATAAGCAATGTTGCAGTTCCAAAAAGATAACGGTCGGTCACCGGCACCTTGTGTATTGTAGAGTTCTGGGTTCAGCTTGTATATGCACCATCTTTGCTTGCATCACAAATACGCATTGAGATAGTTTCCTCGTATGACAAAGAGAGAGTAGCTCGAATACTTCCAGAACGAGACAAGGACGAAGCAACAGGCGAAGAGAGGAGTGGGGGTCCACGACACGTACGCGGGCGAATAAAATACAAATGGTACAAGATGGACGGGACAGTCTACGAACGAGTTGGTCGAATGATGCTGAGCGATCAGAGCGAGTACAAGATAACAGATCCGGGTTCTGAATATGGTCCATTGCACGCAACTAGAACTTGTAGGTATCCTGAAGAATATGTCAGCATATAAAGAATAGCAAGGCAGTCATATGTGTAGTCTTCGTACCTTGATTTCTTGCGCATACCGTTCCGCGATCTTCCGCCGCTGGGTTTTCTGAGCGGCGGTGACGAGACCGCTCTCAGGCGTCCACTCGTCTGCTGTAAGAATCACAGCCTGGAGTAACTCCATCTGCTTGAGGCCGTTTTTCTTGCCTATGGCATTGCACTCCTTGAGGATGAGCTCGCGAACGCGATCGTCCTTGCACAGGTCGGCCATGGTCGTGTTCGACGCAGGGCCCACCGATTTGTGCTCGAGGGTGTGCTGCAATTGTTGCTCATGCGGGATGATTATCGCGATGGGCTGCTTCGCGTTCGGGTCGGCGTGAACGCAGACATTTGAGACGAGGTTGCAGGACTTGTAGATCGACTCTAAGCGCTCGAGTGCGATGTACTGCGGAAAAACCATACAGTCAGAGCGAACAGAGGAAAAGAGGCACGTGGTTTCAGCTCACCTCTCCACCCTGTAGCTTGACAAGGTTCTTGATACTGCGAATCTAACGCTTCAGCACGAGAGCCATAGAGGGACGACGGTCAACACTGACCGATCAATGAGGTCCAGAGTACCATCAGGGTTCCACTGCCCGACGTCGCCCGTTCGGAACCAGCCGTCTTTGGCGAATATTGACTCGTCGTTGTTCAGGTCGTCCCGCTTTAAGTATCCCTTGATGACGGAGTTTCCGCGAATCCACACTTCGCCCTGCGGCGGGTCGTTCGTTGACAGGTAGTTTGCCTCCGGGACGTCCTTCAGCTTGATCTCAATCGAGGGCATAGGCAGTCCGACTGAGCCCAGGCGCGTGTATTCAGGAGGGAACACCGCACACATGCCACACGACTCCGTCATTCCGTAGCCTGTCAGGAGCTCAGTAGGTGTGGCCTTTCGAGAATGGGTATAACATACCGGGAATGACCTTCACGAGTGCGAGTGTTAGGAACTCCTGTGTCTCCCGGCTCAGTGCGGCGCCACCGGTCAGGGCGAGACGCAGCCTGCCTCCGGTGGCCGCGCGGACTTGGCTGAAGACCGCGCTGTCCGCCAGCCCAGTCAGGACAGGAACACCAGCTTTCTTGATGGCAACTGCCCCATTGAACATGCTCTTCTTGAATGACCCCGAAGCGCTGATCTTGCCCTCAATACCCTTCCGGATCATCTCCCAAACCTGCGGCACCCCGACCATGATGGTGGGGCGGAACGCGCGGATGTCGCCCAGACATTGGCGCACCGACGTGTCCATGAGCGTCCGCACGCGTGCGTACCCGAACGTCATTCCGACGAAGAACAGGCACATCTCGACGATGTACTCCATCACGTGCGACAGCGGCAGGTACGCGAGGTACGCGTCGTGCGGCTTCAGGAAGTGCCCGAGGTACGCGTAGACAGCACCCAACGATGCGATCGCGTTGGCGTGCGTGATGACTGCGCCCTTGGGAGCACCAGTTGTCCCGCTCGTGTACATGATACACGCCATGTCAGAGGGTTCCGGGACGCGACTTTTCAGCGCTTCCGCCGACACTTTCTTTCCTAGCTCCCGTAACTCGTCCAGAGTGAGCACCTTGATGCCCTCCTTCGCGTTGAGAATCTTCTCCACGACACTTGGGTCCGCCGTACCGTCGTGGATGACAAACTGCAGGGAGGGGACATTCGCCGCGACGTTCGCGACGACTTTGAGCAGGTCCGCGTTTGTGAACATGGCGATACACTCAGGCTCATTGAGCGCATGCTGCAAGCCCGACTCGCCAAGCGTCTCGTAAGCCGTCGCAATCGGGGTGCCAATGGCTGCACAGCCGTATGATACAAGCTGCCAATTAGCGCTACAAAACAGCGCTCAGCGCGGGTTCATGACGAGGTGCTCGGCTGACGCACCTGGTTCCAGCGTAGACATTCACAACATCCGACTTGGCTACACCAAGCTGCAGGAAGCCTGCAGCAACCTCGAGTGCGGCGTCCTTCACCTGAATAAAGCTGAGGTACTTGTAGTCGCTCAGCTGGAAGTATTTCCACGTCTTCTTCTCCGTGACCTCCTTTCCTCCAACGGTTTTCTTCACTTCCTTCACCTCTTCGTGGACGTCGATGATGTCCCGTGTCCCGTATGAGTCTTTCGTGCCGTGTGTGCGGGCAGCGTAAAGCAAAACATCGTACACGGTGTCAATGCCCTCCCAGGGCTGGGTAACGAGTTTGTCCGCCGTCAACCCGTTTCGGCGGATTCTGGTTTCTCCCTCAACCTTCTCTGGGCCAACCTCGACAGAGCCAGACTTGCCGTAGCGTCCAGAATCCATGCGGGACATTGTGGTGGTTAGGGGTGAGGAGTTGCTTGGCACGCAGTACCCCGCATTCGTCATCCCCAGCCGGAACAAAAGGCCGATAAAGCCATAATTGGGTTATGAGGTAATGTAACCCCCTATAGTCCAATATCATTAATCATCGACTGACCACAGTCCTACAGCGCTTTATGCTAGCAAATACTAGTCAGTGCATGCGCTTCGAGACAGAGATCAATTAAGAGCTTTAATGGCATCTCCTTCTGTTTGTAGTGCTTCCGTAGACATCATAGCTCACTATGCCCCAGTCAACGACAGAAACCTAATATAAGGTTAGGGGTAACCCAGAAGCCCAGAACATCACCAGGATCCCCAACGGTTCTTGGTTATTGGTCCCGCCGGGTATGGATCACGGGTCCTTGAAGTTAATCGTGTCCGTTGCTCAACCGAGAGAGAGCCCACGGCGTCATCAGGATCGAGGGGTGTCGAGCAGTTGACGATGAATCCGCCTTCCTTCTGACTCCGAGAGCTCCTGCGGTCGGTGGATGGGTATTTCAAGTTCTGAAGAAGGGACCAGACGGAACCACTTGTGACATATCTGTGACTCGTCCCATGGGTGGGACCAGGCTTGGGTCGCAATTCCCACATACTGGATGTTTGGGAAGATGGCAGCAATAGCGCTTGCCAGCGATTGGACCTCTGGGGGTGACACGTTGATGGCATAACCGTTGACAGATATCGCAAGGCCAATGAGAGGAGCACCGCTGAATACCGAGACATAGGACAACTGCGTATCACTCTGCATCAGTCAGTCAGTCAGTCTCACGCCGCGATTGAGACTTACCAGGAATCCCATGACATGACATTGGGTGGCCTCGAGACGTATTTGCCCCTCGTGCACCAACATGAGCTGCAGGAAACGTAGATCTTCCATCTCTCCCGCCAACAGTCTACAGGGCTCGGAACGGATATAGAGCACTAACACCACAGGTGATATCCCTCCGAGTGGCAACAAGGGTTCACTGTCGCCGTTTCTGGATGGCTGACGTTCGAGCGTGAGGCGCCGGACAGGCAAACGATCGAAGGCGGGTTGATATGTTATTAGAGTCCCCAGGTGGCGTTTTTCGGGGACACGATACTCGACGTGATCGAGTTCTCGCCAGACGTACCCAGGAATCCCAGAGGGGACGAACTGAAAGCCCAGCAAGATGCGTAGGTGCGCAACATTTGGGAAAGCCAGCGAAAGCGCGTATATGTGCATGATCCCGCCCAACTCAAGTGATCGCGTCAATGGCCAGTCGCGTGGAGACATGCCCAGCTTGAGCGACAGACTGTGTCCATCTACAAGTGACAGCGCTTCGACCGATCTAGGCAGATAATCCCATGGAATACGGTCGAGGGTGAGGAGTTCCACGTTTGCTGATCCTGAGCTTGTGTGAATTTTGACCCGGCGCGGGCGACTCGACCACTTGGTCATGAACTCGAGAGTGCGGATCCCGGCCTTGTAAAAGGAGACGTCGATAAGGCCAGAGAGTGAGGAGAGACCATCGAAGAGGGCTGGTGTGCTCAATGCTAGATCTTCTGCGTCGTGGATGGCGACAAGCCTGAGGTTCACGGCGTGTGAGAGAACCCGGCACATAGAATCTGAATCCGAAGTATCATTGAGCACTACGCAGTCGTCTGAGCTCTTGGGCCGGCGTGCATGGATCGTGAGAGCGCGTAGGTGCTGTGCGCGCCCGGTGAGCTTTGCTGAAAGAAAACAGCAGAAGGCCGCCAGGTGCGTAGGGCCGAATAGAACGACCTCTGACAGTGCGCGGGGGAGGGCGTAGGTGTAAGCAGCGCGGCATGTCATGGAAAGGTGTAGGGCATCCCGAGGATAAATGAGGAGGAGGATGAGTCCCAACACGTCGTCATTAAGCGTCTCGAAGATGGACATGAACCTATTACAGGGAATCAATGTCTTTCGTAGCATTACGGCTTAGAGGCAGCAGACTATGCTACTCACGAGTAATATTATGTGATTGGCGTTCTTGCTAAGTATCGAAGGACATGCTCCGCTCTGCGTTAAACTGGTACCGCTTGGAATACTATCCGAATGGTTCGGGCTTTTGCAGACGAGGAGTTAGTAAAGGTCCAAGCTGATAACGTACCAGACTGACACGGCGGCTTCGCTGCGATGTCCAGATGTCTTCGGGGTTGTTGCAGCCGTCTGCTTTATAAGTCACTGTACCAGCTGACCTTGATACATAGTGCGTTCACCGGAGAAGGTATGAATACGCACTCTGAGTGAGACTACAAATGCTGACTCAACACTGGCGTCGATAGCCAGATTACCCCGGTCTCCTGATGCTCCGTGGCCAACGGCACAGGCTCATATGAATGCTACGTTATGCCGCGCCGTAGAATGTCTCACTGCTCAGTTTACAATCGGAGATATGCTTTTGTCATCCGCATTTGCAAGGGAAATACGGTTAGAGGCGACCTCATTGGTAATCATAGCGCGATAGACCATAACAAATTAACAATCTACATATTTATACGGCGAAAATAATAGACAATCATCGAGAGGAGATAAAGTATTCTGGAATTTTATGTGCTAAGCTTGAAGACAGAGATTAAGGTTAGGAGCACTTCCAATAGGGTTTGTCTATCATAACTGTACGCTCACCTTCCACCAACCACCGTTATTGCCGCTCCGCTATCCATTATCTTGCTATGGCATCCAGAGGAAAGCGTCGTGCAGAGCCTGCAGAAACAGAGAAGAAGAGCCGTAGCAAGAAGTGAGACTACACGGTCATCTATTGTTTCGATAATAGTCAGACCCAGCCAGGGCCAAACGCGCGGCCGACTCAGAGGACGAGGCAGCCCCCAGTGACGATTCCGATGAAGGAGTGGATGATGGTGCGTTGTATATCAGTCGTAATTTTCGAAAAATTCCAAGCGGTGTCCTCAGATGAGCTGGGAGCACTTGATACCAGCAACATCATCACTGGCGGCCGCAGAACGCGCGGAATCCGCGTAGACTACACAAAGGTTGAAGGGTTCAACCAGCTGGATGATGACGACGATGAAGAAGAGGAGAAACCCAAGAAAAAGAGCAGGAAGGGCAAGGAGATTGCTCCCGCTTCAAGCTCCAGTTCGAAAAAGAAAGTGGAGCCTCCTAAACCGACGAAGGGAAAAGCACCCACGTCGAAAACATCTCGGAGAGTCGTGTCAGACGAAGAGGAGGAAGAGGAAGAGGCCGATAATGATGATGAGGATCCAGATGAGGGTGGTGGCGACGAAGATGAGGAATAGCCGAGCTTATCGTTGTACACATTGTAAACTAGGGACAGATTACACGCGTAATCATGTGTATACTGATACAGATGCAGATAAAGCAGATCTCGAGACTCAAACACGGCGGTCCGGCTACAACTTGGCCTTGCTCGACGCCACAATACGCTGTCCGCGCTGTAACATAGGTTTGATAGAAGCCTATGCACAATCGCCCAAGTATTAGTCTGGCTGAAAGTTGAAGCAATTGCAGGACATACCTCGTAGCCCTCTGTGACTTCAGTCGCATTGAGCGGTTCGGTTTGAGCCTTTGCCCACAAATGTTCGTACACATTCCCGTCAAAAACGCCCAGTGCGCTGCGATAGCGTAAACCAATCGCATCACCATACATCATACCTAGATCACACAGAATATTCACCTGTCGAGCTCCCAATCTGTGAAGCCAAAAGCATCCGTCAGGCCAATAGCCTCTGGGAGTAGCTCTGCGCATATCTGCTTGATGGCCATCCGCAGACCTCTGGTGGCGTCTTCTCCATCTGCTGACGGCAACAGGCTGAAGGAGAGAATGTCGCCTATTCCAGATTCAACCAGCGCGAGAAGACCCTATAACAGCTTCGGCATAACCCCGAACTGAACTGGGAGAAAATGAACACACAAGAGTATAGAGTTTCCGCACAACGGCGACCTCCTGTGGCGGCAAAGAGCGTGACAAATTCTCAATCAAGGCACCTATCTTGGTGGCGAAATATGCCTCCGCCGCTGCTCGGGAAACACGATTGTCCATGCTTGCGTCTGGGTCTTTCTCGTGCAAGGCGCGATTCTCGACCATCACGGCTGCTCGGCGTTCTAATAGGTTGATTGAAACCATCGGATCGAGCCAAGCAGGTGTACTTCCGGTGATAGTACTGAACTCTGGCAGGAGTAAACGGAGATATGCTGAAGATGGAGGCAATGAAGATGCAGTCGGGTGTTCAGATGCTTGGAGGGCACGGTACCACTTGAGGGCGGCACGGACGACTTGAATGTCCAGCACGTAATTGTCACCCTCGTACCTGTTCCACAAATGAGTCTGCGTGATCTTGAGGTGCAGAGACTACGTACGTTGCAACAGGCAGCCAGTCGGCATAATATCTGCCCAGCGCCGCAAACTCGCTGAACCCATGTCCCCCCATCGAACGCCGAACGGTCTCGATGTCCTGCGCGCCCATAGATGCTACGAGGATCTTGAGCATGCTGGTGGCGATATGCATTTCCTGCACCGTGGAGGTGTCACCTGTGGCCAAGCGGGCGCTGAAGACCGACAGTCGCTTTTTCTGTTCAGAGGGGATGGAGCATGGTGAGGCAGCAGTGGCCAGGATGCGTTAGAAGTCTAACTTACTAGATCTCTCCCAATCAAGATGAAAGCGTACGCATGGGAGAGAACGGGCAGGAGGCGAAAATGAACAGAGGGGTAGGAGATGACTTGCTGTTCTAGGCCGTCATTATCCTGGTTGCTCTGCCGGCGAACAGTACAATAGCGTATAGACACTGTAGAGGCTGTGCGGTTGTCAGCATGATGTCCGTCTGGCATGAGCAAACTGACGACCTTTGCCTATGACCCAGGCGCCTTTCTCCACTAGTCTAATGACACGACGCATCAGCTACATCCAACAATTTTGTGAAGACGGGTCTTACATCCCTCGGACATGAAGCATCTACAGCACATCCGTCAGACCAGTCGTAACATTCTGAATGAATGTAACATACTCCGCCATAGCTGATCTTCGGGTGCACAGGCTTGACATATTGCCCGTCTTCTGTCACTCGCGAGTATTCTGAGAGCATGTTCTCTCGCGGTATCCGCAATTGGTCGAATCGCGCGAAACCATTATCGACTCCGCAATATCCTCCCATCGCCTTGGGGCCTTCAGACATGCGTCAAATATGCGTGCCAGGTGTATGCAAGACTTCTCACCAATGTCCCCGAGAGTGATTCCTGGGATTGGTGTATGATCTTCTATGTGGAAATCAGTATCCGACAAATGTAGGCTGCGTATATGTACCTACCAAGAGAGCGTAACTGCACAAAGAAGAGATGCGGACCCATGTCTCGGCCATCTGGCATGATGAGCTTTGCCTGCACGACACCATGCGTAGACGTCTTGCCCAGGGAGCCTACCCACCATTTGCTGCTGGTCAGAGTAGGGGAATGAATTTCAAACTCCTTCGTCTCGGGCAGATATCTTGCAGTTGTCTCGAGAGAGCCCACATTCGTCCCGTGGCCTAATTCGGTCTGGAGGTAACATCTAAAAGTAGACCTCAGAGGTTTGTCTACCGTTGACCATGTGATTGAACGACGTGCCCTTGGATCCCTCTGTTCATAATTAAGTCCCCATACTTGTGGCGGAGCTCTGGCCCGCACTGATCCATGAAGACGGGTTCGAACGCTAGCAGTTGTCATATATAACCAACGTGTGTGAGCATTACTTGCGGATGGACGTACTCGCGAAATGTAGATGCATAGGGACTTCCTCGTCTATTATGTTAAGGGCGACAGCGGTCTCGTCATTGGACCAGCTATGGATGTCCTGCAGTTCGTATAATCTGTTGGTCATATTGATTGCACGTTCATAACGTTCCTTTCGGGTCATGAAAGGCCTGCGTCAGTGAAACAGGGGTTAATATAGCGCATGCCTAGGTGCCCTGTATCCATGCCTTTTGGACTTGTCGAAGATCGCATCGCTGGATACGACCTTCACCAGCTTCTCATGCAGCTTCCACCCCTCGGAACCGCCTGGATCATTTCACATCACCGTGGATCAATCCAGATAGGGGCTTCATGAACTGACCATATAAGTAGTCTCGGACACGGGCGACCTGGACACTAGTCTGCATTCGCGCCGCTACCATATCTCGCTCCGTCATCTCTTGCGCGGTCATATTATTCGACATCTGGCAGTCTGAGGGCGAGCAGAGTGTGTAGAGGTCGGGGTGCAAGAGACGCACGTACGCAGCGGTCTGAGCTGTTGAAAAGGGGTTGGGGTAATTTCAAAATGGTGCCAACATACTCGGCCTCAACAGAGGAATCAGTTCGCGCCGGAACTCGGGCTCAGCCACAGATGCTCACCAAGAGCCTTTTCGGGCATTGCCCGATCGCCGACGCACCAACACCTAGTAGGGTCAGGCCTTCAGGCCTAGTGCATCGGCTATGACGCTAATAAATCCCTAACAGGAGTATTCGGTCATGGATGTGGGCAGGTCGCTCATTGAACCACGATCTACTAGTATAAAGTGCATTCGGGGACAGCGGAGGTATGCAGTGCACCTCTCAGTCAATTTTGAGCTTCAAGCATCAAGTCGTATTATGAACAGCTGTGAGACTCACCAGCCATGTGTTTGTCGTGCTAACGTCCCAGATCATAAACGGGCCAGCTTGGTCTCATAGAACATGCTTCCGGTCTAAGAGTTTGTTCCGAAGCCGATGAACACTACGCAGCAGAAAGGCGCCCGAAGTAGGGTACTATATGCGAGTATTTGAATTCTAAGTTTCTACCCAGGATGCCCGCTCAGAAGCATGTATTCATGATAGAGTCTGTGAGAAGTGCCAGTGCGATCACCAAGCCGTAGTTTGCCGAACATAAGAACGAATGTGGTCTCGTCGGCCCCGGTTTTCTTTTGTCGGGGCAAGACCTACAGCCATCTTGTCACGTCGAATTAACATATCTCTGCCAAGAAACTTGAATAATTGATGTCGCCTCCAGGCTCAAACAAATGATCAGGGAGTACGTACGATTCCGGCTGAGGACGTAGCTTGTGAATGTACGGTACTCATTCCGGATCAGATCTGGCGACAGATGCAACAGAAAAAGGCAAACGATTTTGGTTTCAGTTGTACACGAGGTACTTGTCCACTGGCGAAGCATATGAAAACATGATGGTCCATCATAAGCATCGTCTTGATAGTCAAGGTCAGAAAGCTGACCTCGACCAACTTCAAGAACCCGAAATTGATGCGATCATCAAGCGCCGCCATTTGCACGTGCATATGCGCCGTCCTCCACTTCATCGTTACATTTCTACCTAAAAGATGTGTTTCAATTGCTAATAAGGGCTACTTTGGGCTAGTAGAGGCGTAACAAATACCGTCTCCTCAAATATACATATACAGCCAATTGGCCCCTACTTAGCACGGACAGTAATCCCGAAGTGCCAAAGTGCTCACCAAGCAACTTGAACATGACCGTGTATGTATAACAACGAAGGGCGGAAAGGTATGCGCTCGTGGCATCGCAACTTCCCAATATTGACTCGTACATTTCACTCATGACTCCTGTCATGGCGCAGACCTATAGGAAGCACTTAAATCGGTGTTGATAGCATAGCACCCACTCGATTGCGCCCCAAATCCGAAGAGCCTCAGTCTCCGACTACGCACCAAGACGTGGCAATTGTGTTACATGCTAGCTCAAAGATGCCCGCGATTGACAGGTCATTTTTTGGCACTCGAGTGTCTCGATTCCTACTGTCGACATCAAATCGTTCTTTCCGGGCCTAGCGCACTCAGGGGCTGTTGCCTGTCATTTTGGACGCCTTATACTGGTCTCAGGGCACCTTCCTTGGGGGAATGTGTAGCTCGTCACGGCCGCTTCTCTGTACTGGATTGTCTGCGATCCTGCATTGAGATTACTGAGTACACGGTACAGTGTGGATCCCCTTTTTGAAGGTCCATACGTGGAATCCGCCCGGAGTCCAATAAATACAGAGCTACATGTCGACTATGTACAGCACTTGGACACCCAGATACTGTCTGGATGAGTGCCAGTGACATCAAGGGGGGTTGGGCGGACGATGTGCCTGTGGGCTTGCATACTTGCGTCGTTATAGTCAAATATGCTGATACCCATAGCGAATTCGATTGGAGGGGACGACACACGGGCCCACTCTACCGTGTGTCGGAATGGTCTGCCGGGTGTCGACGGAGACGAACAATCAAACGTTATCGCCATCAGTCAATGAGCTCACCCTGTTTGGGGAATTTGAAGGTCTGTCCTTCCTACAGACAATGCGGCCGCGGTGACGTCGAATTCTACAAGGTGAAACATTGGATTAATATATACCTCTAAACGTTTCTGACAATTCCGACGTTTGCATTAGTGGTACGTAATTTTACCCACTACATCTGACCCCATCTTATTTGCGATGCAGGATAGGACTTCTTATACCAGGCACCGAGCGGGTCGAGATCTTTGATATCTTTGACATTCAGCGCTGGTATCTGTTCTCCCTCATTAGTAGGGTGTCATGTAAGGTTACGATACCGGGCGCAGAACCTCAAACTGCTCAAGAAAAGTTCAGATATAGGTCCACCCTACGATCAGCCTACCTCCGCAACTTCCAGGCTTCCGACTCGACCTACAGTTGATACCTTGACTTGATAGTGTGCGTGGATATACTAGATGTGTACGGTGCTGATATCAAATCAATAACATTCAGGTCGACGTGATGACTGCTCGCGAAGGCGGAGTGTCTCTCGCAGTACGTCCCCTCGGGTCTTGTTCATTTCAGCATCTCTCATCCATAACGTCGGTGGCTATAGGGCCACAAGACATTCGCCACTCGCATTCCTTCAGAAATCCTAGCGAACGTTCTTGAAGAAGGTTTCAGAGACTCGAATTGTTTCGCGCGAATGCGCTTCGTGCTGCGCGCGGCGTCTGTCTCGCATGCATGGCGTGCTACTGCGCTCAATATCTCGGCTCTCTGGGGCACCATAGTCATCACACGTCCCCGTGCTCCCCCAATCGCCGTCCTCGGATTGCTGCTGGATCGATCACGTCACTCACAGCTCGACGTCTTCGTCGACTGGTTCCACGCCGGGTCTCGTCGCCCAAACGCGCAATGGGAGGATGATCCCACCTATATCAATCTCATGATGGAAATGTTGCGCCAGCACGTAAAGCGATGGAGATCAATCGATCTCACTTGGAACCTGCCCCGGTCAAATGAACGCGATCATACATTTGAGCCCCTTCTCACTGGATCAGCAGACGCCTTGAGAAGTCTACGTCTCAGCTGTGTCTGTGATGCAGTATACCAGGACAATGTGTCATGGTGCGATTTCACTAGAGGCCTTTCTGCCCCGAATCTCCGCAGCATAGACCTGGACATACCATCTGGCGATGATATGACTCTGAGCGCGGTGACCGCACGCTTTTCGTCCATCCGAGAGCTCAGATGGAGGGAGAGCAGCAGACAGAGATGGTTCTACGACAGCATGGATTTTATGCGGATGCTGGAGCCCCTCAAGAACCTCCAACATCTCACGCTCGATAATTTTTACATAGAATCCATCAGCTTGGACCCGCCAGGTGGCGACGAAGCCCTGATCTGTCTACCCGCTCTGAAGGCACTCACCTTTTGCGACACCGATCTCGAGACGATCGGAGAAGTGCTCTTCGCCTTGACCGCCCCGAACTTACGTGACCTCATCATTCACAATCTCGTACATGACGATGAAACAGCCTCCTTCCATGCCTCCTGGAAGCAGCCGAAAAGCCTCCCACTTCTACACACCCTATACCTCGAGTTCAATGTCGACGGGCTGAACATCGACGAGCTAATTGAGCTATGGCGCCATTTTCAATTCTTCCGCTCAGCGCGCATTATCCACACTTTCGCGCGAAATTCTAACGATTTCTCCATGGATGACGTCCTGGAAGCGCTCTCTCACGCACAAGATGATGGCGGATGGCTCTTCTCCCACCTCACCTCCCTCGCCATATACTCTAAATCCGATATGGCCACAGATGGGCTTCGGCGGCTCGTGGAGAATCGTCGGGAGACGGGGATAGAGGTGCCCAATGTAGGCGTAATGGGGCTGCAGACGTTGAAGATATACGCACCGGAGATAATTGACTCGACGGATTCAGATTACTTCGGACAGAATTTGCGTCATTTCGACTGGATTAAAGGCAAGCCACCCCCGGGTTGTGACAAACAGCATCTCTCGATGGCAGACTGGGCGCTGCAATTGGTACGTATCGTGCCCTGGTGTCGCTCGTCGTAAACCTGACGCTTGCTAGGGTGTTGGAATCTCGTCGGAATAAATCACTAGGACCCGTGTATTATGGGCAATCTCTCCCATTTTGCGATCGTTGCACGAATATTCTGTTTTCATACTCCTCAAAAGCAGCTTTTTATACATCGAAGGTGTTGGACTACCGTTGACAAAAGGCATCTGCAAATGATCAACTCCGCGCAGAAAGCTCCAGGACGGCCCCTCACTTGCCACCACCGCCTCCTACGTCTAAACAGTTGGTGCACAGGAACTGTGCATCGTGCATCAGCCATTGGGCAGAACCATTGAGAAGTGCGAACTGCATGTTGAGGGAGATCTCGAATTTGGGTCGCTGGAGGCTGCATAACGTCGGGATGGCAGAATCTGTCCATTTCCATGAGACTCCCTTCAGGTCTAGAGCTGCGGCTTTGGGGAGGAAGCAGATGAGGCGGGCGAACTCTATGAGGGCTGATCGCTGCGATCGAAATGAACTGGGACAGCAAGAAGAATCTGGTTTGTAGTGGGATCTGCAAGGGAGACCCAGACGACGTTCCAGCGATGTACAGTTTACGCATCAGCAGGGCTGGGAACAGCGATGTGAGGCGAGATTGATCGTGTAGGTCGCCGGACAAGCGTATGCGCAGCTCTTCAAGGCGCAGGCGCATAATGCTCTTGCAGTCACCGCAAAATATATCGATGATCGTTTCTGTGACATCGATAGGACTACACCACGCTGGTGGCTCAAGGCCATCTGTGGCTCCTTGACTGTCGTGCAAGAAGTGAATGACAGGTGGCTGCCGAACTTTGTAAACATCAATTAATAAATATTTGCGGCAGAATGCAGTCCAGCACTCACATCTGCGAGACTGAAGCAACATGGCTGTGAAGTATCAGCTTTCGCTGTGAACGTGGGACACAGCCCCGAATTGACCGTGACTGTGTCAATGTGAACCTAAATGAATATTAAAATGCACGTCACGATAGCAGAGCTCCATCCTATATCTACACATCCTCTAGGTAGCAGCCTACGGCGTCGTCGCAATCAATTTCTGGAATGAATTAATTCGACGATAGACCTGGGGAAATATGCCCACAGGAGCAAGTTGCGGGCTCCAAAATGCAAAGACGCATAACACAGCCCGTGCGTACGAGGACTCAGATCACTTACCATTTGGGACACAGAATTAGCGAAAAGGAACATCTCCGGCGCGTACCAGGACACACAGTGCGCAATTACTAACACTGCCGTAATGTAGTGCGCCCGTCTCAATTCGTCGAACTATCTATTTTAAACATCACAGCCCAAGTTCATCCGCATAAGGCAAGGTCTTGACATCACCGACCGTCACATATGTCGGCTTGCTCTTGAGCAATGAGGCGGTGGCCTACAAAGATAATATATGAAGGCGTCGGATTATTAAAAAACAGACGCCGAAGAGACATACCTTGGAGAATGCAGATGCGTCTATCTTGTCGAAACTTGCAAGCTTAGCGTCAAGAGATGATTCCGAGCCAAGTAGAGTCTGCGCATACTTAGATACGGGGAAACGTGGTGGACTAAAAATTAGACTTACGCTCGCACCCAACGAGGAGAGGAGACCGTCACGACCTTCCGATGCGCTGGCGGCAGCAAACTTCGCTTTGACCACAGCCTTCTTCAGCTCATCGCCCTTCAGCTCACCCGCCGACTTCAGCGCAGCCACAACCGCCTTGCCTGCCGCCTTGACACCCTCCGTAGATTCACCCTGAATGAGCAGACCGAATAACGCAGCATCCGAGTAAGGAAGAAGGACGGTTTGCACGGACGTGCCGACCGGGATGCCTGCAGAAACGGGAGACAGGCCCTGCGACCACTTCACAGACGGCGTCGGGTCCAGGTGCGCAGCAAGCACTGCGAGCTCAGCCGTGGGCGTGCCGGACGTACCAAAGCCGACGAAGACCGTCTCGGGAGCGCCATGTGCCTCGATGCGGGTCTCACCACCAAAGTACGCGGAGGGCGTGCTCTTTGGCGCCGCCGCAGTAGAAAGCGCACCCGCGCCAAGGGACTTCTCGAGCAGCTTCGCGAGCACGTCAGGTGCGATGCCGGTACCGAGGACAGCGATGTTGCCCGCGGTGAAGACGGAGTCGGCGAAGGCCCTGACGTCCTCAGCGGAGATATGCGTGCCTGCGGAGGTAAACGGCGACACGCCGAGGCCGGTGCGGAACGCGAGGAGATGCGCAAGGTCGAGCGCACGTGTCGCGGGACTTGCGAAGGCAGTGGCAGTCTCGGCCGCGCAGAAGGGTGCGACGTACTCGTCGAGCTCATGGCGCGTGTATTTCGCAGAAGTGATGAAGGAGGCGAGGACGTCGACGAAGAAGTCCCTGCGGGGGTGTGAGAATGCGGAGAACGTGTGAGCGAGAACTGCCCGATACGCACTCGTCACCACGCAAGAACTCGGCGGTCAGAGCGAGGTGCTCTCTTGTGAGGCCCGCGGACAGCACACCACCATAGAGCTCCGCTTCTCGGATGGTACCCAAAAACGACCGCTTGGCAGTGCTCTGCAATTTCCCGTGAGACGTCAGCCTTGGATATATCTTGAAGACTGCTCACTTTGAAGGCAAAGCCTTTCAGCGCGTGCGCGACGCCCGGCTTGCTCTCAAACCTGCTGCCACCCTTGACCAGAAAAGTGACAGCAGAGGTGGGTTGACCGTTGTCTACCGCGGCGACCTTCACGCCAGCGGCGTCGACAACGGTGGCAAAATTGCGAGCTAGTCGTGAGGCACGACGAGCGGCCGACGCTCTTGCAGCCAACATGGAGGGAGATTGAGGAGGAGGTGTTGGCAGCGACACTGAGCAGCGCTGAGCACACTGGCCCTTACCCGGCTTCGGCCGAGCAACGGCGCTTATGAGCGCGTCATACACCCGACCCTCGCCCGCGCAACCTAAGGTCTTAGATGAATTTACGAACGTAGGAGTGGCATGGTTGGCATATATACATATTCATATTGGCATAGAGGGTTTACATGGTGTGCGACATATGAGCTAAATTACACGATGTGTGGCATATCAACTGAAATTTACTGCGATGGTTTTTATAAACTAGATCCGCCGAGCGTGCACAGTATTGTAGACAAGAACAATGCCGGGGACATTGTCGATCTCATCCCCAATGCCCTCAATTAAACCCACTGCGTCCCTCCGGGAAACGAACTCCCCCTCGAGCAATAGAGGGAGTATAGACTGCGCGTACACGAGGACGTTCGTCATGAGACGTTCCCCCGTGCGCTCGAGTCCACCTTGCCAAGGGCCGACTGGTACGGTAAACCGTGCGCATTGGATGTCAGTGAAGACATGCGACTGCTCCAAGAAACGGGGAACATTGCCGGCAATCGACCTTACACCGAGTGTGTGCAGGGCGCTGTTGATGAGAGAAAAGTAGTGATGTGTTCGTGGAGCCCGCGATCCGAGGCCTGTGCCGTCGATCATGCATGGGTAACTGTCCCATTCGCATGAGACGAACAACCCCCCAGGCCGCAGGACACGGGCTACTTCTCTGATGAGCGCAGGGTAGTTCCTGACCTGCAGGTGTGATCGTGAGCCTGTGGTTGAATATTATAACATTCGGCTGACTTACACACAAGGATATGTCCCGCGCATGAACGAAGTCGACGGTACCATTACGGTGCCTGAAACGGTCGGCGATATCGTGCATTTCGAACGTGACATTGTCTAGAGGATTGCGTGTCTGAATGGGGACTAGACCGTGGCTTGAGCACTGTCTCATAAATACTGAGCAGACGGTAGACATACCAATGTCACATCCGTCGAAATGGACATGCGGGAATATGGCAGCCATGTCCATGACCCTGGCACATTTGAAATAATTTATGAACGTTTGCATCTATAAACAACCAGTAGTGGCGTACCATCTCCCCGTCCCTGTACACAAATCTATCACATGTCTTCGCGCTCCGGGTCGGAGTACCTCTGTCACAGGTCCCACATAGTGGTTATCCAGGAACCCGCGAAGTAAAGCATGCTGCCTGTTGAGCCTCTAAAAGTCGATCAGCTCATCAAAGGACCAAACAGACATTTACAAATAATATACGCACATGCTGCTCGTCCGCATCGATAGGCAATGGATACGGCGAGCGACCATGAGAATGGAAGAGTCGGTCCCCTCGCTCCTCGAAGAAAGAGGGGAACTCGGCGTTGTCGATCTCGACAAGCTCAGACGACGAATCGGACATGTTGTCCTCGTCCGGCGGCTCCTGGTGAGTGCCAGGAGGGCCGTTCGAGTATACGTGGAGGTCGATGGCCATGAATAACGCGGCAGGGCGCAGGAGAGCACAAAACTTGGACGCCAAGAGTGAACGATGCTTGATGGTAGTGGTGGTTGCTTTTGGGTTGCTGGATATCAACTCCGACGCCTATGAATGGCGGCACAAACTCAGCGGCACAAAACGATCAAGGGATCGAGGGACTCAACGTGTTCGCGGACTTTCGAAAATACAACGACGATAGGCAAGGCGCGCGCTGTGCATGAACAGATGTCGTGTTGCCCGAGCGTGGAGGAACCGAGAGGATGACCCACCATTCCGCCCGAGCGTCCATATGTAGTCGGTCGCCGCGGCACGGAAGGGGCACATTGGAGTGTCCAGAGATCTGTCCGACCCACCGAGATCTGTCACGACAGGAGGATGCAAGTAGCCTGATTGGTCGGATGTAACGATGATGTCGGGCGGAGGGGCAAAATCTGAGCTAGACCGTGTGACCGACGGCTCAAAGAGCACTAGGGCCCGTTGTCTGCGAGCATCAGAACGGGCCCATGCAGCACCGAAATTGTCGGTTGTGAAGCGAGGGTGTGGGAGGAAAGACGAGTGAGAATGCACACTCGCAGATGGGGAAAATCCGCAGTAGCGTTATCGTTACCATCGATACCGACGCTTTACCGGATTGGCACGAAGATGAATCGCGGGAGAATGGCCCTCGCCTGCCAGAAAGATCCTTGTGGGCACAGATTCGGCACCTAGGCCTCAATGTCAAAGCTCAAGGGATGCACATCTCTCACGCGCTCATGTCGAACAGATTTCCACACAGGAACATCGCGTGAAATGAGGGACACCACGCGGAAGACACGCATAGTACTCATTTAGTAAGTATTGTGCTCTGTTTGTGCGTGTGGGTCCTGAGGTCCCCTTTCCGGCCAGGAGGTGGACGAAATGGTCAAAGTAGTGTATTCACTCACAACATCCAGGGATCAATTCCTGCTCCTTGCAGGATGAGGGATGACGATGTCCGCATTTTTTTCTCATTTCAGATTTTAGGTTGACGCCCTGGGAGAGAAGGTTGTGTTTGATTGCGGTGATACACAAAACGAGCGCTAGATTCTTTGTTCGCTCGTTTGTGCTGGATGTTAAGGCATATATCCTGGGGGAATTATCTGTAAATGAATAGTAATATCTGGTCTTACAGACAGTAACATAAGTTATAGGTCAAGATGGAAACGTTGGCCAGGAACGTACCAGTGAGTATTACGCATACATGTCACACCATTGCACCGCCGCTCATACTAGCGTTAGCGCCAACGCGACACTGATCCCGGCTTATCAGCGCATGTCAGGAATTATGGCACTGCTTTCCAGAATAGTGGAGTGCGGACCCGCATGACTGAGACCACAAGCCCGCGCCGAAAATGACGGACCGAAATTAAGAGTGTCTAGCAAAAGCATGGCAGATGCCATCGCAAAGTTTCATAAAGTTCCTGAAATGATTGCCGGTAGGAGGAAGTAATTGGATGATGTCAGGTTAATTGTGCTTCTGCTCAAGCACCCTCTCTAGTGAACAAACGTTGCCAGAAGCGGTTGCATTTAAGGGGCTGGGGCGATCTTTACGCTCTCGGCGTAAATATGTCTGAAAGGAGAAGAAAAATCAATACTGAGTGAAGCAGATGTGTACATGCCTCCTTGGCCAGAATTTGTTGGTTGAGAAACGCACACAGCGGCTGCAAGCGTCGTGAGCAGAGGTTGGCTAGGTGTGATCGTGGGAATGATGGGTCACCTACCAAATATGGAATTTGTGGTATGGACACGCCACCACAATTCGAACTCTCGCTCACAAACAACCGCCTCAATATGGACGAGGCCCCTCGAAATATGAAAGATCTTGAAGCGTTTTTTGTAGAGAAGGAAGAACGGATGAACCTCCCAGACGAGGACTTTCATGATTATTTGTTACGTATGGCAGTTCAAAGAAGGTACGTTCACGGCAACAACAGGAGAGGACAGCAGGACCGCTGACTCTAGCGCACACATTATCCTTCAGAAAACAACAAGGTACGCTCCAGATTTAAATGCACATGCGTGAATATGCCGTCAAATAAATCTGAAATATTCCAGAGCGTTACCAGCCGCAGCCCCAGACCGGAGGTCTTGAACCCGAAGCTCGTGCCATGACCTCTTCGATGAAGTTATCTGCTACCACTTCTTTTCCTCAAGCTTCCAAAAGTATAAGGTAACCTTCAATTTGCCTGTCACATGCTTCTGCCACTTCTTACTTGATTCTGCCACATATTACTTGATTATCCACAGTCAGAAGCGTAGTTCACCGCCGCCGATAGAGCCAAATGATGAAGCGCATATCTCGAAGAAGCGGAAAGTGAGCGGTGAACTGCACGCTTTCCCACGGATCGACGACATTGTCATCAATGACACCCCTGCTACCACTCGTAAACCGCAGGATGATCAGTGGTGAGTAATCCGCGCATAAAGGGTGACGCAGACATCCAGGGCTGATTGGTACTCATATCGATAAGGCAGAATTCAGACAATGCGATCACGGCGTCCATGAGACGTGTCATTGATCATTCATGCGGTACTCCCTTGCTCCCTTCCGCACCAGAATCCTGTGGACGAGGATCGCAACGGGCTGATCCTGACTTTCGCCGCGACGTTTCAAGTGCTGAGTTCCCACGTGAAGGGCCCAACGATTCTCGCAAGCAGATTGTTTCAGAGAAAGATAAGGTACTTAGCAGGGATCACGAGGGTTTCCACTTAAAGTTACGGGACAATTCCGTAACGCAGACCCACGGACCGCGCGTGACATCTCCCGGTTCATCAGACTCTTCTGGAGCTGTCCAGCAGCGCCACACTGTAGCCGACGTGAAATTCAAGACCACAGACAGCGGATGCAGCTCAAATCAATCTAAGCCTGCGAGAGATATCGCTGCGAAAAAACCATCAGACACTAGCTCTGTGACCACGCCAGCGAGCTCGACCAGGAACGGGGCCGTAGCTTCTAGTTCAGGCGCCAGGCCAACCAAATCCAGCGCGAACCCAGAGAAGCAGAAGCAGAAGCTGCCGCCGGCCAAGACAACAAAATCGAAGAAAAAGGTCAAAGAGCTCCTAACTCCTCTCGAATATGCCCGGCGGGTAATAGCAGAGACGGAAGAAAAGCGCGCACGGGGAATACGTCCCCGGTCCACATATCTACGGGGAAAGAAGATATTCTATTGCAGCAATGACCGCACATACGCCAGTGATACGACCAAGGGCAGAATGGACTTCGTGCGCCTTCCATTCCTCGGACCATAATCTGTGGGGAAATTAACTTTACACAGATCCTCAGACACGGTGGCACACTCGTACCAGTCTACGACCCAGATGAAGTCACACACATTTCCACAAACGCGCACAAGAACATTTTCCTCGAGAGAATGGGCATGAAGAGTCTGGATGAGATTCCGGACCGCATTCCCACAGTGACGTGGGATTGGGTAGTATCCGGTTTTGACCGCGTCTCACGAAGACAGTCAAGGCGAAAGTGGAAGACCAAAGCAACGAAGCCGCAAGCCACTGACGCCGACGCTGAATCCAAAAAACAAGAAGAGAGTGAGGATGAGAATGTCATGGATTATGTGATGTCGCATGCCGCGTTTGTGGAACGGCTTGATGCCGGGGCAGAGCCCTGGATGCTCAAAGCCATACAGAAGGGGCAGCAATCTAAGGCAAGCTCTAGTCATGTGGCCATTGGTCAGCGGGCGCAAAAGGGCTGTGCCTTGAACCACCGTTACGAAAGTGACGACTCGAGTGGCATCTCGTGCGTCGTTTAGTTTCACATGATACAGAAGAACCCTAACATTGAGCCGCCGATTGAAACAGGGACTTCACACCAGAATATGACGACCCGAAGACGTCAATAATATGCGACTTCACTGAGATCCTGCCCTCACCTCCATCTCCTCGAGGACCACCAAAAGTGCCACCGACGGGAGGCAACGGAACTGAACGTGGGCGCTCAGGAGAGGCCGGTGTGGCAACCCCGGAGAACGGTGCCGATGGGAATCGCATTCGCTCGTCCTCCAGCTACGACCCTCTGGCTGAGTTTTATGCTCAAGCGCGGGCAGACCGCGCTGCTGAAGTAGGTTTTTGACTCAATTAGCTTCTATTGAGGGTTCAACCGCTCTGACGGGTCGAATTTAAAGGGCTCCCATCCGTTGAATACGACCGACGAGGACGACTCGATTATGACCGCGTCGCCTGCAAGTAGCCGCGAGGCCCCGCGGAAGAGGGTGCGTGCTGGCTACCCTATCTCCTGAAGACCCTGCCCTGACGAGCCTGTCCCTATCTCCCAGGGGTTCTTATGCGATACCAAGGGTGGGGGCCTGCCCAACAACTGTCCCAATCAAGATGTAGTCGATAAGGTGAGTGCCACTTCTACAGTCTGTAGCATCGTGCTGAACATGCATCAGCTTCAGGAGTTGAAGGCGTTGCACAAGCTCAAACCGTCGGAGGAAGACAAATGGCGTGTATTCGCATATACAAAAGGTGCGCTCATGGCCAATGTTGCCCGCTGGACTTTCTCACACCGAAGCTTGGTTTTCTCTACAACCGCCTATCCTTGCATGAATGTAGCTATTAAAGCTCTCCGCTTTCACCCCACGAGAATTCGTTCACATGCGGAGGCTGTAGCTCTCCCCGGAGTCGGGAACAAGACGGCACAGAAAGTAAGCATCTAAACACCAAGATTGACGATATGCGTCATACGTACCAACCTTACTCTGCTACTAGATTATGGAGATTATCGAAACAGGAAAACTGCGGCGTATTGAATATGAAAGGACAGAAGACGTTGCAGCAGTTCTCCTGTTTCAAGGCATATATGGTGTTGGTTCGTTCTGCATTCTTTCATCAATTCAACGCGAGATCGAGCAGGTCTTCACAGGTTCAAAGATCGCCCGGGAATGGTACACTCGTGGATGCAGAACACTTGACGATATTCGAACAAGGAAAGGTGGCATCCGCCTCAGCCAAGCACAGGAAATTGGTTTGAAGTATTATGAGGGTACGTTCTGGCTGAAACTGCGTTAGTCAAGATCACATACCGACGGTCACCTCAGAGATTAACTCGAGAATGCCGAGAGACGAAGCGGCAGACATTTATAATAAGATCAAGCCCATTGGTCTGTCTCTACTTGATGCCCAATTCCCCGAGACTCGATAAATCTTACTTCCTTCCTTCGTAGCCCTGAAGATTGACCCCAAGCTTTTCATCGAGATTATGGGGAGCTACAGAAGGTTGTAATTGATGAACCCAGAAACGCCCATTATCTGACATGCGCTTGATACCAGAGGCAAAGCTGACTGTGGAGACATCGATATTCTCATTACGCGGCCGACTGACGATGGGAGGACGCACCAAGGTCAGTCCAAATCTACGCCTTGGATTTTATCTCTTAGCGTTCTTGCAGGCGTGTTGCGACGACTCTTCAGAGAGCTCCATCGACAGGGGATCTTGACAGAGGATCTGAACATTCCTGGGTCGTTTGACGATCTCGAGCTCATTTACCGGGGGCTATGTAGGAGAGATGTCAACAGTTCTCGGCGACGGATCGGCAAGTTTTACAAGCCATGATAACGCAGTCATTCACTGATCCAGCTTGACTGACACAGACTTTCTGACGGTGCCATATAAATCGAGAGGCGCTGCTCTTCTGTATTACACCGTGAGTGTTTCACGGCGACAAGATCGTCAACTGATGCCTATTCTTAACTGGCTATTTTCACAATTAGGGAGACGATATTGTGAGTCTCGACATGTCAGCAGTATGTAGGATGATCGCTCATGCTGCTTTTCACAGTTCAACCGTTCTCTGCGCTTGAAGGCCAATAAGATGGGATATTCCTTGAATCAAAGGGGCCTATACGCTGGTGTCATACGAAACCCCAGTGACCGGAGAGAAAAGCTCGAGAATGGTCAGATTGTCAGTCGAATCGTCCTAGTCAATCAACTGACTTGGGTTGGACCAGGCATTATTATCGCTTCAGAAACTGAAGAAGAAATTCTCAGGATCCTTGGCAAGCAACTTGTTCTGTCGCTTTTGTGAGAAATGCTGATGACACCGTTTGGCGTAGGTGTCCCCTGGCAAGAGCCGCATGAACGCGTCAGAGACGTCTGAGTGGCGCTCTTCCTGCATGATAGCATAGTCTAGCGTCTCCGAAGTTCGGTTTAGCTCGGTTCAGGGGCCTCTTGCCCTGAACCGGACTGAACCTTAAGATCTCAAATGGTCGTACAAAAGACATTAGTTTTAAATTTCGTGATCATACTATGAGTATAATACATGACCAAACAAGGGACTCAGCATTTGAGAAGGATATGCAAGCTGCGACACTGTAATACTTATCGCATTCGCTGATTTCAGCTTATGTAAGCCTGCCTATAGGTGACGGCATTGCCCGACGGATGGCAGGGTACGCATCACGACGCTGCTCGGGGAGCAGCGCACGCTGGCCCTGTGGAAAGATTGAGACGTTGTCTGTTGGTGAGACTTATGGAAACTAGTATTTCAAACCTAACTATGTATTTTTTGTGAGCGTTGAGACTTGACTCCGGTTCACGGTTCGGACCGGTCCTTGATGCTCTGAACCGTGAACTGAACCTTTGGCCAAATCCATGGACCGAGCTTAACCGAACCTGAACCGCAGGTTCGGTTCAAGGTTCGGACGGTCCGAACCCGTTCTTGGACCGAACTTCGGAGACGCTAGCATAGTCAGTTCGGTGATCTATCTGCACTGTGTAACTTTGTGTTCGTTTCTCAAAGCTTCAGGCCTGAGGTTTATATACTACATGTATCATACTAATGAGTAGATTACATTCTTGTTATCCACTGAACCGCGCATCATCCTCGTTTGTACTTATGCTTGTGCTGAGAATCGTTCAAGAAGGCAGAATGCTGACACGGTACACGTGATGTGACGCGTCGCGCTTGTGGCAACTCGCGAACGATACAGGCTTCTAGCAACCATTATTCAGGCTTCTGTTCAGCTGCGAAACTAAAGTTCAACACATAGCCATTGATACAACGTCAATATGTCCAGTCACGATCTTAAGAAAGCGTACACATAAGACCTGCATGTGTTCCGCGTACATAGCAGGCGCGCAAAATCAGCAGTCCTCATTGATTTGATGCTAGGACGACCATATTAAATCCATCGATGCCGCAAGCCACCAGTTCCAAATGATCATGACGGGTTGTCAACATCCTACTGAGCATGAGCATTTGGCGCAAGCGATACCAGGGCACGATACATACCAATTGCAGCGCCCAGCTCGCCGTCGAGAGATGCTGCTTGTCACAGCCCGAGGGCGGCTTGCCTTGGATCCAGTCAAAATGCCGCAACTTCTGACCCAAATAATCTGAATCCGTCGGATCAATCGTCGCCGGAGCGTATATCTTCAACATCTGCAGCCCCATCACGCCTGCGTCTGGAACTTCTGTCTCCGTCTCGCGACGGTTCTCCACGAGACGCCGAAGCCCGTCCGTGACTATATCGGATGTGGAGTATATGGCGAGGGAGGTGAGGAAAGGGAAGAGCCATCCGCCATCTTCTTGTGCGTGAGAGAGAGCTTCTAGGACGTCATCCATAGAGAAATAATTGCGGTCTCGCGCGAAGGTGTGGATGATGCGTGCCGAGCGGAAGAATCGGAAAGGGCGCCATAGTTCAATTAGCTCGTCGATGTCCAGCCCGGCGATGTTGACCTCGAGGTATAGGGTGCGTAAAAGTGGAAAGCGTCTGGGCTGCTGCCAGAAGGCGTGGAAGGAGACTGTCTTGCCTTCATGTTCGAGGTTGTGAATGGTGAGGTCACATAAGTTCGGTGCGGTCACAACGGAAAGCATATCTCCGATGGTCTCGAAATTGGTGTCACAAAAGGTGAGTGTCTCCAGAGCGGGGAGACAAATCAGGGCCTCGTCGTTTTCTGTCAGCTCGTTTCTGACGCCTTCGATGTCGATTTTATCTAACATCAAATGTCGCAGGTCGCGGAGGGGTCCCAGCATCCGCATGAAATCCATGCTCTCATAGATCCAATTTCTCTCGCCGTCGCCGCTCTCCTTCCACGTGAGCTCGGGGAAAGCGCGCGGTCACCCTTCCCAGATCCATAGCAGACGGCAGGCCATCCAACACCATGCTGCGGAGATTTGGGGCGGAAAACCCCTTAGTGAAGTCAAATCTTTCTAGGTCCTCAGGCCAGACGAAATAACAGGAACAGCAGAGACACAAGTTTCTCAGAGCGTCTGCTGATCCAGTGAGGAGGGGCGCAAATGTATCTTCGAGTTCATCTGTTCCGTACACGTCCCATGTGATGTCGACTGATTTCCACTGCTGCATGTGTTGACGCAATATTTGCATCACGTCCTTGATGTAGACAAGGCCAGCCCCAGCCCCAGGGTAATGCCAATCCACGAAAATGTCGAGCTGTGATTGGCGTGACCGTTCCAGGAGTGTCGTGAGGACGGTCAGCGGGGGCGCACGGAGACGTGTGATGACTACCGTGCTCCACAGAGCCGACGTATTCAACGCAGTAGTACGCCATGTCCGCGACACAGACGCTGCGCGTAGTACGAAACGCATTCGCTCCAGATCATCCGAGTCTTGATAGCCTTCTTCAAGGATATAAGTCAGGATCTCCGTGGGGATGATATGGTCCTGAAGGTATTGGACATCATGCATGAGGAGCGTTGAAGGAACACAACACGAGGCACGAACTGTCAAAGTGATCGGGTCTGGAGAACACCCCGCCCCTTCGACAGTAGCTATCATGTCGAACCTGGGATCCCATTTGGGATCAAAATTAGTGTGTGCACTGCTGATCACTCCTGCCCAGTCACATACCGCGATATACCAAGTTCAGATTGCAGGACTCTGCAGGTTGTGGAGATAGTAAAAAAAAGCATACGCTAGCCCGTAGGAAAGAGGGGTATATCTCGTCGCTCGAGGCCCGTGGCAGTCTGCGCCCCCTGTGACTTTAATGGACTCTCAGGGACGGGCAGACACTGTACCGGCGCTGATTGTCAAATATATCACATGTTCGGGTCAATTGGTCCATTCGGTGCAGAATGGGTATCTCACAACATACATTTACGTTCCGCTTGAAGTATTTTAATACGCAATCACCCACATATTCACGTCAAGTGCGATCTCGAGTGCTATTTTCAATGCTTCAGGAGGTTTCGAAAAGCTACATTGTAGACATAATATTCGAAGCGATGAGATGTGCCCTTGTCAAAGTTTGTCTGCGGGCGAAGCGCCCGAGAGCACCGAAACTCACTCGGTCGGAGGAAGATGATGGCGGCATTAGTTACTCATCAGCCAAGGGCCACAGCTCACGGCCTCCGGCGGGCGCTTCGAGGCTCAAGGCTTTGAGTGCTAACTTCCATGGATGACGACTTGCCAAACCTGGCCGTTGTTTTCGCCCAAAAAACGGTCACTTCTTTGCTGTGAGAGTATTTGCATCACATCCATCAGATTGAATGTGAGTCGGCATCAGAGTATCGCACCAGGCGACTGTATAACATACCTGTACTGACTATATAATGATAGTGGACTTCTTATTTTCATCCTAAGAATCCCAATAATGTAGAACACTTGAAATGCCACGATGCCGGCGGCGACACTGTTTCTCGCAGCCTTGCACGCATACTAACAAATTCAATGAACGTCAATTTGGCTGTTTTCAACCCACATCTGGTCATCCACGTTTTTGCGACACCGTTTCCTATTCCAACGAGCCGCCGGAGTTATGTAGGTCACTAGCTGGCTGTGACGCATTCCAATCCACGCCTTGTTGAAGCACGCGTTCAGGAACGAGCTCGCAAGCTCGGGCGCGCGAGTAACCGGGGGCCGGAGGCCCCTATCGTAGTATAAAACGACCCCGCGCGATGTACGTACCGCACGCGATTGTCCCTTACGGGCATCGCTAGCTCGTGGACAAACGCGCTCGCCGCGCCGTCGCACCGGTTGTTCCAACACGCCTCTCAGGCACCGTATGCTTCGTGGAAGTGTTTCGTGTTGTTCACTGCTAGCAATACAGACACAAGCAGAGTTGGGAACAAGGCACAGGGAGACTGAGGGAAGGCGGAGGATGCGCACACGGAATGTGCAGAGTATATGGTGCGGGACATAATGCTTCGGACAATGCCGACCATGACGCCGGACTGATATGTCCTAGAACGACGCACAATCAGTTTGCCTCGAACGTTCGTAGCAGATTGGAATGCCAGTGCTTACATCGCTCGCGGCCTCCTCTGCACCTTGAGACCCGTGGTCCTGTGCATAGCTCAAGTAGTCATCGATGAACCTTTGGATGCCGCTTAGAGGATTGCGGTCGAACGTCATCAAACACAATCACCGTTCTCTTTTTCTCTTGTTATATCTGTCTCTTCTATTCTTAAAAAACGAGGAAAATCAGGTACAACTGTTTTCTACCTTTGATTCTAAAGCTTGCGAAGACGGCGTCGACAACGCGACGAAGCGGCTATTATAGGTCGATCGGCGGTGCCGTTGTCGCCCTCCTAGTCCCGAGAGTGGCAGGACGCGGATTGAAATATGACGCCTCGGAAGCGATACTCCTGTGAGTCTGGGACATAGCTAGTCGCGGACTCAAGCCAGAGATGTTGAGTCTAGCTTGCTTGTGCCCAGGGCGGGGCTTCGCCTCGATTCGGAAGTAGGTATTCTATATTTGGGTTGTTCTAAGATTGATCGGGCTTTCTCCCTTGCCTCTTATGACGTCACCCGTGTCGCGACCTCCTTGTACTCTTATAAACTGGCGACGACGTCGATAAATGCAGTTTCCCCTCTTCCCTTTGAACCACGACCTTCTTCCCGCCTTGGTACGGACAAGCGACCCGTGTGTTGCACGTATTAGGTGAGGTTTTCATTTGTTCGTGGTTGTCTTTACACTACACGTTCGATTCGAGTATCACACGAGTTAGATATCCGAACATTATCGTGGGACAGGGCTGAATTCGGTTCGCGTAGTTGTATTGCCGCGCATACACGCATACAGTCTGATCATATGGCTCTCTTCGGTATTTGTTCTAACTAGCTACAGTTTCATCAAATGCTCGCCGATCATCTTCGGACGACACTGCATACAGCAAGACGGCACTAGCGAAAATGAAACCGCTTGCGTGTCTGCCGCAGCACGTACCAGCACTCGCCTATATACAGCATGTGAAGGATACTATTGCCCTATCAAGCAAGGGTCAATAAATACAACTTGCATCACGGCAACAGGTGAGAGTCAATGGAGAGACGGAGAATGAAACAAACAAATATGGACCATGACTGCGATGACCAAAGCGAGACTAAACAAGACAGAAAGCAAAACGGACTGAATATAATACACAAACGCAAACGTCAAACACGGAACAGCTACTGCGATCGCTTGAGTGCTCCACGCCCATTCTCCTGTAGCCAACTAACCAGTATCATCGGAGATGATGTTACCAATGCTCAGCGGATTCTTCTTCCCATGGCCACTGCGCTCCCCTGAACCCGGAGGCGTAGTGGTTTGCCCGACGCGCAATGGTGCCAGCTGGACACGCTGCATATCTCGTCCACTCGAGCCGGCATTGCCCCCTCCAGTGTACGGTGCGTACGGATCATTCTGCATCATCACGCCCGAACCGCCCACTCCCCATGTGTTCGCGTTCGCGCCCTGAGAATATCCCCAAGCAGGCTCTGCCGACCCCGCGCCGCCCGCAGAGCTTGGGCCAGCGCTCGGCGGGCCCGCACCACCAGCGCTGACCGGGCTGCTCATGCTCGCGCTCCCACCGCTCGTGCCAGGCGCAGGAGGGTATGAGCTGTAGCCTTGCGTCGGATGTGGTGGTGTGCTCAGTTGATAGTGCCCGCGGCCCTGGCTCGGCGCGGGCGCTTGGCTCTGTGGCTGGCTCGGCGCGTGCGCGTACTGCGAGGTGTAGCCCTGCTGGGGTGGTGGCGGCGCATAGTGTTGCTGCGAGGCGGAGTGTGTTGCCGGGCCGGGAGCAGGAGCAGGAGGGGCTGATGCATAGGGCGTGCCAGGGTATGCTCGCGAGCCTGAGCTGGACACATGCGCGCTCGCGCCTTGGGATCGGTTGTCGCCAGTGCTACCTGCCGTCGAAGGTGGAGCATAGTCGTACTGCATAGGTGCAGGCGCGCTGGGCGGTGACGGAGGTCCTGGCTGAGGCGGATATCCCGGGTGATAAGAGTGATGGACATGGTGCCCGGGCGGCGGGGGTGGAGGTGCGTGGTGTTGCTGGTGTTGCGGTTGGTGGTGCTGGGGTGGATGCTCATAGTAGTATCCTTGTGGGGCAGGCGGGGCATACGCGGGATACTCTCCGTACCTCGGGGGAGGATGAGGCGGTGCATGGTGCGGCGGCGGGTGGTGAGGGTAGTGATGCGGATACGACTCGTACCAGCCGGATTGCGCTGGCGCAGGCGTGGGAGGGTATGCGTATGCCGACGGCGGAGGGTGTTGGTGCAGCGGAGGAGGGGCGCTGTGGCTGTAATGATGCGGCGGTGGCGCGGCGGGGTAGTGGTGTCCAGGAGGCGGTGCATGGTGGCCATGCGGCTCGTAATGGTACGGCGGTACACCTGCAGGCGCAGAAGCGGGCACGGGCACAGGGGCAGGCGCAGGCGCTACTGAATGTGGAGGAGCCGCAGCGTACCGATGCTCGTATGAGGACGAGGGACCCGAGGTAGGAGCTGGTGGGTAGTGATGGTCCGCAGCAGATGTCGCTGGCGGTGGTGCCTGCACAGTCGACGGCGGCGGCGGCGGATTCAGCGCAGGATCGATCGCACCCCAACCGGGAGCTCCACTCACGCTCGCACTTGACGGGCCCGCACTGACGGGGCTCGCAGCAGGACCGTTGGAGAGCCGCTCTGGCGCAGCTGCGGTCGTGTTGACCAAGATGCCCCCGTCATCGCCTCGCGCACGCTTGAGACCACGGTCACTCGCACTGTGCCTCCTCCCTGGGGCTGCACTACCACCGGTCATGTGTTCTCCCGCAGTTTCCCTTCGTACGGCCAATCTCCGGGGCTCCTCGCGCGGGCTTTCTCTATCGCTGTCGGCGCCGCGCCCTCGATCATACTCTTGATCGCTGTCCTTGTCCCTGCGAGCATCACTGTCGGGTCCCCGTCTGTCATCTCGGTCCCGCTCCCTGTCGTCCTCGGGGTCTGGGTCGTCAAGACGGACAGGGACAGGGCCAAAGGCTCCAGAGGGTGGGGGCTGCCCCACCAAAGGAATAGGTATGGGGGTCTCGCTGAGACCCTGCATTGGTCTCTTGCGGACCCGAATGTCTTTCCTAATGCGAATTTTGATGCCTTGGTCAGCAAGGGAGCACGACAGCGGAGTGGATTCTGTTATCAGTGAACGTAGATCAGCAACCAAGTTGAAAGCGGATGCGATATATATGAAGTAGCAATCGACAAGAAGAGGGCTCATGGCCCAGAACCCCACGCAGCCAGGGCTGCCGTGACGCCTGCCGTATGAAGACGCGGGGAGGTCGATTGTGGTGTGAAGAATCTACGTTCGTCGATGGAAGAACTGTATGCAAAGGCTCACCTTCCATTCCCGGGAATTTCTTCGCCGTGTACACATAAAACGGCGCCGAGAATATCGACTTGCAGTGGTATACACTCGAACTGTACATGGAAGGAAGAAATTCGTTAGCCTATGCCTTCTCGAACCGGCAACTAGGCGTAGATCAAGTCGAAGATGTAAACAGAGATGCCGCGAACGGCGCCTTGTCTACTGCCTGAGTTATTTTCCTGTCGCCAGATCCTCGGGCACGCAAGTGGAAGCGCGCGAAAGGGTGGCATATTACATATGGCTGGGCAACACGGGATCCTGCGGCAGAGATATAACGAACTCTATCCGCCGGGGGCCCATTGCACCGATACCATCACCATGCACGCCTCCAAGCCATCAGTGCCCGTCTGCACAACCACCGAATGCTGCAAAATGGGAGACAAAGACCCTACGTTGACGGACGGTAAAGACTCGCGAGGCGCACGAAGGTGAGTCCAGCATGTACTGCACAACCATTTGGTAGCCGAACACAAAACTTTGTCCACATTCATCCACACTCGTCGACACGGTCATCAGAGAATATGCCGACAGACAGACGTTTCCCCGACAGAATAGCCCACGCGAGGCTGCAGCAAGCTACAGCGGCTCTCGCCCCACCGACAGCGGGGCGATCAGCGGATTGAGCACCGCCACCATGCGCTCCCGCACCCTCAACAGTACACGATCATGGGATAGCGCGCTAGGATGCCACCAGGCCGGCAACTCCCGCACAAGCCAACGCCCGGCACCAAAACTTAGGAGGTAGGCAATAGCCTGGGTACGTTGCCCCGCACCACCACCTCCTATTCCACGCGTAGTGGAGCGCACCGTTGCCCCTAACATCACGCCAGCCAACCCTGACCCGAAGGCCGCATCGCGTGTCCGAACGCTCGCGGGGTGATCGCCCGCGCCAAACTGCCGGGCCCACGACGTCCATCGACCGGGAACCACCTAGAGCCGCGGGCTGAGCCCAGGGTAGCCCGTGTGCGAGCGCACGCCGCCGCGGCCTCGGGTCCACGGCATCAAGAAACGGCGGATGCGTGGAACGCGGCGCCGAGTAGGCATCTTGGAACGGCTGACGACAACAGATCAACACCATTGCGCATCAACGTCCCATCCCCCGCGGTCGGGACCGGACGTGAGCAGACCGCCAAACTAGCGGACTGTAATTGCCTCGCAGCGACGCAGGCCACGAGCGCCGTCCTGTGTTTCCGTGGAACGCAGCTAATGCTTCGATCGTACTCTATATTTCATGCAGATTTCCGTTTTCCTTCAACACACACGGCCCACACACGTACATTGCGGATACACCCAGTCGAGAATCATGGCTCATGTCATGCAGAATCCCGGAAAAAGAAGCATAAGAGATGCAAAATATCACTCACCCAACGACCTCGTATAAGCTCAGCTTCAGTCGATAGCTGCCCTCCGTGCGCACGCTCAGATCGGGGAAGACAAAGAACCCCGCATCTGACCCGCCTGCCTCGGCGTCTTTCAAGTGGTACAGTGATGAAACCACGGAGCCTGTTGTACAGCGCGTCTTCCCATCCTGCAGGGGGACTGCGTGAGTCTGGTGCGACTGTGGCTTCCGAGAAAAACACACGCACCTTCAGCCAGTGCAGCTCAACGTCCTCATCGGGTTTCGCCAGGCTCGCGAACATGAAATAATACGGATTTTGCAAGAAGCTCTGTGAAGCGGAAGATGTAGGGGTCCCGTCTACAATTGATGCCACATAAAGTTTCGTCATGAGTATCATCCACACTTGCTGACCAGACAACGCGCTTACCAGGAGAACTCGCACGCGAATCGGCTGTAAGAGGCCGCCGGTGCGACGGGTCGATCACACGCAGTTGCACGATGGGTGGTGGGTCTATTGGCCGGCGATCGGCTGCAAGAAACAAAGATGATGCACATGAGTAAGATGAGTAGACTCAGGCATTAGAAATGATGGAATGTGGGCAAAGTTGTGTATGTGCCTGGGGGAAGGCTACGAAAGGAATGGACCTTTACCGCCTACACCGCACATTCGCGCCTGCTTGGGTTCTTGGCGTACTGTCAGCTCATATTCTCTGCGGTTTCGTCGCGCCATCGTGTCGTACGTCGAGGTTCCGGAGGTCGTTACCGAGGAGAGGGCGAAGAGAGAAGAGGGCACGGTCAGCGCTTGGGATGGTCGACGGGTGAAGGATAACGAGCGGCCCTCGAATGACCCTCCTCGCAAGTCCTTGTGAACAAAATGACACTTACAGTCTGTCTCTGTCGTACTGCGAATGCAGCGGCAACTGCGCATGCACAAAGTGCTGCTCGTCGTCCATCCTTTCGTAAGGGCCGTCCTCAGTTCTCCGCGTTCTCCTGCGTGTGTTGTCGTTCACTAGTAGTCAAGCGTCTGCAGCCAGAGACCGGGATATAGCACGAAACAAGCAGCGATAGCGTCGGAGGAGAGATTGTTTGTGGGGGGTTACATAAAGCAGCCACATTCGCGCCTGGCCGTGTCGTGTTCCCACCCCTGGGCGCAGGCGGCCAATGACGGGCAGCGCTGCGATCGGAGAGCCAGGGCCGGCTCTCCCCGATAAAGGCACGGATCAGCTTCCGCGTCCTAACTAAGTAGTGCGTCCTAATAAGTACTGCGTCGTTCGCAAATACTTACGACCAACAACATTCGAGTCGGTGCGCGGGGAGTTAGCATTGACAACCTCACTGACAGTTGATGGTCCCCAGGGCACACACATTTCAACTAACTGTAGTTGCATTAGTGATCAACGTCATGGTTTTTTAACCTCAAGCTCATAATGAACCGCTCCCCCGCACCCCAGCCGGGTATGAAACCTTCGCTCTTGAGAGCGACACTCTTGAGTAGGCTACGGCCTGAGCTGTCCTCGGCGCTTCTTTCTCCGTCGCCCTTTGACTTTGACCGACACCAGATCTACGTATTCGAGTTCCTAAAGGGATCTATACTTGCGCCCCAGACAGCACAGCGTTGCCAATCGAGTAGTCTCAGCTCCGTCTAGGCATCGTGGCGCGCGACGTCTGCAAACTCGTGTGCGTGTTACGTCACATTCGCATTCTCCCGCCGTTTCAGCATCTTGGCACCTGGCAAACTTTTACATCACAGCTGCGCGCCCCGGCGTTACCGCTATGCCTGGCGATCTGAATGGGACTGCCCCTGCCTCGTCATGAGCCGCAGCTGCAATGCGCGCCTTGTCCTGTCAACAAGGGCCGAGACCTCTCGGCCGTATGCTCCAAGGTTCGGGTGTATGCTCCAAGGTTTGGACACACCAGCACCCATGCTCCGAGCGGCCCTCTGCCGCTGTATGATCTCCAATTCATGTGTAGGACTCTGATCCTGATCCGGACAAACTTGGGCACTCCAATCCTTGATCTCCTCCAGACGAATTTAGGCTCTGGCTCAATATGTGATTCGGAGGTGCATGAGATATCTGGACACCGTTTTGGACATTGTTGATCGGAGGGCACCGATTGGTTGATCAGCCCCACTTCATTTGGTAAGTGGTAAATAACACACTTCGAAGTGTACTATGGTTTACCAGTGAATGGCCCTCCCTCTGGATGGCCAGATTTGTAATGGCGCAACAACAAGGCACTCTACCACCCTCGAAATTATGTGGTCGCCTATGTTTTCATATGCCTGCTCTCACCTTCAACTTGTGCCAGAGCAAGCAGGTGAGTTGTTGAGTAGTCCCTTCTTTCGAGGGATATGATGGCGATGTCACGCCCGAGAGCACGATGGTTACTACGGATGCGAGCGGAGTCCGAAGATGGACCTGTCGATCGTCTTGAAGCCACCACCGCTGAGCATGGGTTCAAGCCCCGGCCCTGTGTGCCGCGCTGACTTTGCAATCGGCACCGGCGTCACATTGATGTGACGAAGTGTTACCTGGCCATCAAGAGGTGGGTCCGTCTACTGGTAAACCATAGTATTCGATGAGATATCCGCCTATGGCCAAAAGTTGAAAACCACTGCTGTACAAGTCGATCAAGTTCTGAGGCACCATGATCAGAGTTTGCGGGTGCGCACAATTAGGTATTGCATTTCTTCGATCTCTCGCACGGCCTCATGTTCTTCGTCTTCTCTCATTGTCATTCGCCCGCTCTTCCAGGGTGCAGATCTGACCTGTCTCTAGTACTGTCCCCGGCCGTTCTATGTCACCGGAGCCGTGGTCATCAGCAACGTCCGTCCGCTATAGAAGCTGTGTGTCGAGAAATATGGCGTAGGCCACACTCACAGCTAGAACATCTAGAACCGGCGCATTACCGCCTTTCGTGCACATGGGAACACATTGCGACTTGCTGCCTGTGCGCCCTACAACCCGTGATATGTTGTTCCACTGCCAGTTGTCGCCGGCGTTCTGGTGCAAGAATAAGATGTAGCGTGAACACTCGTGGCCAGCCGAAAACAGACACCGTGATCGGGGTATCCGAGATTGGAGATCAGACCACTATTACGAGTGCTGTATATTTCGATATGACATCAACGAAGCTGTCTGCTATTGACATGATCTCGACGCCGCCATCGCTCGTTGCTGACCACGCTTGCCCCCACCCCGAATCTTGGCGCTCGGTGTTTGACGGATTTGTGCACGGTGCCAGAGAAAGGCACGGGCTGAGGCCAGACCGACGCTAGTCCAGTGCGCTGCTGTTCTGTGGCAACACCCGCTCTCGGAGCCCGCAGTCTCCGAGCGGACATGAACACCCCGCAGATCGCAGAATCCGTGAAAGAATCTGTCGAGTGCGGTGCACCCTTATTACACTGAAGGCAATCCCACAGCCGCAAACGTAACGCCGCGCCGTTTACGTTCGATTGTCCCCGGTGTGGCGGTACCGCGCGTCCGATGTCAGGAAATATACTGGCCAAACTCGGTATCGGCACACGTCACGACAGTACTGCACCCGATCCCCCACACGATCGCACGCGCACGCGACGGCACGGAGCTGTTCTTCGCGAAGCGCGAAGGCAACGGTCCCCCCGGGAGAACCGCATCAATGCTGCCTCCTCGCACGCTCTGGTGATTCGACCTTGAAGGAGCGCCGGTCCAGGCCCTGGCAGCCTTCTGGCTCTCACAACGGCGTTAGCACGCTACGAGGACATCGACCCGTCGAGGCCGGAATTTAGCGCTAGCTCAAGATGCTTTGGGCCTCTTTGAATTACTTGTACCATGTTCGCCGTTGACACTGGCGCCCCACGCCACTGCGCATGGCCGACGCGTCGAAGGCGTGTCGTCAGGATCGCGCTTTACGTCCCATTTCAAAAACTAGCCTGTTTAACTGACACTGCCTCTGCCACATTGCTTTCTGATGAATAGATGTCAAGTCATGCCTCGATGCGCGCTGAACTTGTAACAACTGAACGCGTCATGGCGTCGATAAGTGAATATAAACACTCGGGAGCATCATTCCAGCGATATCGATTGTCAGTTCTTAGTCCCGCCACAGAAGTCAGTAGCAAATTTCGTTAGCAGCTGGGTCACCCGCTTGATACTCGCGGCATCCACCGACTCGTTCGCCGAGTGCATGCCCCGACCCTGCGCCCCAAACAGCACGACAGGTATCCCTGCGTCTGCCAAGAGCGCGCTATCCGCCCAGTACGGGGCACCGGTAATTCTGGGGGGCACACCGAGGACCGCTTCCGCGTGCTTGCTGAAGAGGCGCACGAACGCATGATCCGCGTCGACCTCGTAGGGCGAGCGCGACTCGCCTATGCGCAACGCGTACTGAAAGTCCGGTACGTCTCTCGTTATGCCGTCGAGGATCACTCGTAATTGCTGTTCCACCGTCACAGGCGTCTCTCCAGGCACCGTCCTGCGCTCAACGGAGACAGTGCATAGTGCTGGGTAAGATGATATCTCTTCTCCGCCCTTGATCAGACCGGCGTGCACAGTTCCCGTGCCAAGTAGCGAGTGGCTGACTGCACACGTCAGTTGGCTTTTCATTAGTGCATCGCCGTAGCGCTCCAGCGCAACGAGGAAGTGTCCCGCCTTCGCGATGGCATCTACACCCAGGTCAGGACGGGACCCGTGCCCCGCTTTCCCGATGATGTCAACTTTAGCCCAGACAAAGCCCTTGTGCGCGAGCATAAGAGCCTCGTCGGTGGGTTCGCTGACAACTGCACCGTCCGCCCGCCAGCCGGCCGCCAACACCTCCTGTGTGCCCAAGCTCAAGTTCTCCTCGTCTGCAACAAGGGCTAGAACGATATCTCCTTTCAGATCATGCGTCTCGCGTGCACGATAGGCAGCCACCAGTGATGCAGCAACGCCCGCTTTCATGTCGAAGGCGCCGCGCCCATGCACAGCACCGTCGATGATCTCACCACTCAACGGATCACCGTTGTATCCAGCCAGCGTCACCGTGTCCACATGCCCGTTGAACATCAACGTCCGTCCTGCGCCACTTCCCTTTGCGACGCCGATGATACTGGGCCGGCCGGGGCGCGCCTCGAGGCGGTGCACCGCAAAGCCGTGGTGCGCCAGCCATGCGTGGAGGTAGTCAGCGATACGAGCCTCTCCCGCACCCGCGTCTTTGCTGAGGTCAGGGTTCGACGAGTCGATGCGCGTCAGGATCTGTGTGAGCACGACGGGGTCCGTCGTGGTCGCGTCGAGCGGTGGTACATATTCTCGCGGGCCCTCGGTCGCGAGTAGGAGGACAACGCTGTCCGGACGGAGAGCCCCAGGCCGCAGGGATGCAAAGCGACGGAGTGCTGCGAGGGGCGCAGCCCCGCACGGTCCTGCGTCGATACCAACCCGTTGGAGGTCCTTCACGGCCTGATGCGCCTCAATGTCCGCGACTGACGTGGCGAAATCGCCGCCCCCGCGCAGCAACGGCCACGCGAGCGGCGACACGGTGCCGCAGCACAAGCCGGTCATGATAGTCGGGCTTGTCAAGGTCCCGCCTGGCACAGAGGCGGTGACGGCGCTTGTCGAGGACGCCGACGCGTTCCTGAGCGCGGTTATGAGGCAGGCAGCGGTGTCGGGCTCTACAGTGATGATCTGAGTTTGGCTTGTGCGTCCGGTCCGCTTGAAGTGTGTGACGGCGGCCTGAGCTAGGGAGCCGACGCCGACAGGAACCATGACGATGTCAGCATCCTTTCCTCCTGTCAGCGTGTGTATTTGCTCGTCTATCTCCACGAACATGGTCGAGTATCCGTCTACAATCCACTGCACCACACAGCCCATAAGTTAACATCAGGATACAAATCGATTATGGTATATATGTACCTTCGGAATCTCTTCATAGCCCTCTAAAGCTGTATCCTGCACTAAGATACCATTCCTCACAGCATTCGCAGCTTCGTAAGCCTTGAGCACAGCGGCATCGTAATCGCCATCCACCTCTTCTACCAGTGCACCTTCGTCCGCAATAAGCGATACCACTGATGTCTCGAGCCCCTTTGGCACATAGACCTGGCACTTGACTCCTAGCAGGCTACTTATCCTGGCCAACGCGCGTCCATGATTCCCGTCCGTCGCGGTCAGCAGGGTGATCCCGCGATCCTTTGCCGCCCTTGACAGATCCGCGAGCGATCGTCCAACATGATTCAGCGGCAACCCTAGATGCCGTGTAATGACGCGGCATGCGGCCCACGACGCGCCCAGGATCTTGAAGGCAGGGAGTCCGAGGCGCACGGACTCGTTCTTCACAAGAACGTGTCCTACGCGCAGCTCGCGTGCGAGATCAGGGAGAGAGAGCAGATCTGTTGGTGTATAACCTTCAAGGGAGGTGTGGAACGCGGAGACGCTCGCGTCAGGACGCGCTGCCTGTGGCACAGTGTACTGCGACGCGAGAGGATTATGAAAAATGGCGGTCATAGCTCGTAATGTGCATAAGCAGAGATAAGTATTCTATGTCGCGCTTCTGATAACGCAGTTGCCCATTGCGGGTGATGACGCATGACAACTTGCTCGTTCGGTGACCTCGAAACCAGACGTTCCGCCGCGGCTGCAGTAGCGAACGCAGTGATGGACGGACGACTGTGAGACCAGAGCTCGCCTGCGAGTTCTCTGCTAGACTCGTCGACAGCTGATTGGATTGGAATCGACGTGCGTAAGCGGACTTCTGGCGGCCCTGACCACAACGCCCCTTGATAATTTGTGGCTGCGGCCATAGTTTGCCCGGTCCAGCCAGGTCGAGACATGGTCCCCACCGTTGACTCTAAATTGCGTCTTGCGCACGAATCCTCTCGGCTAGGTCTAACGATAGGGGTCAGCTGGATAGACGAGGGCAAAACCACTACACCTAACCCTAGTTTAAGTGTCTACTATCCCGATTATCACGGAATTCACGAACGCCACATCAGTGCAAGGTTACAACGACGCTGATCAACGACATTTGCTGAATCATGTAGGTGCGTTACAAATGATAACTATTCCAATTTTACCGGAATTCACGAACACCACATCAGTGCAGGTTCACAACGACGCTGAGCAACGACGTTTGCCGAACCATGTAGGTGCGTTACAAATGCCAGGAACTGCGGACGGAGAAAGTGGCTATAAATACTGGCGATTGAGAACTGATTTTCGGTACCAGACTGCCACCGCCATTGCTGTTGACCATCGAATATGACTTCTCCTTCATACAAGCCCCTAGTGCTCATCGTCGGTGCAACTGGACGTACGGGTGGTGTAATTATCGACGCGCTCATAAAATGCGCTAAATTTGTCAGTCCCGCTGCCCTCTATGGAGCGCCATGATTTCTGACCGTTTCGTTAGAGGACTGTGGCGCTCATCCGGCCGTCTTCAGCCGCGAAACCCGAGGTCGAACAGTTGCGCGCTCGCGGTGTGGAGATACGCCTCGGGGATATCACAGACACCGAGGACAAACACAAGGCAGTCTTGTCTGGCATCGATGTCCTCATCAGTGCTGTCCATTCGGAGCATCTCACTGCACAGAAGCCGCTCATCTCTGCTGCAAGGGATGTCGGCGTAAAGCGTGTCATTCCCTGTGACTTTGCGATGCCTGGCGCGAAAGGCGTGCAGGACATGCTCGACGAGGTGCGCAACCCATACAGCTGAGGTTTCCCTCATAGGCTCATTATGTTGTTGTCAGAAACTTGCCATACGAGACTTTGTCCGTGCCCTCGGTGTCGGCTATACCTTTGTCGATGTCGGCTGGTGGATGCAACTCGCCCTACCGTTTCCGACGTCCAGTGAGGCCACCGGCTCGCCCTGGGTCCACATCTCGCGCGAGTTCTACGCCAAGGGCGACAAGAAGAACCTCTACACGAACATGGAGCACATTGGCACCTACGTTGCGCGCATCATCGACGATGACCGAACGTTGAACCAGTACGTCATCATCTGGGAAGACGAGCTCACACTCGAGGAGGTCAAGACCATAGCTGAGAAGGCGTCTGGCGAGGAGGATGTCCTCAGGGCAAAGAGAGTGGTGGTGCGTCTCATGTTTGTCATTTGCGAGGGCTTCAGATTCTGAAGGTAGTGGATAGGTTGAAGCTGATGAGCTCCAGAGCCGCGCCAAAGTTGCCAAGGAAGAGGCACTCCGTAACCCGAATCCCGGCACACAAATTCTGCGGCATGGGAACCAGTTCATGATCAGTATGCATATTCTGGGCGAAAACTCACTGGAGAACGCAAAAGCGCTGGGTGCACTGGACGTGCGAGAGCTCTATCCGGATATTGTTCCGCAGAAGCTTGGGGACTTTGCCCAAACGTTTTACCAGGCCCCGTCCCTTCCGAACGTGCAGTAGGATTGATCACTGCTATGTATTATCAAGGCTGTTAGCTTTGCATTGTTTGGCAGCTTGAATTTTAGGGCGAGGTTCGACTTCAACTACTTTACAATATGGCCTGACCCCAGGCGGAGGCTTGCCTATGTTCCAAGAGCCTTCTTACGTCAATCAAATAAGCTGGAAGCTGGAAAAGATTACTGTACATATACAACTGCATGTGCATTCAATGCGACAGTTCGACGTAGATCATAATGTTCACTGGCGAATTGTCTAGAATTCGGACGGTGACCAAAGATCCAGCATTTCCGCTCGCGCGTGATTCACAGAACACTTGCGTACTATAGCAGACAGGTATCTCTTAGTGCGGCGGGTGTTAGCCAACGAGGGGCGTCGAGACCTGCTAATGTCGATCAGGCATGTTGAGTGGTTCTTGGGCACGCTCGCTCATGAACCCCGAACCGAAACTCCCGCCTTGATGCCCAACTGAACCTGAACTTCGCTTCGGTTCGGTGGCTGACGGTCTAAGACCGAGCTTCGGAGACATTAGCGGCTCGCTGCAGCAGCAACTTTGTGGAAGACCCGACGTGAGTTGGAAAACGAATTGACGTTCAGTGACTTCGCTGGAAAGTGCGCAAAGCTGCAAGAAACGGTGTCGCCGCCGGTATCATGGCATTTCGTTTTGTAACTTGGAGTTGTGGCGAGCGCATGCCATCATATGATGTGGCATTGTTTGTAGTACCGAGTCGAGAATTGTGCGAGTGCCTCTGTGTACGTTCCTTACGCGCTCGACAGAGCTCAGACAAATGCCCAGTATGGCAAGTATGGAAGTTCACACAAAAGCCTTGAATCTCGAAGCGCCCGCCGGAAGCCGTTGCCGGTTGATGAGTAACTAGCGCTGGCGTCATCGTCCGAGCGAGTGAGCGTCAGTGCTCTCGTGCGCTTCGCCCGCAAACAAAAGCACCATCTTTTTTTAATTCCACGGGTTCAAGAGCACTCTCCCATAGCCCAGAATATGGGATTTGCAATGCACCTTTCAGAAACCACCCTGGAATATTGATAATCGCACTCAAGGTGAATATGTCTCTCCATGTCCTATCACAAAGTATTCGGCTCATTGCGTGTTGCATGCTGCAGAGTACTTGAAGCAAAACAAAAATGTATGTTATAAAATGCCCAGGCACCGAGTAGACCGATTAAGCCGGAACATTTGACATTCAGCGCTGGTACAGTGTCTGTCCATCACTGAGAATCCAATAAGATCGCAGGGGGCGTAGGCTGCTACAGGCCTCGAGCGACGAGATATATCACCTTACCCTCCGAGATAGTCTACCTTCTTTCGCCCACCTTCGCAACCTGCAAGGCTTCGCAATCTAAGGTATGTGAATGGACAAGAGTGATCAGCAATGCAGACGTTAATGTTTATCCCGAATGGGATCCCAGGTTCAACATGGTAGCTACTGTCGAAGGGGTGGGGTGTTCTCCCGAACCGATCGCGGCTCTGGCAGTACGTGCTCTCGCGTTGCGTGCATTCATCACTTCTCATGCATGATGTCAAATACCTTCAGGACCATATCGCTCCCCCAGAGATCCTGGCCCATATCCTTGAGGAAGGATTCAAAGACTCGAATTGTCTGGAACGAGTGCGTTTCGTACAACGCGCAGCGTCTGTGTCGCGGACATGGCGCACTACTGCATTGAACACGTCGGCTCTGTGGGGCACGGTCGTCATCACACGTCCCCGCGCGCCCCCGCTGACCGTTTTTACGACACTTCTTGAACGGTCACGCGGCGCACAGCTCGACATTTTCCTGGATTGGTACCACACCGGACCTCCCCGTCGAAACGTGCAACGGGTGGAGGATCCTGCCTATATCAAGGACGCGATGCAAATATTGCGTCAACACATGCAGCGGTGGAGATCAATCGACCTCACATGGGGAGTGTCTGGGTCAGATGAACTCGATGAGACATTTGCGCCCCTCCTCACTGGATCGGCAGCCGCTCTGACAAGCTTGCGTCTCCGTTGCGTCTGTCGTTTGATCTGGTATGAGGACCTAGAAAAATATGACTTCACTAAAGGGTTTTTGGCTCCAAATCTCCGCAGCATGGTGTTGGATGGCCTGCCGTCTGCTATGGATCTGGGAAGGGTGACCGCGCGCTTTCCAACCATCTCCGAGCTCACGTGGAAGGAGAGCGGCGACGGCGAGAGCAAATGGATCTATGAGAGCATGGATTTCATGCCGATGCTGGTACCCCTCCACGACCTGCGACATCTGACGCTAATTAACGTCTACGCGGATGACGTCCGAAACGAGCCGCCAGACAATAACGAGGCTTTAATCTGTCTCCCCGCTCTGGAGACACTCACCTTTGATGACACCGATTTCGGGACCATCGGAGATATGCTTTCCGTTGTGACCGCCCCGAACTTATGTGGCCTCATCATTCACAACCCTCAACATGAAGACCAGACAGTCTCCTTCCACGCCTTCTGGCAGCAACCCAAACGCTTCCCACTGTTACGCACTCTATACCTCGAGTACAACGTCGACGGGTTGACCATCGACGAGCTAATCGCCTTTTGGCGCCCTTTCCAATTCTTCCGCTCTGCACGCATCATCCATACATTTGCGCGCGACTCTAATGATTTCTCCATGGATGACGTCCTGGAAGCCCTCTCTCACGCACAAGAAGATGGGCGATGGCTCTTCTCCCACCTCACCTCCCTCGCCATATACTCTAAATCCTATATAGCCACAGATGGGCTTCGGCAGCTCGTGGATAATCGTCGGGAAACGGGGATAGAGGTGCCCGATGTAGGCGCAGTGGGGCTGCAGACGTTGAAAATATACGCACCGGCGACAATTGACTCGACGGATTCAGATTACTTCGGACAGAATCTGCGTAATTTCGACTGGATCCAAGGCAAGCCGCCCCCGGGTTGCGACAAGCAGCATCTCTCGATGGCAAGCTGGGCGATGCAATTAGTGCGTATCGTACCTTGATATTTCCTCCGCCAAATGCTGATGCACAGTAGAACATCGACAACCCATCATGATCATTGCAACCGACAGCTTGCGGCATCGATGGTTTTAGTATGGTCATTCTAGCATTCAAACAATGAGGATTTTTGATTGGGTTGCTTAGTCGGTGTACGTCAGGCTCATGCACTGATGCAAGTCTACTATGTACGCGGAATACATACAGGTCTGATGTCTTTAGTTACACTTGTACGCTTTTTTGAGATCATGACTGGAGGTATTGACATCATATCAATGGCTATTTATGAGTAGTCAAGAGTTTGGGCGAAAATCACCGCCAGGTATGGCAAGTCACCATCCATGGCACGTGACCATATAAGCGCCCGCTGGCGGTTCGATGAATGTTGCCGTCATCGTCCGATTAAGCGACTGCTCCTGCGCTTCGCCCGCAAGCAAAGGCATCATCTCATAGCTGAGAATATTGGATGTAGAATGCGCCTTTTCGAAACCTAGCTGGAACATTGACAGTCGAGGTGAATGTGCCTGTCTCTATCCCACCACCAACTATTCGGCTAAGTGCATCTTGCACTCTGCATGGTACTTGAAGCGAAACAGAAATGTATGTTTTGAGATGCTCAGGCACCGAGTGAATCAATTGAGCCGAAACATTTGATATGTTTGACATTCAGCGCCGGCACAGCGTCTGCTTATCCCTGAGAGTCCCATAAGGCCACCAGCCTCGAGCACGAGATATATCACCTTATCATTCGGTCTAGCCTATTTTTTTGCACGTCTTCACAATCTGCAAGGATCCGCAATCTGAAGTATGTAAATGGGCAAGAGTGATCAACAGCGCATACACTAATGTCTGTCCCGAATGGGATCCCAGGTTCGACATGATAGCTACTGTTAACCCGATCGCTCTGGCGGTACGTTCTCTCGTGTTGTGTTCATGCATCGCCCCTCATGGATGATGTCAGGACCACATCGCCCTATCCTGTATGCCCACAGAGATCCTGGCCCATATTCTTGAGGAAGGATTCAAAGACTCGAATTGTCTGGAGCGAATGCGTTTCGTACAACGCGCAGCGTCTGTGTCGCGGACATGGCGCACTACTGCATTGAACACGTCGGCTCTGTGGGGCACGGTCGTCATCACACGTCCCCGCGCGCCCCCGCTGACCGTCCTTACGACACTTCTTGAACGGTCACGCGGCGCACAGCTCGACATCTTTCTGGACTTGTACCACACCGGGCCTCGGCGTCAAAATGTCCAGCGGCAAGACGGTCCTACCTACATCAAGGACGCGATGCAGTTACTGCGTCAACACATTCAGCGGTGGAGATCACTCGATCTTACTTGGGGCATGGCTTTCCAGTGGTCAGATGAACTCGATTATATGTACGGGCCCTTCCTCACTGGAACAGCGGACGCTTTAAAGAGTCTACATTTGAGCTGCGTCTGTCGTTTCATTCACCAGGATGACGTGCAACGTTGCGACTTCACCAAAGGTCTTTCCGCCCCGAACCTACGTAGTCTGGACCTGGACGTCCCATCTGCCACCGATCTGAATTCGAGCAAAGTGACCGCACGCTTTCCGTCCATCCAAGAGCTCAGGTGGAGGGAGAACTGCAAGCCGAGATGGTTTCACAATAGCATGGATTTCATGCGGATGCTGGGACCCCTCCGCGACCTGCGACATTTGACGCTAGATAACGTCGAGGTGGAAGACGTCAAAAACGAGCCATTAGACGATGACGAGGCGCTGGTTTGCCTGCCCGCTCTGGAAACGCTTACCTTTTGCGACACCAATTTCGCCACCATCAGAGACATGCTTTCCATCGTGACTGCACCACAACTGCGTGACCTCACCATCCTCAATCTGATACATGAAGACGAGACAGCCTCTTTCCACGCCTTCTGGCAGCAGCCCAGACGCTTCCCACTTTTACGAACACTTAACCTCGAATACAACGTCGACGGGTTGACCATCGAGGAGCTAATCGACTTATGGCACCATTTCCAATTCTTCCGCTCGGCGCGCATCATCCACACGTTTGCGCGGGACTCCAACGATTTTTCCATGGAAGACGTGCTTGAAGTTCTCTCGAATGCACAAGAAGACGGCAGATGGCTCTTCCCCAGCCTCACCTCCGTTGCCATATACTCTAAATCCAATTTAGCCACAGATGGGCTTCGGCAGCTCGTGGGGAACCGCCAGGAGACGGAGACAGAAGTTCCAGACATAGGCGTAACAGGGCTGCAGACGTTGAAGATCTACGCTCCAGCCATGGTCCACTCGACGGATTCAGATTACTTCGTACAGAATTTGCGGCATTTCGACTGGATCCAGGGCAAGCCTCCCCCGGGCTGCGACAAGCAGCATCTGTCGATGGCAAGCTGGGCGATGCAATTGGTACGCATTGTGCCCTGTTCTCGCTTGCGCCAGGTATTCATGCACAGCAGAATATCGACAACCCGTCATGATCTACCAACTGACAGCTTGTGGCATCGACGGGTTCAGCATCAATTCAATGAGATTGCTGTTTTCTTGCTTAGACGGTGTACCTCAGGCTCATGCGCTGATGCGAGCCTACCATGTACGCGGAGTAGGTACCTCTTGTTGACGATCTACCTTCTAATGATACGTTGTATGTCAATGCACATTTTGACCATGCGTATGTCGAATTGCCCTTCCCCATTCTGTCTTCCTCATGAACCGCCGAACGCCCTGCTGTCAATGATGGACTACCTCGTGCGTTGCATAAAACAGTGTTCCTGTGGTCCGCCTTTCACAAATTATGGTGCGATAATCGCTAACATTGCCCTCCCCAACAAGGGATCCTACTGCATTGATCCTGCACCTGCCAGTGTTGTGTCGAGGTCAACATACTGTACAGCGATCGTGTGCCTCATTGGACGCTTTTGTACACAACTCACCTGGTGCTTTCCAGAAGCGGCATGTGTCTTCCGGCACAACAGTGGGACAAACTTTATGAATGAGATCAAAGTGGTACACAAGAAACAGTCAATTGACTGCGCTAAGTGGCGACAACGGCAGGCTGCACTCAACCCAACACTTCGTACTGAATCCCTCTCGAGCAGCTCGGACCATACTTATGTGATGCAGGCCCATTGACCAACGACATGACTGAACTAGGCGTCTGACACATTGAATATGGAATTACAAACTCATTCCGATTGCCATCAAAGGTATTCATCGGGCGCGGCCGATTCCTCAAAAGATGAGTTCACACGGTCGACACTACATATCGACAGGGGAAATATCACACTACGTCCGTTCAGTAAGCCGGCGGTGGAAGCGCTTGGTAGAATGTCTTCACAAAGTCTTCGAACTTCTGTGGAACGATGTCTGGATAGAGCTCTTGCGCGTCGAGCGCGCCCAGCACCTTGATATTCTCCCGCGAGTTCTCGCCCAGAACATGCATGCTGATCTGGTACTCGCTCCAGTACCAGCGGACCGCTGCAGCAATACTCGGGCTACGAAGTATTTCTTCCTTGCCCTCCTTGACACGGCGCTGAAGCTCGTCAGCGTCAACCTGTTAGAATTTCTCAATATCCGTAATATTAGAGACGTAGAAAGCGGAGTGACGCGTACCACCAGCCTCTTTGCCCTTAGAACATCCTCCTCTCCGGACGCCTTCTCGGAGAGGGTCTTCACCTCCTCGAGTGTGCGCTCGTCTTCCCAGATGACGACATACTGGTTCAGCGTCCGGTCGTCATCAATGATGCGCGCAACGTAGGTGCCAATGTGTTCCATGTTCGTGTACAGGTTCTTCTTGTCACCCTTAGCGTAGAATTCGCGCGACACAGAGATGTACAGCGAATCGCTCTCCTCGCTCGAGGTGGGATATGGCGGAATGAGCTGCATCCACCACCCAACGTCGATGAACGTATGCCCAATCCCGAGCGCGCGAATGAAGTCCCGGATGTCCAATTTCTGCAGCGAGGAGTCAGGTAGCGAAACATGTGAACTAGGGAGATACGCGCACCTCGTCATGGAGAACCTGTATCCCCCTTGCGCCGGGCGTACCAAACTCGCACGGAATGACGCGCTTGACACCCGCGTCCTTCGCGGCGGAGAGGATGCCCTTCTGTGCGGTGATCTGTCTCGCAACGACAGCGCTGATGAGGACATCGACGCCAGACAAAACTGCCTTGAGCTTGTCGTGGGGATCTGAGATATCCCCGAGGCGTATCTCTACATCACGAGCGCGCAGCTGTTCGACCTCGGGTTTCAAGGCAGAAGATGGTCGGATTAAAGCGGTGACTCGCTATATGTGGGATGTCAGAAGTTGATGCGCCCTGCATGGCGAGGTACTCACGAACTTGGAACTTTTGATGAGTGCATCGACGATTGAGCCCCCCGTGCGCCCCGTCGCACCAATGACAAACACCAGAGGTTTAGTCGAAGTCATGTTTGATTGTGTAAGGAGTGCGGAGTCCAAACCACCAACATTTATACGCCAGTATTTATCGGATGGCAAAATCTTGCGTGATTCAGCATCTTTTTTGAACGCCTCTCGAATATGTCCGCATACAATATGAGAGATGCCGATCCCGCAGGCATCGGGAAATCCTCGACTTACTACATGGCCAGAGACTATATTGAGATAAACCTGAGTTCACACGCACCAGGAAGAACCGCAACCCGCGGATCGGGTTTAACCGAAGTCGACCTTGGCTCCTCTCCCATCCGCCCGTCACCCAGCGCCGCACTGAGACAGGAGTCGGGATGAACCCAATGCCAGCCAATCTGTGCCAGGACGAACGACGAGACAGACAGATGATACGGATGCACGTGACACTGTGACGCTTGTGATCCACGGTGACTGAATCACTCAGTGCAGTTGCGTCGTTTAAGCATCCAAACTCCGCTGAGGCTTGTCAGCTGATTAACTCTTCAACTCGAAGTTCAACCTGGTCACAAACGACCGTACTCTATTGATGGGCTGCTGTGCTGGCTCAGTTATGGTAATTCTACAGCGCAATGCACGCTTAGTGCCTACACCAACTTATCGTTGTAGTGGGACACAGCGAGATGTTTAGGTCTCGGCTGAGTGGCTTTTGTGCTCAGCCTTTGCTATGAACTTTATAACACAGATACAGTCTTGGGAAAAGCTCGTGACAAAGTCTCAGCCTGGTGTACCCAACACACACTATACGGGATACTTGAGATATAGGACTTGTTGGGCATAGAACGATATTTTAGGATTATGTTCTTCAAACGAGCGGCCGGTCTAATACGTTCATAGGTGAAGGCTATCTGAGAGCTCTGATCACACGCTTATGTGAAACTCGAACAATAGGCGTGTTGTCGTAATATTTCTATCGACAGCGAATATTGATAGACTGACCCTCAGAACTAGTGTTGTCCACGGCTGGGCTTTGAGGCCCAAACCAGCCGGTCCCGGCCCGGACGAGCCGTATAAAGCCTGGCACAAGTCCAGCCCTCCCGGAGGGACCGGCTTTGAGTTCAGCAAATCCTAGGGGGCTCAGAGGGTGGACAAACCAATATGCGCCTTGCCGGTCACTGCCATACCACAATTGCTAACCTTCATTGGGAATGAATTCCTTTGAGCTAATGGAAGGCGCTGACGCGGGGTGAAGCTAGGTGGGCGCCAGCGGCAAAGCGTAGCGTCCTTTTTCATGATGAGCCCCACATTGACATCCTTGATCAAGGCCGACGTGAAACCTGAAGTAGATTGTATGGGTGAGTAAGCCCACATGCTTTGCCTACCGTGCCTGATGAGGCATAGCACCACAGGAGCGGAACAAACAACATGATTCACTCATACATCCCAGGATCGGGCCTGGTTTGACTTTGAAGCCCGCTCGAACCGTCGAAAGGAGGGCTTTGGGCCTCAAAACACACTAAGAACTATATATGTATGTACGTTCGCCCGAAGTGCTTAGGACCGTCAGGTTCATTTATTCAATAAATCCAGAGTAGGCACTCATTGTTTTGTCCCTGTCGGCATCGCAGGGCATTGTATGTTCTTGCTGTAGGTTAGTCCTTCGCCTCTTCCATCAATTGGGGTTTCTGCATGTGGTGCGGCGATTGTGCGGAGTTACATGACCGCAGACTTTGGCACTTGACTAAGACTATTCGCGTCCTCAGACTGGCTGGAGGCATGTCCCACATCTATTCATAGTCTCGCTGACTCAGACACCGTCGATGCATTCCCTTATTCACTATAATGTTTTCTGTGCCCAATCATGAGGCGCTATTCTGACGTTCTTCCGGCACTATCCCATCAGATATATGTCAGTTTCCCGTGAATATAATCCAAGAGGTACGACCCTCATTTATGCTCCTGGATATGGCATAGTTCAAGGGCTTGCCGAACACCGGCTCAGTCGTAGATATAACACTTGGAGCTCGTCCCAGACTACAAGGGCCTGCTGTTCCTACTACACCTTCCTGTTATTTTAGTCGATGATCTTCTATTACAGTCATGCCTGGCAAATCGCTACTCCCCTCTTACTTGTAGTTTTCTATACAGTCCTCAAGAAATTTACAGGAGGTGGTGGTCGCAAGCTTCCTCCTGGTCCAAGGCCGGTCCCTCTACTAGGCAATGTGCACCAGCTACCCTTGCTTTATCAACAGCGCGCCTTCGCGCAATGGGGCAGAGTGTACGGTATGCAATTGTCTGTTCTGCCATGTCACTGAATGCCCTGACATCTTGGCAAGGGGATTTGATATACGCAAGGCTTTTCCAGAAACCGGCTCTCGTGCTGAACTCGGTGCAAGTAGCACAGGATCTCATGGACAAGAGGAGCTCGAAGTACTCTGATAGGCCCAACTTCATCCTGCTCACAGAGCTGTGAGCAGTTCCCCCACCCCTTCCCGGCCCTCACTAATGACAACCCGGGACACAGCATAGGATGGCACCCGGTCTCTGCGTTCATGCCGTATGGAAAACGACGGAGGAAGCATAGACAGTGGATCCAGAGCGCATACGTGGATCAAAACTCTCTGCTGAGTTATAGGCCGGTACAGCGCCGCGAGTCGTACGCCCTCGTTGCGGCGCTGCTCGAGTCCCCGGATCAATTCCTGGCGCATACCAGAAGGTAGGTATGCGTGGCTTTCGTCGGGCCTTGTCTGCGTCTGACTAGACCAGGTTCGCTGCAGCTGTCGTGATGGAAACTGTCTTTGGGCAGCCCATACCATCTGGCGCCAACGAGGAGCATCTGCAGGCTGCATTACAAGCGACCATGGCTACCAATGATGCTGCAACCCTCACAGCTTCCTTGGTGGACTTCTTTCCTTTCAGTAAGCGCTCACGCCGTATGGTGCAGTCTGGTGATGGTCTCACGACCACTGTCCAGTGAGGCACATTCCTACATGGATGCCTGGGGCTGGCTTCAAGCACAATGCACTTCTAGTCCGAACCTACGTGAGCGCGATCATGGACAAGCCTTATGACGTAGTCAAGGCCGCCATCGTAAGACGATCGTATCTGTACCCTGCAAGAGTGTTTGAACGACGGTCACGCACAGACCTCAGGAACCGCCAAGCCATCATTCATGACGAAGTGCATGGACAAGCCCATAGAAGGTGATCCAAAAGAGCACGAGGAATATATCAAGGGCGCTGCCGGGGTGCTCTACGCCGGTGAGCGTCGCTCACCGTACTAGTGTTCCAGCCACCTGACATAAGACGCGTGTGTACAGCGGGCATTGACACGGTACATCCGCTCCTCGCACTGTGCAATGATATATATATATATATATATGATACTGATAATAGCTTCATAGACCATGATTGCACTGTCGACATTAATTTTGGCGATGGCGCTCTACCCAGAATGCCTCAAGAAGGCACAAGAGGAGATCGGTCGCGTAGTAGGCAGCCATCGACTGCCCGAGTTTGAAGACCGGGACTCGTTACCATATCTCGAGTGCATAATCAAAGAGGTCTATCGGTATATTGCTTCCACATTTGACCTAGCGCAAACCTTCTCATGCTTCTCGCACAGATGGAATCCTCCTGTTCCACTCGGTGCTTATCTCGTACTCCCTGATATGTAGTCCCTGTTTCCTCGCTGACAGCGTGTGAAGGTATTACCCACAGTCTCTCCGAGGACGACGTTTACCAAGGATATCACATGCCCAAGGGCGCCATAGTCGTGTCGAACATGTGGGGGATGGCGAACAAATCAGATGTTTATGCTGAACCCGACGCTTTCAGACCGGAGCGATTCGCAGGCATGGAACCTGACATAGCTGACCTCAAAGATCCACGCAAGTACGTTTTCGGGTTCGGTCGCCGGTAAGCTATGCTCGCACTGCGATACCGAAAATACCTCGTCTGATCAGTACTCACGGAAGAATATGCCCTGGCCGCTACTTTGCCGACACAAGCATCTGGTTGGCCGCTGCAAGTATGATTGCCACTTTGGACGTCTACAAAGCGCGTAACTCGCAGGGACAAGAGATCATCCCTCCGGCCGCATTCAGGCCTGGCTTCATTAGGTTCGTGAAATCACTGTCTCCCTTAAGATTGTAGCTCAAGTAGGCGCCAGCATCCCGGAGGAATTTCCATGCGAGATACGACCACGGTCAGAGAAGGTGTCGAAGATGATATTCGAGATGCTCAACGCGACGCACGATTCGGCGCCGGCTGCTAGTAGTGTGTCATCGTACGAAGACACCATGGCTTGACGCAGAGTGACTGGTGATAGGTGCGACGTCAAGGGTACTTCGTTCTGTATATGAGTGAGCGCATAATGTCACTTGTCTCTTTCCTGCGGTGGCCCGCCTGGTCAGGCTTGGATATGCAGAGTGTGCGCGCTCACGCGCCAATACACTTCATTTCATGTCAGTCTTGAGTGAGCGCATGAATGTGGTGCTCATAATGACCTGAGCACAGAGTCGCGGCCGAGCTGAGTTGTTTCGCATCAGCGCCTTCAATTAGCTCAAGGGTGTCCTTTCTCAGTGAAGACCTGTGAATCGTAGAGCAGCGCCTAACAAAGTGCACATTGATCCTCAGAATCTTGGGCGTAGGGCCCGGCTCAGGCTTGCTGGGACCCGAATCCCAGCGCTCCGGGAGGGCTTCTGCCCAATGATGTACGGTAACGCCTGAAGTTATATCGATGCGGGATCAGTCCCATGGCACACTATGAGCCCATGGTGAGAACCTCGATCGCGTTCATCGGTGACGATGTGCATTAAATAACGCCGCCAAGGTCTCACGCAGGGCGCCCCGAATCATTATCTTCAGCGTCCGGCTATATTCAGCATCAGAAAGTGTTGGACGGGGATAGACTTGGTCAAACGATTATCATCATCCGACTGAAATTTGCATCCGTAAGAGTAATCGATGAACAGATGGAATACATGCAATCCAGCCGTGCATGTGGGCGAAGTAGTCGGCAAGCGCCGGGTGTCCGGGGTCAAGAGCCATGTTCTGAGCTGTTTCACGACAACCGACGGAAAGAGACTAGAGGCTTTCGACTAACGCCCAGGTTGATGAGCTTGCGGTGCACAATGCACGGAAGAGCTGATCAATCGGCGATTCCCACCTTCGCATTCTCCGAGCCTGTGAAACCCGTGTTGCCTCTTAGATGTCATCTCTACCTACTATTGATAGTGGGACATCGCAGCGAGATGATAAAAACGATTCTCTGGGCGCATGATGGGATACATGGTTGTTAACGAGGTTCGTCCTCTAGACATTTTCTGAGGTACTGATGCTGATATATCTGCATGACACTAAGGTATCTATAAGGTTTGCCGCCCACTTTGATCCTGTGCGAGTGCAGTGCTCTAGTCAGGCGGACATGTCCCGCCGCGCATCTTCTCCTATGTGGAGTATAGAAGACCTCAAGAGCACTCAATAGAGAGTGATTTGTCCTTTCCCCTCGCCTCATGATACGTCTCCTATGATGTCTACAGAACCAGAACTCGATGTCATCGACTTGTACGTCCTTCGCGTGCTGCATGTGACAAGGTCGACACTTACAGGCCCTCAGAGCTGGGCCAGAGGTCGCATCTCTCTCTGAACTGGACATCTCAAGACTGACCTTTGAATAGTATATTGGAATTCTCTTCAATTGGGGCCTCGCGGGTGTCCTCAGTGTTCAAGTTTGTGCGCGATCTCCTGCTCTCCATGTAGTGCTGGTTTGACGCAACCTCATAGATATCTATCATCTCCATTTCAAGCAGGACCGTCTGGCTATGAGACTCCTTGGTCGGTCTCCATGTATATTTGTGCTTCAGCCTTCACACTCACGAAGTTGCTCAGTCTACGCTCTGCTCATTTTTGAGTGGGTCCAAACGGGACTTGTGACAGACATCGGCATGGAGGCGTTTGTTTATCATTACGGGAACCTTGAGGCGCTGGTGAACGGTTACAACGCTTGGTTTAGCACAGCAGTCATGAGCGGCATCGTGGCCGGGGCTGTGCAGCACTTCTTTGCATGGCGTATACTCATGCTTTCTCATTCTCGGGTTCTCGCAGGATGTATCTCTGTTGTGCGTTCCGTAGCATATTCGTCCGCTAAGGATGTTTGAGGCTAATCTATCTGTGTACACCCTCGTAAGCTTTCATTATTTGCTACAGCTGGTGCCTTCGCTGCAGGTAACAAGGCGCGTCAACACACGTTTCTGTCGTCCCTTGGTTGACTCATACACGTCCTATCCTTAGTTGAAGAAGGCTACCTCAAATACCGTCACAGACAGCCCGTCACTCATTGTAAACTTGCTAACTGTCAAGTGCTTCTGCGTGCTGATCAACACGCAGATATGGCTCGCTGGAAGCGCCGCTGTTGATATTATAATCGCATGCGCTATGATTATCATCGTATGCTTGTTTTCTCCGGTAGCAGTCTCAAGATGGCTCATTATAATTCAGTTATTGAGGATGAAGGCCGGTACTGCAAACTCCGATGCTCTCGTCAATCGGATCATCCGTCTAATTGTTGAGACTGGTACCGTGACAGGCGTGTTATGAAATTCATCAATACGCCTTCATATGGCTGATATTGTCTTATACGTCACAGCTGCCGTTGCTGTCGTCGACCTCGCTCTTTGCATTGGCTACCCTGTATGTTATCAGCTCCTTAATGCGTCACACCATGTAGTGTCTAACAAGTAACTTAGGGAAAGGCCTTTTTTAGTACTCCGTAAGTCATTAATGAGATGTGTCGACTCATGCTCACCATTCCTTGCTAGTGGCCTCATTATCTCAAAAGTGTGAGAGAATCTAACATCGTCTCCGTGTATTAGCCGCTTTAATCCCGTGAGAACAGTTACGCTAACACATTACTTACCAATCTCCTCGATCGGTTCTATACGGAACGGCCTGAGACCCAAGTCCATACCTTCGGTACCATCAGCCTTGCGCTGAATACTAGACCGTCTGCTGCGGCTACTACCAGTGGCCTTACCTCTCCTCGCACAGATCTCGAGGACCAGGTGTCAGTCGAGCAGCCAAAATGCTTCATACTCGAGGAGCTAGATGGAGAGGATGTAAATCATGTATAGTCTCTGACACCTATAAAGAGTGGCCTCTACCGTACAACTACTCCCTTACCTATGTATCATCGTCATTGCTGTTCAACAGCCGCTCGAAACGCAACTGTAGAAATATGAAAATGCTCTCGCTTTCGCCTTCGTCTTTGACCACGAGCGAGCCAGCAGGATGTGTTCGAGATGTTTGCGCCTTCCCTTAGAAAATATTCTGGAGAAGCGTTGCTTACAGATATGAGGCGTGAATGCGTTAAATACTCTGTAGCCACTTGGCAATTTCGCGCAGCGCCTTCGTTCTCTCCGGCTCGTGCCACGGCATGCAGACTGCATCATGGGTCACATCCGCCCACTCCATATAGTTCACTGCGTCTTCGCCGTTGTCTGCCTGAATTCGTTCTCGCAGCGTGCGCGCCTGGTCTAGAGCCAGTTCCGCCTGACCGACAAAGATGCACGTGCGTGGCAGGCCTGCAAATAAACCAGGCACGAATTCGAGCTTCAGAGAGGCGGGCGATATCCACACGCTCGTCGCTGCCGTCTCGAGCGGGAGGTTTCCCACGAGCGCACGAGCAGTGTAGTTGCTTAGGAATGCATGCTGTATGTAGTCCGTTGTTGCGTTCTGTAGCAGAGAGCTACCCGGGCCAAGATGCGTGTTTCCCCAGTCGGCAGCAGGAGATAAGAGGAGAAGCGCTCTGGGCGGGGGTAAACCGGGGAGAGCGGAGCGGGCGAGATAGAGCGCGAGACATAGGGCAATGTTTCCTCCGGCCGAGTCGCCGCTGAGGATGATGTTTTGGGGCTTGAACCCTAGCTCCTGCACGAGGTACCGATATCCCGCCACTGCGTCAATGATAGCGGCCGGACATGGGTTGGATACGGGCGACGAAGGAGGAGCCGAGGAGAGTCGGTACTCGAGAGAGAAGATGCGCGGGCCGTCGGGAAAGTGTTCTAGAAACCCGGCGTAGCATGTCTTCATGAAAATAAACGATGGCGATGCTGACCATGACTGCCGCACATGCCGTTGATTGGTTTGTTCCATTCAGAATGATAGGAACACTCACAAAGTATGCGCCACCTATAGTCAACACCATCAGCTTGTGGTGACTTCACATTGGGCACTGTACTAACCGTGAATGTGATAAATGACCTTCTCGTCTTGCAAGGCGTGCTCGCCAGCACGCATGGTCCTTCCTCGAGGCCCAATCCAATATCCTCCTACCCTCACTGCTTCGACGCCGTTCACCTCTGCCATGTCCTTGATCTCGCCAACAATGAGAGAGCCGAATACAGGCTCAATCCATACGAAGCCCTGGTCGTTTTCCTCCAATGGAGCATGATCAATGGGCTGAGTGACAGGGACTTCGGTGGCAAAGAGCATACTGGAATAGCTTTGACATATGAGCACAATCAGACACCGTCCAATAGACCAATTGCGCCGCGGACGTAGACCTGGTGCGAGGTAGGCGATCGCCCAGAACGGTAACCGTACGAAAATCAGCGCGAGAATTGAGCCTGCCGTGTACAGTGCCTTAAACGGTTGGCGACGGAATGCATAGTACTTCATCTCATCGAGTGATCTGAAGCGGCGCGGGGAGCGTGGGGTGAACACAAAAACACCCCACTACACATTCGAACTAAGTAGCTATGGATCCTGGGAGTTCACGTAGGCAATCACAAGTGCGACATAATCCGGCTGATACCATGACGGTCTCAGGGCGGTTAGTAAATGATCGCTGTGTACCAAGAAGCCGGTGACGCACGTGATGGACCTATGGAAACAAGGCGATAGAAAGCAAGGTCTATCTGCTCGTGTCGCACAAGTGAGATTAGCACAAGGATTATATGCTACGAAGCTGTCATATACCACCCAACACAAATCGAGGGGGCCAATCTGCGAAGGAAGCTGAACAGATTCGCACGGTTGATGACCGCCGATTTCATCTTTGAGATCCTCATTGAAGCCCGGGATTGCGTTTGTTGGGAACTTTGAGACTATGCTGTATGCCATCAGCGTTACTTCGAAGTTCTCACAAGAGTCGGGAATTGCGCGCCCTGGTGGTTTGCGCTCCTGCCGTGGTCAGGCCACACTATCGGCTCTCGTATATTGGAAGCAAAGACTACCAACAGTATAGGCCTGTCCCTGGGTACAATACGACATGATTGAAATTGGAAGACAATGCATTGTGGCCCACGAATACCTGTCCAAGGGCTCCATCTTACTTACTATTTGCTTTCGGGATGAAACATGCTCCATAAGTAGCCCCGGCTCATCTGTTGTTTCCATTCCTCTCACAGCGGTCCAGTGCCAATGGAAGGTTATATACATCGAGGATACTCCAACTTGGTATAGACCTTAGCCATGTACTGCTCGCAACACATTTTTCTGTCAGCTGCTGGTTTTCGTCAGTGTGCAGTCTGCGAGGGATTGGCGCAAAACGTACATTTTATATCTCCTCCAGCCATTTGGCGATTTCGCGGAGTGCGAGCGTTCTCTCTGGCTCATGCCACGGCCACATGAAAGGGTCATGGGTGACATCGGCCCACTCCATGTATTTGATCTTTTCTTCACCATTGGCAGCGCGCAGCCTGTCGCGCAGTGTGCGCACCTGATCCAGGAAAATCTCTGCATCACCTATGAAGATACACGTCGGCGGGAGACCACCAAACATGCCTGGCGTGACATCCAGCTTGTGCGATGCGGGAGATATCCACATGCTCGTGTTTGCCATCTCGAGAGGGTGCCTTCCCACGAGAGCGCGGGCGCAGTACTTAGACTTGAAAAAAAGTGTGATGTAATCTGATGACGCATTGCGGTGCATCGAAGAGCCAGGCTCGGTGTGTGTGTCGCCAAGATCGACGGCGGGAGAAAGCAGCAGAAGCCGTCCTGGCGGCGGCAAGCTAGGGAATTGGGACTGTGTAAGGTGCATCGCGAGCATGAGGGCAATATTGGCTCCAGCGGAGTCACCGCTGAGTATGATGTTCTGCGGCTCGAATCCCACATCTTCGATTAAATAGCGGTAGCCGGCAAGCGCGTCGATGATGGCAGCAGGGCATGGGCTCGATGCAGGAAAGGGAAAGGCAGCAGACAGCCGGTACTCGATCGCGAAGACGCGTGAATTGTGAGGGAAATGCTCCAAAAAGCCGTCATAACACGGTCTGGCCCATTTGTGGTTCGCAGAAAGCATCTACATAGTCGAAGTCGTCAGATGTGTGGTGGTTGAAGAACAATGCGAGATAAGCCTCACAACATATCCACCGCCTGTGGATTACGCCACGTCCGTAGAAATCAGCGGAAGTCACAGATGCAGTCTCGAGTGATTGAGGAGTACGCACCATGTACATGATAAATCACCTTCTCGCCCACCATGGCTCTTTGACCAGCGGGAACATCTCGAGGCCCAAACCAGTAGCCACCAGTGCGGACAGCCTTAACGTTATTGATCTCCGCTAACTCTCGTATGCCACCAGTGACCAGCTCAGGCACAGGGTCTATCCACACGAATCCTGAGCCGTTTTCCTCAGCGGCGAGGTTGATGGGTTGTGACACGTTCATGTCGGTGAAGAACAATGCCTCCATGACAGCATTGAGGAGTAGCACAGTCAAAGATCGCACAACCGACCAAGTTCGCCTTGGGCGTAGGCCGGGGATCAGGGTGTACACGGTCGTCCAGAATGGTATCCTTACCAGGATGAGAAACATTATATGGCCTGCCAGGAAAAGCGACTTCAAGGGCTGACGCCGGAATACGAAGTACCACATAGCAGCGATGGAGGTGCGTAGACGGCTCGGAGACTTCGCTCTAAGAATTGCGTGGAGAGGTCATTGACATGCCATGGCGGCCCAGAGTCGCCCCGTACTTGTGAACGCGTCTTGAACTTTGTGAGCTTTGGATCGAAGCCAGCAATTCGCTCCATCGCCACAGGTCCGCGCGCATCGGCTTGGCAGTGACAACGTAGTGACCTCGCTGAACACAAGACAGGAAGTGAGCATACCATAATAAACGTCAGGTCGCGCTTATCCACAAAGCGTAGCCACGATACCCCCAGCGACGATGCTGTTACTTAAGCCCAAGTAGTAGCCAATCGGACACGGACAGGCTCCGCTCGAAGTCAATTGCACCAGCCAAAGAGATTGGTGAACGGCAATGTTCGCGCTCCGCGGTCGCTTGACGCCTGAAACCCTCCGCTTCTCATACGAGCTGAAATCCGCAGTAGTAGACAAGCTTGAGCCGCGGCCAGCCAGCCCTGTTGCTTATTGAGGCGTCATATGTTAGACGAAGACAATTCTGACTTGGGGGTCGATATCTAAGGCGACGATGGCCTGATAACTCAATATTGACGTGATTAGCGATGCTGCGCGAGACCCACCTTCATGATCCCGAGGCGACTACATGATGGCTTTGGTGGTAACTCTGTAAGAATTCATCCCACAAACATGAAAAAAAAAAACTGGATTCGGGTCCTGGTACGTCAGTTACTCACAAAGTGCATTCAGTGCATCAAAACACACAGCACTGGCATCTGGTCTTGTTGTGTAGGTAGGTCAAGAATATGGCTGTCGAGCAAGATCAACATGCATCGTTTTGCTTAACTGCCAGACTCTTAAAGGCATCATGGCGTTTTCTCAAAAGTACTGTTGCGATGTACAGTCACGAAATGTTATATTTGCGATTGCTCGACGAAGTTGAGACCTGTCATCGGCGTCCGTCAGTGATAGGCGGGCGACCCGTTATGTAACTTGTGTTCAGAACTGACTTACCGTGAATTCTTATGCCGTCTGCCAGCAGAATAGCAATTGCCACCTGCGGCATGGCATAATTCAGGTGGAGTTCTCAGTCAATTGTAGACGCGGTGACACGTGTTTGGCGGCAAGATTTTGCCGCAATGTAGTTTTTGTAGTCATATTTCCAAAGCCGGTCAGTTTGACCCCAGGGCAGGGTCTGAGAGACACCTTGTAGACCCTAAAATTGGGGCTACGACGCATGTATCTCATATTGGGAAGTACATTTTCCATCTTCGTTTGGTCCCATCGGCCAATATCCTCGGTATCCGAAGTTATGACTAATCCCAAACAATCCTTACTAATCCAGTTAGTCATCGAGACTCGGGGCCGAACCTGATATCCGAGGTCATGTGCTGGCCTCTATATATACTGGTCTGAGCAAGCCTTCGTTCTCAAGGAAATTCCCGCCTTCTCACAACGGGCGCTTAAAGCTAAACATATCAAATTTAATACCCCTATGTTTTCTATCGATTATACCTCAAATCTCCGACATAGACTTTATTTAACCCATCATCATCTTCATTCCTGTATAATTATCAAACATGGTTCAGCAGCAACATTGCAAGGGATGTTACTGCAACACCTGTGAGGAGGCTTACGCCTCACAAGCCGACCTGAAGGATCATTATGCTCCGAGTCTGTCTCATCATTACTGTCAACATTGCGATGTGCATTTCTATTCACCTGATGAGCTGAAGACTTATCGTCACAGGTGCAAAGTTGGATGAATCAAGACACTTCTTCAATAAGGCTCGCGAACTGCGTGAGCATTTCCGGGAGGAACACTGCTACTGCGGAGGATGTCGGCGTGTGTTCGCGAGCGAGAGTAACCTCCGTGCACATTGTCGCTCCTCCATCCACAAGGATGCTACCACTCACTGTGTTAGCTCCATGTGTCATCGCTCATTCGTGTCGGTATCTGCCATGATATTGCACCTTGAAGCTGGCCGGTGCGAAGCGGGCCTCGATCGCGAGGAAGTCGACGAGCGCATCATACAAGGAGACGAGGGTCACGTTATCACAAATCCTGTGCGTCTCCTCGAAAGGAATGCCGAAGAAGACCAAGTGAACCCGCAGAGAGATATTGCCCAGGCGACGGAGCATTTGTGGGATGGTTCACATTATAAATGCCCCAAGTGCCGTCACCAATACGTGTCGTTTGCTGCGCTAAAGCGTCTCCTCGCCAGCCCGGCGCATGCGACGAAGATTTATCGATGCCCACCCAGTTTCTCGGGCTGCGGTGCGGAGTTCGGGACGCTCAGTGCTCTGGCGCAGCATGTTGAGAATGAGCAGTGCGGTATTCATAGCGAGTCAGCCCTTGTTGCTATTGTAGACTTGTGCGCTGGAAAAACGCGCTCGCAACCTGCAAACCCGCGCGCCTCGCCACCCGTCTATGCATTGACACTATGGTGGACTAGTGCCATGCCCATGAGTACATGATCTCAACCTTGGCGGCAATGTGGTGGAGGAATTGGCATTGGCGAAGGAGAGCATATGCCGGCGATGGAGAAGGAACATTGACGATGAAAGCCTCGTCACCCACTCACGCATTGACAGTATTGTTGGCTAGCATCATGTCCGTTGAGGTGGATGCATGATCTCAATCCTGGTGCCGATTTCCTCATAATTTACCGCTCATCTTCCACAAGACCGTGCCTGGATAACACAATAAAGGACGACTGGTACCTCAACTGAAGTGCCACCATGAGTATTGGCGACATACTTGCCCACGAACGACCCACATGCGATGGAATTTTTTCAATTTTACAATTACAAACACAGCTGTGCAGACTACAAACATTTACCGACCAAAGATCAAGCAAGTGTCCGAATGATGGGCGAGGATTTCGACGGACATGATGCAGTGGAAGAACCGGCGCTGGCGGGAAAGCAAAGATTAGCAGCTAAGAACAAGAACACCGATGAAGATGGACTGATGGAGGGTGGGTGACACAAGGTGAACAGTGGAGACGGTCGGGGATCATGTGTGAGGGTCGGCAACACAGGACGAGAAGCGATGCTGGAGACAGCGTCGGCTAGATTATGGCAAGATCGCGCGTCAGTTCTCTCTTTCCGCTTGTTCCTTTTTTCTTTTCGTCTTCTTTCAGATTGATATCATATCACATACTACTCAATCCCACATCGACTCTAAGGCTTGCGAAGACGGTGCAGAAAGGGAGACGAAGCGATCGGCGTAGGTTGATCGAGGATGCCGGCGTCACTACGCTCCTGAGGTTGGCAGGACGCGCATGTAAATATGGTGCGTCGGAGGCGACATCCTCGTGAAGCTGAGCCATTGTCGGTTGCAGAATTCAACCAGAAACACCGAGTTAAGCTTGCTTGTTGCCCAGGACAGGGTTCCCATCTCGGTTTGAAAGGCGGCCTCTGTCGTTGATCGAATTACATACAAAGTCATACTCTCTTATGTGCGCCATTCCATCTTATCAAGTTACAGCTGTATACAACTCCCTGTTCTCTTATATACCAGCCTCGCCGTCGAGCAATCTATCTATGCCCTTTCCCCTACTATCTGCTTGCGAACCGAACGTTGCACGTACCAGGTGAGTCATCACTGTTTTGTCATTGCTTCCGTTGTACTGTCCGAACGTCGTCAGCACGCGTCCTGTCTTCCGAATATCGCCGACTCGTGCTCATCTTACTTTGTGTTCTCCGGCACATCACGTGTAGTCATTTCTTCGCCAACTCATGTCAGAATTCCATCGTGCATACACTCACATTGTCTGATCACATTGGGCACACCAATTTCGTTTTAGTTTCTAGCTAGCTATTATAGTATATCCAACAACGCCCAACGCCCTAATTCGGACGACGCCCTTCTGCGGACGACACCCTACTCGGACAACGCCCTACTTCGGACAACACCCTACTCTGGACAACACCCTACTCTGGACAACACCCTACTCTGGACAACGCTGCCAAGATCCCTTTCACACAGACTAACCTCATTATTAGCCGATCATCTTCTACAAGACTATGAATGAACAACATGATTACTGCAAGGGCGACCGTCTGCCGTTACGTTCCAGGCAATTCGATTTCTATTGATGACAATTCCATTAGAACACTCGTTCCTGGCGATAAGTCAACTGACTGCTACGAACGCCGATATTCGGATTACCCGAGCCTCGATCTCGGGGCAGTCTTCATGGCACGTTGATCGCGTATCAACTTGGAAGCACTATAGACGCTCGTTGCCATGTATAATTGCGTACCCCGGCAGATGTGAGTTCTCAGGGCCAGCGTTCTCTCTTGTCTGTGTCATTGCGAGGAAGCAGAGGGCATTCAAGTGAGGCGGGGGCTACTAACAGTTTTGGTGAGTGTGATATAGCTACTATGATGAGCATGTCGGAACGTCTTAAGCAATCCCTTCAGCTTTTCAGATATGCCGGTGTATTGTGATCCATGTGGGCGCTGGTTCGTGAACTCGTCCGCACTCGAACAACACGAGCAGGACTCTCCCAAACACAGACCCTTCGAATGTCCCGTCTGTGATGATGTACGTCATTGATATGGGGCGTACCATTTTCGCCCATCTCACTATTGGAATAGCGCTTTCGAGACGAGGAGGATGTGGACGAGCATCGAGAGGAAGAGCACAACTGCTGCATTGCATGTGAACGCTACTTCGGAAGCTATGGAGCTTTGGACCAGCACCGTCAGAATTCTCCCAAGCATAACTTGCTTGAATGCCCCATCTGTGACGATGTGCGCTTGCCTCACGCATGCGAGTTTCGTAGTTGACCGTTGCCCACAGCGATTCTCTGACGAAAATGATCTCGATGAGCACCGCGAGGAAGAACACTACTGTTGTATTCAATGCGATCGATACTTCGTGAACGAAAGTGCGCTTGAACAGCACCGCCAGTGCTCTTCCAAGCATCGCTTCGAGTGCCCCACGTGCGACTATGTGCGTGCCTCTTGTTCAATGTGAGCGCACGCGCTAATGTACCCTGCAGGTCTTCCGTTCTGAGGACGACTTGACCGAGCATCGCGCAGACGATCACAACTGCTGTGTTAAGTGTGCGCGGAACTTCCAGAGTCAGCAGAACCTGCAGACACACCTGAAGTCGTCCGCACACCGAGACAGAACCTTGCCGTGTCCAGGCCGAAAATGCACCAAGCGGTTCATATCCGGCGCTGGGCTGCTGCTGCACCTCGAGTCCGGCATGTGCCCTTCGAGGTTGACGCGTGAGCGCGTCAACCAGCTCGCCGTGCAGTACGACCGGACGAACGTCATCACGAACGCGTCGCGCCTCGTCGCGGGGCCAGACGGCTACGCCATGCCACAGCCACCGGTGATCTCCATCGCGACGTCTCTGTCGTTCAACGGCCAGAACTATGAATGCTTCTTGTGCCATCGAGAGTACAAAACCCTCGATCGGCTCAACCAGCACCTCAGCAGTCCTGCCCATGACGACGAGATCTACAGGTGCCCGAAGGCGTGGGACGGGTGCGGCGCGGAGTTTCGCACGCTGAGTGCGCTCTGCCAACACGTCGAGAGCGAGCAGTGCGGAATTCGTAAGTTCAACGACCCAATGCAGAACGTAATGGAGAAGATGTCTGCGGCCTTGAAAGGGCTCATTCTCTAAATCTATCGGAGCTCGCCCCGTCTGTATCATTACTACTGAAAATTTGAAGACGGGCTGAAATGTATAGTAGAAGTAGACCTCCGTGTGACTTGTTTCCTCCAAAAACTCAAGGACTGTATTGAATGTTAGCACTTTACCGACGCGTTTTTGGTTGGCCGACGCGTATGTTCACGTGGCATACATTGCCGCGAGTTGCCGATCGCTACAACGGGAACTGCTACCTCTTGATCTGTTCCCTGCTGGTTGCTTTTGTTCTCTGAGTCTCACTTGGTTTTACTCTCCGGGACTATTGACAGTACATATGTTCCACCGCAGCGCCAAAAGCGTGGCTACTGGCTCTAGACCACAGCATAATTTCTGGTTGGCTTATCCCATCACCACCATTCTACGGCTTCAACAGGCTATATACGCCTGTGGTTGACACGTTTACGCAAACTGACAGACGGACTATAATCCTAGGTTGGTTGGGCAGTGAAGGCGCATTTCAACAGCTTGAAGAAGACACAGCATGCATCATATATGCTACGGTTGCGGCAGTGTGTTTGTCTCGAGACACATTCCCATCCAACACTACATGCAGGGTGCCGCTGCCAGCTGTGCAATGAGCAGTAGTTGTTGTGGAAGAGCCTGCCATTCCATTTCGAGAGGGAGCACGACTGGCTTCACAGTTGCAGTATGGTGAGTGCTCTTGTTCTGGCCGAGCTGAGCCAAATGATGACTGTCCCTATCTCTCTGGTTCTTCAAAGATATACACGGATTCCTCGTCAGAGGGACTAGTACTGTCCCGCATCCTCCAGAGCGGGAGCAACTTCTGCTCTCATCAGTCCTCTGGCACATGTTTACCGCCTGTTACACGCGCAGAGCAACCGCTATATCGCGCACAAGTAGAGGGCAGTGCCAGGGAGGAGACAGTGGCTTCCTTTCCGGCGCAAGGCTGCTTGTCGTTCAGGACCGGGGGCAATTCGCTACCACCCTAACGCGCTCGCCGTGCGGTGCGACAAGGCGCACTTCATAACGGACTTCTCACAGCCGCTCCCGAGCCTGAAGGGTGCATAACGCCAAAGTCCGCGATGTTCGAAATTGCAAAGGCGCGCGGGTACAACTACTTTTTGTGCCACCGGAGGTTTGCGGCCCTTAAATGGCTCAACAAGCGTCTAGGTAGCCTGGCGCACGACGAGGAGATCTACAAGTGCCCAACAACGGCGTCGAGTTCCACACGCTGAGAGATCTCTACCAGCACATGGCATGTGGAATTCGGCGTTTCATCTAGCGCATGCAGGACGTTATTGGAGGCGTGACGATGTACATGAGTAAGAGATTCGTGCCTTAAGAATTGGGGAGAGACATGCTTCGCCCGTACTGTACCAAACTGCAGTCTGGTTGGAGTCTGCCTATCGTCCGTTTTTAGTCATGTACACCTGTACCTTTTTGACGTACCAGTCTTGTAGCATGCACACTCCGATGTTGCCGGCGGTTCTGTCTCATAATAGTTGTACGATGCCATCGGTACAGACGGTCGTCGTCGTAGCCCGTTCCGACTGCGTCGTGCCGCTGCCGCGACCTATAGACAGCCGGGACGCTGTGTGACGTCCGAAGTCTCAGACGTATGGCCTCCAAACCTCGATATAAAGACAGCTTCATACTCAGAAAGCAGCCTTCTGCCGGCTCGGAAAGCGAGCCTGATCGTACTAAAATTATGGGCATTCTTACTCGAGCTCCTGATCCTGCTACCATGAACTTTCCTTGAGGCAAGTCCCGGAGAAGCGCTCCGGCACGCGGTCGATGACCTCAGTTCCCAAGGCGTGCCCTGTCATCTTTACCCATCCACGATCTCTACCAAACGACGCTGAGCGCTGCACAGACATCACGACCATCTCGGCTTTGTCTGCAGACATATCATCAACGGCTGAAGGCTATCGATAGGTGAGTGTTGATTGTATCTCAGTTGTGCGTGTCGTCTTCCCCAAGTACACTGCGCTAAATCCCGCCAGTTATATCAATTCAGAATGGCGTATTGTGCCGCATGCGCCGTCACTTCAATAACGTCAAAGGAGCGAATACGCATACTGCGATAATCCATCCAAAGGATTTCAATTTGTGTTCTGTGTGTGACGTTGTACGTGGTTGCAATTGCTTACGTATCCCGTCTAGTACTTATCCAGTCTGTAGGGATTTAACTCTCAGAAGAGGCTGCTTAACCATCGGGTGGCTATCCACAACATTTGCGTGACATGCAGCAAATCGTTCGGAGACAAATCCGCCCTTGAAATCCATTCCTTGGAGCATTCTGCCAGGCATGTTCTCTGTCCAGGGCGCGAGTGTAACCGGTGCTGCAAAAGCGCTGCAGGCCTGGTTGCACATCTGGAGTCAGGGGCTTGTCGGTCGAAGTTCAACAGAGAGCAGATCAATCAGATCGCCGTTGATCTCGACAAGACCAACGTCATAACAAATCCTGCCCGCCTCGCCCAAGGGCCGGACGGACCTGCGCCCCCTAAACGTGCCATCACTTCCCTCGCCACCTCGCTCTCTTTCAACGGAAAGGGCTTCGAGTGTTCCCTTTGTCATCGCGAGTTCGTGAACCTTGCAGCACTCAACTCCCATATCGCCAGCTCAGTGCATGACGAGAAGATATACAGGTGCCCGAAAGAATGGAAAGGGTGCGGCAAGGAGTACGGTGCCCTTAGCGTATTGTGCCACCATGTAGAGGGTCAAAAGTGCGGCATACGCGAATTCAGCGACCCAATGCAGCAGGTTATCAAGACGATGTCGAGCGCTTTGAAGGGGAAGCTGGTCCTGTAAGGCGAGTGAAGTTCTCCTGGAGATGGCTGGCTGTGTTGACGGCGTCGTGACAGATGATATCAAAGGCCAGCCTTCACGGATTCCTCATCGCTCAAGCAGGGTAAGGTCTCTATAACAGTGCTTTGCGCAAATGGTATACTATGTACACACCAACCACGTCTGCATCCCGGCGCGTCCTGACACTTCTCTGTGTACAATAACTCGGGAATCTCAATTCCTCTCACGTGATGTCTTTTCTGTCGCTTGTCTTTATGCGATCTATGCGAATTAACACATCATCAATGACATACGAGATTTACGCGATCCACATAATCTTGGACAAGGACACGGGCTCTAGTCTTCACATAAAATACTTGGATCTGAGTCGGATTCTTTGGAAATGCAGCGATAGGCTGCTCAATCACGTGCCGCCAGAGAAACACGTAACGGTAACTGCGCTCCTTTCTCAGTCTCACCATCCAGCATGGCTACCATAGAACCTGCGTGTTCCCTTCGCAGTCGAGCAATGTCTTCAGTGGGAGAGAAGTCAAAATGAGACACGAGAGAGACCAGGAATGCCTGCAGCTCGTAAAGACTGCAGTAGTCCGGCCGTTGCAGTTAGAACAAGGTACGGTCATCCCTTTAGTACAAGACTACTCACGCAAATCTCCAGCCGATGCAGCCGCGGACACCAGCACCAAAGGTCATTCTACAAAGGATTAGCACGTATCATGCAGAATTGTGAATTAGTGGGGCGCTCACGTATTAGCATACAAGCCAAAGCCAGTTGGTCCATTCCGTTCCGATTTCAGGTGCCGCTCTGGATTGAACACGTGCGCATCTTCTCCCCATATGGTCGGATCACTGCGAGAGAGATCGTTGCTTGAGCACGCCTTGGTGCGTGCGCCATGATAGAACTAACCTGTTGAATCTTGGAATGGAAAGTACAAGACGAAGACCCTTAGGAATGGGAACTTCTCGAATCACCTTCCCCGAGCGCGTCGTGATCGGCGTGGACAGTGGCAGCACGTCGTTCTCCATTGGCCTCCGATAGAGGTACGGAGCAACAGGATGGAAGCGTATTACCTCTTTGATGAAGGCTTGCAGGAAGGGCATGGCCTCCACATCTGCGAGAGCGATCCCTTCAGCTCCTCGTGCACGAACATCTTTCTCCGCTGCTCGGATCTCAGCGCGAAGACGATGCTGATACTCCGGGTGCCTGGCGAGCTCGAGCAGTGCGAAGGTCAAGGTGTTCGTCATTGTCTCCGAGCCCGCAAACATGATGATTCGCATCTGTGATGTCACCTCAGAGCGGCTCATCCTCGAATTCGCGTCTGGAGACACAGTCGCTCGCGCTAAGACCGAAGGAGATATCTCAGATCACATCAACAATGACCATACAAAGGACGCCATACCAAAGACGTCCATGAGACCCAGTTGGGCTGTCCCCGGAAGGTCCCCCATGAGCCTTTGCTCGAGTAGCTCTCCGGCTACCGTATATGCGACCGCGCGGTTGTGACGCAACTTGGCGAAGCCCCTAATGGGCAGATTTCGGTACAATGCCGCTACGAATCGTGGCGTGAGGTATTCGGTGAAATAATCAAACACGATCCGCGCGCTCGAAGGGCGAGAGCCAAACGCTGACCTATGAAGGTGGATTCAGCGCGCCCAGGCACGGACATGACGACTTAAAGACATCGTACATAAGGTTCATGTACGACTTTGCAAGCTGGTTGTGAGCATTTTGCAAACATCCAGTATGGTAGTCAAACGCAGCTGCGAAGGAAGACCGTTCAAACGGCCGACGAGAAGATGGGAGAGGACAAACCGTCACACACAGTATCTACCATCGCACAGTTTACGTCGTCGGCTATGTTCACGGCACTTGATCCGCCGGGTGAGCCGTCGATGAGGTCTGCCCATTGTAAGCAGAGCTGTACACGAAGAAGCGTAAACTCATGATTCGAGCTTGGATAAGGGTTTATGCGCACGCTCTCTGCATACTGCATAAAGGTTGGAAAGAACGCCTTGACTACAGGTACTGAGAATGCAGGTTCCATCACTCTTCTTTGCCTCCTATGAGTCGCACCTGGGCGGCAATAGTGACTGTGAACTTCTCTGTTTTGAAATCTGTTCTATCCAACTAGATCGTACCGTCTGCACCGTCGATTCCCTCATCTCCGAGAAGCAGAGCAGTCACTCTGCGCTCTGGTGTCTTCTCGAATGCGTAACCACTCTTGCCCAGGATATAATTTATGGCTTGAGGGTCGCTGACCCAGAGCGCATCCCTCTTCAGGTAAAGTGGTATGCTCTCTGCTCAACTTCAGAGAAATCAAACGCATGTATGAGGACGTACCCCAAGTGCGTGCCATATACGAGCGATGCCCCCGAAAGCGTCCCGCCATTCGTTATCCATAGTGCCAACTTCCTCCCGGCGTAACTGTTGCCAATTTCCTGTATTACGAAAATTACAAGCTGGCGGATGATAAAGCGGCGAAAGTGCTTACCTGTCCAGAAGGAATGACGCTCAGGCCCTGGAATATCAGCAATCGAGATTCTAGTCAGCCGTTTATACAAGGTATACAGAAGGATGGTCGCAATGAGCACGGGAAGCGCAAGATAGTCCTCCATGGCAGTGTAAGAGCATGCAAATTAGCTGCGGGATTCCTGTGTCAGAGGAATACAAGATTCCCAAGCCAGGCGTAGAAGCCGTTTAAGAGATGCAATGAACACAGAATACTGGGAGATTACTGCTCGGGGCACCAGACTATGCGCCGTGGTGCGGGGATACCATACGATTCATAATCAATCAACCAAAACATCAATCTAGCCAGCCGAGGCAACCAAACGTACAGATTTGAACAGCCAACGTCGCCTCTGCTGCCGTTCGAGCATGAATTCTCACCTTTCCCACGCTGTCGGCACCTGCCACCAGCCGCATGTGAGCACTGAGCAGGCTCAATCTGTTGGACTTCATAGAACCATATTATACCATGGTAACCCAGAAGCACTTAAAGGGAGCACGGCCATGGTATCAACCGCTATAGTTAGCTCTGGTGTGTCCCGATCAAAGTCCGTCACAATAAGGAGCCGCTTCTCATCACGTATTGCACTCAAGGATGGTTACCGTTTTCGAGTGCCTAGATACCTTTCGCTCCATGAAAGACGCCTATGTCAAGGAAATGCAATAGTACCAGTACAAATTGCACAGCAGCATCATGGAATCTAAGTTCTGCATAGGCGCGTTGAATCTCCTGATAACGCACTTCTTGCTTTCCACATGCTGACACAATGCACTGAGAACACGGAACTTTCTACCGCAGCCTTGGAATGCCTTCGGGAACTGGTAGATCTCGGCATCATGCGTTGGGCTGGCGAGATGCTGGTTGAGACGGTCGAGGGTCTGGGATTGACAGTGACATATTCAACATTCATATGACTTGCCGTTGAACGAGAGCGATGTCGCTATCGATGTGACCAAGGGCCTCGGTGCGCCGCAGTCGTTTGGACCGCTCAGAAGGCGAGCGCGATTAGTGATCACGCTGGACTCGTCAAATTCGACTGCGAGGGCGTTGATAAGCGCCCGGTTCATGCCCGATTTCCAGACTACAGACGGTGCACCAGGCCCCCGCCGTCTTGCAGTGCTTGGAGCATTTAAGGCCTGGGCAGAGGACGCTCCTCGGTTCGTAAGCCTCATCAGGCTCGGTAAGCAGAGCATGTGGGCTTACTCACCAAAACAATCCACTTCAGGTTCCACGTCGGCCTTGATCGAGGTGTCAATGTGCGGCTCATGATGAAATGGACACTGCGCTTTGCCGCTGGCGCCCAACTAGCTTCATTCCGCGTTAGCGCCCTCCGTTAGCTCAAAGAAATGTGTTCTCAGTGAAGGTGAATAGGCGTTCAAAGAGGTTGCTGAATCATGCAAGATTTTGCCATTTGATAAATACTGGTGTATAAATGTTCGTGGTTTGGGCTCCGCACTTCTTACACAATCAACCATGGCTTCTACTAAACCTCTGGTGTTTGTTATTGGTGCGACGGGGCGCACGGGCGGTTCAATCGTCGATGCACTCATCAAAAGCTCCAAGTTCGTAGGTACCTCGCCATGAATGGCGCATCTACTTTTGACATCCCACATATAGCGAGTTACTGCTTTAATCCGACCATCTTCTGCCTTGAAACCCGAGGTCGAACAGCTGCGCGCTCGAGATGTGGAGATACGCCTCGGAGATATCTCAGATCCCCACGACAAGCTCACGGCGGTTTTGTCTGGCGTCGATGTCCTCATCAGCGCCGTCGTCGCAAGACAGATCACCGCACAGAAGGGCATCCTCTCTGCCGCGAAGGACGCGGGTGTCAAGCGCGTCATTCCGTGCGAGTTTGGTACGCCCGGCGCGAGGGGGATACAGGTTCTCCATGATGAGGTGCGCGCGTCTCCCTAGCTCACATGCTTCGCTGCCTGACTCCTCGCTGCAGAAACTGGACATCCGGGATTTCATTCGCGCGCTCGGGATCGGGCACACGTTCATCGACGTTGGGTGGTGGATGCAGCTCATTCCGCCATATCCCACCTCGAGCGAGGAGAGCGATTCGCTGTACATATCTGTGTCGCGCGAGTTCTACGCCAAGGGCGACAAGAAGAACCTGTACACGAACATGGAACACATCGGCACCTACGTTGCGCGCATCATCGACGACGACCGGACGCTGAACCAGTATGTCGTCATCTGGGAAGACGAACGCACACTCGAGGAGGTGAAGACCCTCTCCGAGAAGGCGTCCGGAGAGGAGGATGTTCTGAGGGCAAAGAGATTGGTGGTACGCCTTGTTCCACTACCTTCGACCTCAATATTACAGATACTGAGGATTTCTAACAGGTTGACGCTGACGAGCTCCAGCGCCGTGCCAAGGGGGGCAAGGAAGAAACACTTCGTAGCCCGAGTATTGCTGCGGCGGTCCGCTGGCACGGGAGCGAGTACCAGATCAGCATGCATGTTCTGGGCGAGAACTCGCGGGAGAATATCAAGGCGCTGGGCGCGCTCGACGCGCAAGAGCTCTATCCAGACATCGTTCCACACAATTTCGAAGACTTTGTAAAGGTATTTTACCAGGCGCTGCCCGTGCCGTATTTCTGAACGGACGTGGCCGCGTGTACTTCCTATTGTTAGTACGTAGTGTCGACCGTGTGAACTCATCTTTTGAAGAATCGGACGCGCCCGATGAATACTGTTGATGGCAATCGGAATGATGGTTTGTTTTTGATGGTCCGTGTATATTTCTATTTCAAGCGTGTCAGACGCATAGTTCAATCATGTTGTTGATCAACGAGCCTACATCACATAAGTATAGTCCGAGCTGCTGGAGAGGGATTGGGTTCCAGAAAGAGGCTCTGGTGTAGCTGGTTGTGGGTACCGCCACTTGGCCCCGTCAGTGGAGTGCTTCTTGTGTATCATTTTGGCCTCGTCTATAAAGTTTGTCCCACTGTTGTCAGGCGATCCTGTCGTAGTCAAACATGATATACGCTCCCTAGTGGTCGTGCCTTCAGCCAGTCTGAGGAACCGAATAGTCGTAGCCAAGTGCCAAAGTCTGTTGTCATATTACTCCGCACAACCGCCGCACCGCATGCAGAAACCCCAATCGGTGGAAGAGGTGAAGGAATAACCTACAGCAAGAACATACAATGCCCTGCGATGCCGACAGGCACAAAATGAGTGCCCACTATGGACTAATTGAATAAATGAACCTGACAGTTCTAAGTTGCCAATGACGCACTTCGGGCATACGTACATACATATATAGCTCTTAGTGTGTTTTGGGCACCAATGCCCTGCTCTAGGCCTGGCGTTCGGCGGCTCGGTCGGGCTTCAGAATCAAGCCAGGCCCGATCGTGGAGTGTATGAGTGAATCATGTTGTTTGTCACTCTCCTGTGGTGCTGAGCGGCCGATTGCAGACAAGAGCGCAGGGCCTGTAAACTTGTGAAGTATCGGTTACAAGGAACGCAGTCATTGTGCTTGTCTATCTGATGCTGTTGTAATCCGTTCAGCGTAGACAGCCCCTGGGCAGTAATCAATTGACAACGAGGTCGTTCCAAGAATTGATGTAAGCATACAGTGCCACATATATGACATGCATAAGTCCTCGTCTTGTCGGATGACTGCAGTTCGGAGCGGACGTGCTTTGGCGAGTGTCATTGATGGTCCTGCGGTGCATGAAGATCGACGAACGAGAGATCACACTGGCTACAATGCGCCATGGTGTAGACAACGAACGTAGCAGCGGACTAGCGCATGACATGGACGTCTGAATGAGCGTGTAAGGGATGAAACGACAGTGTGGCACTCGCCTTGCTCGCGCACGACCACGTCCAATTGCTATCATCGACAGTTCCTTGGGCAACAAGCACCGGTTGCACAAAGAAGAGAACAGTTGCACTATAATTGATCTCAAGATACCAGTATATATTCGAGGAGGTGTGACTTGCCATGATAACCAAGCTTCTTTGATACACAATGTCTACAAGACCAAGAAAACCGTCTCATATACAATTTCTCACAGATAACATAGACTCGAGATATGACCGCGGAATGTGACCGACATGCCGGCATGAGTTCACTTGGAAGGAAATCAACCGTTTTTCATGACCTCAAAGTTCACTTATGTGTATTCCTGTCCAGTCTCAAAAATCTCGTCCATATGAGTGGATCGCTGGTGCTCACTGAGTTGTATCCACGTATCTCATGTGCAGCACCCGTACTGATCTCCAGTAAAGGATTCTCATCTAATTGGTATCAGAGTTGCCGTTTCCTACTCCAACTGAAGCCTTAAACTTATCTCATTAGACACTGGCTTTCCCACGTCAAAAGATACGGCCAGGCTATTGAAGCCCGGTATAACGAGTACAAGGTGAAGACCCTTGGAGATGAGCGCATTGTTTCGACGCGTCTCCGGCGTACGCGTTTGATTCACGTGATACACGCTCCGCTGCCGCGAGTTGCCGATCGCCGCAGGAACTCCTTGTTTGTTCTTGGGGCCTCATTCAAGTCGCCAGGATTCTTTATGGGAAAAACAGCTAGCCACTGTATTTGAATCATTCAATAGTTAACGGCGGCTGGTTCTAGACCACAGATCAATTCCTGTGAGCTCCTGGCGTTCCCTGTCATCCTACAGCTTCAACAAGTCATATACGCCTGTGATCGACTGACTTACGTGAATAGGCAGACCAATCAATCATATTTCTAGAGCCGATAGAGTGTTGCGAACGATGCGAGCATGAATCCGGCCTATCCTCATATTCGCTTTCGCATGTGTCAATTTCGGATATGAGTTCAAGCCAAGCAACGATTGAGTCCCATTGATATTCCTGTACTTGTTGATGCATTGGCATGCATCTTTGACTTCTCACTGAGCAGTTGACAAGTAGCCGATGCACATTGCTCGCAAGTCTCAGCCATGGTCATAATGACTGCAAATCCGCTGGGATAGCCTCAGCCCGAAGGATGGATCCACGACAAACTCGACACAAGAGACGATCCCCGCAAGGCGTAGCAGGAGCCCGATAGTCTTGATCTCGGTCGTGGCGTTCAGCCGTTGGCAGTTATATTCGAGAGAACCTCGTGATGAATTGACATGGCGTGCTTTGCCCACGACCCGAGTGTCACAGGTCGCCGGTCAAGTCAAAGCTCTCGGTACAAAACTACCTATGCCTGACGGTGATTGGGCACTCAGCTCTGAGGTTGGTAGCGATTTGCAATGCTCTTTGCTTTGGCTGAAATGGGCGACTCCCTTGCCCGTTGTGTATTTATCAGTCTGTGGAATAGGTTATTAATGTTCCCGGTAATCGGCCTGTCGTCAGCCCTCACCAGCTCCCACATTTGGCTTTCAATTTACTATGACTGAGATTCCTTATCGAGAGGCTTCTATAGGCGCTCAGATGGCTATCTGCTCGCGAGTCCGTCTTCGCGCGATTATCCGTCCTCTTGGTCCACTTCTGCACGCAATACCCGTCCGTGAAGAAAATAGAGAGCAGGAGTAAGAGATAGCTTGGGTTTGGCCACTGGTGTGTACGTCTCTAAACCTTTGCACTTTCCGCACTAATTCATGCTCGCTCAGCGCCATCAGCGTCCGCACACACGTTAACAATCGTAGAAAACACTTACACGACTCGCATTCATACAAATCCCAGGTGCGTCAGCATGATTTCTCTACATCATGGTCTACCTAACGCACTCTTGAATGGCCGAAGAAAGTGCACCATCATGGCAGAGTACGCTATGTATGTGGCAGCATACAACATGGCAGCATGGAATTATATGGCAGCATGGAATCACATGGCCGCGATGAATCAGGTGATGATAAATATGGCAGTCTTCAATGGACAGATATGTCAACTCTGCAATGTCTGGTTTGTGGATGCCAATGCGCTCGAGCGTCATACCAAGGCGTCTTTCGTGCATAGGGACTTCCAATGTCCGAATTGCTACGAGGTACATTTTAACGTGTATCGCAGTGCATCTGCTTGTTCACGCTTCCTCTACAGCGGTTTCATGGTCCTCAAGAGCTGGTCGACCATCGCGTCGCAGCCCACCACTGCTGCGTCAACTGCAATCGCCTTTTCAAAAGCCATCAGAGTCTGCAGATGCATCTCAAGTCATCATTGCACAAGGAGAGGACCGTACCTTGTCCGGGACAAGGCTGCACAAAACTGTTTCTCTCAGGCGCCGGACTCGTGAACCATCTCGAGTCGGGCGCTTGCCCATCACGCACCACGCGACACCATGTTAACAAGCTCGCCGTCCGCTACGATGAGACAAACATCGTCACGAACGCCTCGCGCCTGTTGACAGGGCCCGATGGGCACATGCAGCCTAAGCTCCCAGTGGTATCGATCGCGACCTCGCTCTCATTCAACGGGACTCAGTTTGAGTGCTTCTTGTGCCACCGCGCGTTCAAAACCCTCGGCAGGCTCAACGAGCACCTCGCGAGTCCCGCGCATGATGACGAGATCTACAAATGTCCAGCGCTTTGGGACGGATGCGGCGCCGAGTTCCGGACGCTCAGCGGTCTCTGCCAGCATGTCGAGAGTGAGACGTGCGGCATCCGCAGATTCAACCGTCATATGCAGAACGTTATTAGCGAGGTGACGACGGCGGTAGGTAAGTTTATACACTAACGGGCCGGCGGAAGTATACTCCGTCTGCACGTCTGCACTGCACTGCGAGCAGTGTGGTCGTAAAATGCCTGTTGTCCCCTCGAGGATGTGCATGGTATTTATTGACTGTACCTCCATTCTTCACTCTACCTTCTGTACACTGAGCGGTCTCTTGACCTGCATCAACGTGATTCGTGTACACGGTGTAATCAGCATTGATTGCTGGTGCCATTACGATCCGTGCAGATTACATTGTATCCTCATTGACATCAGCTATCGTCTTGTATGGGAAGGAAGGCGCAAGGTTCAACTCGTTCAAGCACACTATGGAGGCTTTCAGATTTTCCGAGACAGCGTAACCTCCGTAAAGTCCCTGTCCTATCTTAGTGGCTTCATGGGAGAAGGCACCCCACGCTGCACAATTATGATACGCGACAGTAGTGGGTCGTCTATTGGGCCGGAAGACCTCGCTTCCGATCCGTGAAGGTTATTCAATACGTTGGGCAGTTTTCCAACGGTCACGTTGCTAGTTCTTCTTGAGCACGTTTGCTGAGGCAAGTTCCGGAGAAGCAAGCTGGCACATCGTGTACATGCTTGAAGGCTGCGCTACAGGACTCTGAGCTTGCGGCTATCGTCTATCATCCCTCTGGTAGCGAAAGCCTACCTTCCATTTGTCTGTGAAGCGGTAAGCAACGAGCGAGTAATATTAATTGGTGAGCGTTCTGTTGCGCTGTATTTGACTCTTTTATATCCTGAGGCAACATCCAAATGCAATGTTCTCAGTTACGTTCGTCCCTGAATATGGCACACTGCGACGCATGCAACCGAAGCTTCTACAGTCCCTCAGGGCTCAAGGCTCACAACAAAAGTATACATCTCAAAGACTTCAATCTATGCTGGGTCTGCAACATTGTACGTAGCTCTCACTTGACGTTGTCCCTCCTGACCGACACATTATTACTCCAGGGATTCATCACTCAGGCTAGGCTGCGAAAGCATCAAGTTGCCATACATAGCCTCTGCTTCAAATGCAACAAAACGTTCGAGAACGGATCTGACCTCGAAACCCATTCGTTTGAGCACACTGATAGGCCCATTCTCTGTCCTGGGCGCGAGTGCATACGGCGCTTCAAGAGCGCTGCGGGTCTTGTTGCGCATCTGGAGTCGGGAGCTTGTCGTGCTAAATTCAACAGAGAGCAGATCAACCATATCGCCGTCGATCTCGACAAGACGAACGTCGTTACAAACCCTGCGCGCCTCGTACAAGGGGCGGACGGACCCATTCCCCCGCCACGCGCTGTCACTTCCCCCGCTACCGCACTCTCTTTCAACGGAGACGGTTTCGAGTGCTCCCTTTGTCACCGCGAGTTTGTGACACTCGCGGCCCTCAATGACCACATCGCTAGCCCAACTCATGACGAGAAGATGTATAGATGTCCTAAGGAATGGGCGGGATGCGGCAAAGAGTTTAGTGCCCTTAGCATACTGTGCCATCATGTGGAGGGTAAGAAGTGTGGGATACGTAGATTCAACGACCCAATGCAGCAGGTCATCTCGACTATGTCGAGCGCGCTGAAGGGGAATTTGGTACTGTGAGGCGAGCGGAGCCCTTCCCGGAGATGGTTGGCCCTGTTGACGATGCTCTCACAGGTAATCTAAGCGACGCCCAGAATTCACGAATCCTTCATCGTTCGAATAGACTTATGGACGATGCCTTTGCACAATTATCTTACTATGTACCTAGCAGCCTACTATCTTCCAATTATTTGCGCCGCTTCTGCCACTTTCTGATGTACAATACTTTAGAAAACTCAGTTCCTCTTTTTTTGCTGCCGCTGACCATTCTACGCCTCCTATGCATATACCGTGTACACATCCAAGGGCAATATACCTGGATGTAAAGATTTAGGCACAGACATGGATCATCAAGATCACCGATAACACATACACTTGTACAATGATCACAATCAGGACCTGTCAAGGGCTGGCGTCACAAATTGCACAAATTGATGCAGCGTAATAAGTGGCTGACGGAGAGAATGATATTTAGTCAATATAATCCCTTCTGCAAGACGACCCACAGAACGGCGTTCAAAGACCGTATAGGCGATGGATCAGCTAAGTCCGTCAAGATAAGGTCTGGGAGTATACTTGTCCAAGCGCGTGAGAACGAGAAAATTGCCGTGGCCCTCAACTAACTTACGCCAGGGAAACTGAAAAATGTTAGTCGGTTTATGGTTGCTGGAGCTGATGGTTTGCCTTACCTGAAACGACATGAACGACGTCGCGGTATCGAGGAGGCTGACGGACTCGAACGTTCATCGCGGAATATTGTACTAGCGAAAAACATACAACAAACAAGCAACCTAACCGCCAGATTCTTTCAAATGGTCGGAAATACACCTGCAGGAATGGCAACTTACTAGGCTCTTCAGCCCGATCCAATCCTCCGGATAGCCGCGAACATAGTACATAATCTGAGCACAAGTAAGACCATATAGCCTGACAGCGATGCGCTTAGCAGCATATTGCCGATCGAGCGGGGCTACGCTCACGGGGTAGCGATTATAATTCCAATGAAGAAGCATCCGATGTTCGTGTTAGGCTCGAGGTTCATGTTGAGGGGACGAAGTCGCCCCCAAGAGAAAAGGATTTTATAGCAAGATATGAAAGATAGAACCGCCTCCGGCACTTTGATTAAACACACGCAACGTGCCTCTTCCAGTGTTTCAATCATTTCGCAGTGTTAGATGATAACAACTGAGCATCAACGAAGTCTGTCTCATCATCAGGGAGTTACTTGCGCAAGTGAAGAAGAGACCAACAAGAAGTGTCTAAGGGTCCGCTACGTTAGCCTCATGTTATGTCGGCTGATAAAGCCGAGGAGGTCGGATTCTGCATCAGTGAAGCTTCGCCTGCATGAGCGCTCACACTAAGCCAGTCGCCAGATGCCCCCGGGCCTATATCAGTACCCCTGCTAGGCAATGTACGCCAACTGACTGTCCATAGAGTACCATGAGCGTGCCTTCACAGAATGGGAAAAGGTCTACGGTACGCATTTAACAGACGCACCTTGAAAGCTTGAAGATACTCTATTGATGTTTCGGTGAAAGGAATCCGATATATGCAAGGTCGCCAGTTATCATTGTACTGGCACACAGCGCCCAGTTTGTCCGCGCTTGACTCGGCCAGAGCTTCTCATCACCGCGGCTGTATCCCGGTGGTCCATATCGTTCTGTAGAAATGACGAGCATTCACCGCCGCCCTGAAGGCTACAACCAATGAGGTCGCCACCCTTGGTATATTTACAGCTGAGTTTATCTCTTTCAGCTCATCGAGCAATGGGACTGTGTCGTCGTGAGCGCTGCCATTCAGTGAAACACATATCTGCGTATATGCCTGGCGTCAGCCTCAAGCGCCATACCCTCGTGGTTCGCTCCTATGTCAAAGAGGGTGTGTGCGAACCTTATGGCATTGTGAGAGCGGCCATCATGGTATATTTGCCATCGGGGGGCGCCAAACCGCCATTCACGACGACGTGCATGCATAAGCCCGTGGAGGGTGATCTGAAAAGAGGAGGTATCAGGGCCGCGGCCGGGGCGCCTTACTTTGGTGAGCGTCATTGGCTTGCGTGGGTACAGCTCATCTATATAGGATTGTACATCAGTAGCGGGCGTCGACACGATACTATGTCAGTCACTTGCACTGTACGAAGGCAGGCGTACCACTCACACAAGCTCCATTGACGACGACTGGTCTGTCGACAATCTTCTGATATTTTTTCTTGCGTAGATCAAATGCGCCCGGTCCTTTTATTTCGTGATATGAGACGCCACCCCGGCTTCCTCGCTGAAGAGACGTGAAATGCATCGCTCAGACTGGGGACGACGGAGAGCACATGCTTAGGCGCCGTCGTTGCGCCATTTCGACTTGAGCGATTCGCCGACCTCTCAGCCAACGTTAGCGGCTTTGGGCGAAGACCCGCGGAAGTCTGCGTTTGAATTCTGTCGCCGATGAGCCGCGCGCCATGCATTCACCTCGCAATTGCACCATCTGGCCAGCTCATACGCTTTGCAGAATCCGCCCCGGTCGGTACTTCGCCGACATGAACTTCTGGTTGGCGGCTGCGAGCATAATCACCAGAATGGACATGAGCGACAGTCAAGGCAAATGCATCATACCATGAACTGTAAGCCGAGATTCCTTACTGCATGCTGGTCACGCCAGTGGGGGAAGAAGCGAACGGCGCCTCAGAGGGGCTTGTTTGCGCTGTATTTCCACAATTAGGGAAGGCCTCGAATACGATGTTGAAATACTCGAACGCGGCACACGAGTCGGCGCGACTGCATAGAATGATTGCATGCCTATCATGAAACGCACGCCCGCAGGTCCAGAGCGCTCTCGTCCCGAGCCCAGATGAAGCGCAAATGAGAAAAATTAGATGATTTTCGCAAATGCGTACATGATTTCCGTCGGATGAATGGTCAGCGCAGTCGCTGGGACAGAAGAGCGCCTCACTGATAGGATGCTCTCATCAGGTAGACAAGTAGAGCTATAGGCCAACATCTCGCTCGAGAATCGCTTGCCAGCACGAAGCCATGCGTAAGTCCGCCTTCGGTGTACGAATGAGCCAGCGTAGGCGCAACACTCGAACCTCCTTGTTCCCGTTCGCGTGACGCGCCGCGATAACGCGACGCGCCCATGTGGGGCGGCCTGGACCATGTGACCGCGTCAACACAAGCGCTTATACCTGAGCGCTCCGACCTCAGCCTCCGAGTTAGTTCCGAATCCGAGGCTCCGAAGGCCCCTAGCTGCGATGGAATGGACTTGGGCTGGACCGGAGAGGTGACCTACGGGGGTTGTATTTGATGTGCAATATTAGACATAGACATATAAACCTATTTGTAGCTGTTATGCTGGCGGAACAGAACTTGTAAAGTTGGGTGGAGGACTCACAAGTACTATGGTTTACCAGCGGATGGCCCCCCCTCTCGATGGCCAGGTTTGTGATGTGCAGCAATTGGGCACCCCCCTGCCCTCGAAGTTATATGTACACCTATGTTTTCGTATGCCTGCTTCCACCTCCAAGTGGAATCAGAGCGAATGGATGAGTTGTTGAGGAGTCCCTTCTTTCGAGGGGTCTGATGGCGATGTCACGCATGAGAGCACAACCGCCACAACAGACGCGAGCGGAGTTACAAAATGGGCCTGTCGATCACCATGGAGCCGCACGCCACTGAGCAAAAGTTCAGGCTCCGGCCCTGTGGGCCGAGCGGATCTCTGAATCGGCATCGTCACATTGATGTGACGTAGTGTTACCTGGCCATCAAGAGGGGGGGGCCATCCACTGGTAAACCATAGTATTGAGAAGGGCGGCGGTGCCTGCTCGTGCGACTGTAAATCGAGCAGAACAGCAGTGTAGGAGTTGCCCATCAAGAAATCAGCACGCAAAGACTACTAGGTTGGCTGGTTGCGCGTGTGGACATCTGTCGGCACAGGATGTTTGCGGCATGCGACTGCAGTGGTCACGTCGCAGACGGCGACGACGAGATCTCATCCTATCTGACGATGTGCAGAACATATTTACAGACTTGTTCAAGTTCGCAAGGCGAGAGGGCGGGAATGTACAGAGGCGCTATAGTGCAAGGAGTTAGGAAGAGTGGGAGGAGGAAGAGGAGGCGCGTCGTAGATGGGAACTGCCGAGCCAATCAAAATGCAGGAACACATTCGCAGCGGCCGCGCCGATTCTGCGCCAGCAAACTGCCAAATGGTTAGGAGAATATTTACTCGCACCCGCTGGGGGGGGTGTCGTCCGCCGCTCCCTCCACCCTCCACCTCCCCCAGAAACTTGCCTTTTTAGGCAATTTTCCATCCTCCTCCCCAGCGATTTCCTGGGCCCCCCCGCGCAGCAGAGCAGCCGTACGATGCCCAGCGACGCCGCGACGAGCGAGAGCGCGAGTTTGCGCGAGGCGTCGACGTCGCATTCGCCATCGGCGCCCCGTCTCTCGCCCATCATCATCGACGACGACGACACTCCCCCCGCCGCCGATCCCGCCCCCTCCGCCTCCGCCGTCCTCGCCAAGCCGTCGTCACGAAGAGCAAACGGCGTCGTCAAGATCGAGGAAGACGTCGCGGTGAAGGAGAAAAGAGTACGGCTCTCGTCCAGCGTCACAGGCGCAGGCAAGCCTGCCTCGGCTGCGGTGGGCGCCAAACCAAAGTCAACCAAGTCCGCTGCTCCCCGCTCGCCGTCGCCGTCTCCGCCACCGCCCGCGCCGCCGCTCGAGACCATTCGCCTCGACATACCCCTGGGCGGGCCCGACGACTATGAGGTCGACATCTCGGTGCTCAGCAAGGCGACGGGGCAGCGGCCTCCCACGCCTCCTCCGCCAACGAAGCGCGACACCAGCGATGATAGCCATAGCGAGGGCGACGACGAGGGTGATGGAAAAAAGGACAAACGGAAACGCAGGAAGGTGAGTTACACTCAAAGGGAACTGCATCTAGATCACCGTTGCGTTACTATCTCATCGTGACCTCGATTTCACCTATCTGTCCTCCGCATCGTCTTTCATCTTCTATGACCATCTGTCTGTCGTCCCTCTTACTCTCTATCTCTTTCTTGACCAATGTCGTTCAAAGCATCGCCTGTCTGGTGCACTCTTCTGGGACTGTATGACAGCGGTTCTTCTCTGTTTCTCTTCCTTTCTCCGCCTGCGCTCCTCCATCCACCCGCCGTTCGAGGGCTTGCATTGGGCTATATTTGTCTCCGCAAAGCAAGGCCCGGCAGGTTTGAGCTCCAAAGCCCGGCCGTGGACATCAAGTCCATCTGCCTGTCGTCCCTATGAATCTTTCTTCTTTCTTGATCAACGCCATTCAAAGTCTCGCCTGTCTGGTGCACTCTTTGTGGACTGTATAACAACAGTTCTTCTTGCTGTCTCTCCTCATTACACCCCGACTTCTATCTTCTGTGGTATCCATCACTTCTCCCTGCTCCTTGTTCTCTGTGTACATCAACAGCATTCCACTCATGTTCCTCCTTTCCTTGGTACACGCCATCACGCCCTCTCTTGCAAACGTAGCTCCCCTTTTGAATGTGTTCCTCGTACATATGACCCTATCTCTCTGAGATCCATGACGTGGTACACCCTTCATTTACGCCTGCTCCTTGCTCTCCGTTTACCTTTATGGCAATCCACTCGTGTTCTTCCTGTCCTCTCACCTTTGGACTGCGCATGTCATCCCGCTCTCTTGAATGCGTTCTTCGTATGCTGACACCCCAACTCGCAGCGAAAGAACGCCGCATCCGAGTACTACGACACGAACGACCCGTTCATCGACGACTCGGAGCTCGCACAAGACCAACGCACGCACTTTGCGCAGACGAAGCAGAAGGGCTTTTACGTCTCGAGCGGCCAAGTCGCCCTCCTGAATAAGCTCGTGTAATGCGCGCACCCTCCTTGTCGCTGCGGTACACGCTGATGCTCCCCTCTCCCCTAGGACCCCGAAGAAGCCGAAATCGAAGAAAGTCAACATCCTCGCGCCCGCTGCCTCCGTCACCGCCGCGCTCTCCGCCGCGCCGCTGGCCTCCTCGCTCTCGCTGCCGTCGCTCGCAGGCTCGTCCAAGCCGCCCGCAAGCGCAAGCGCAGGCCCGCGGAAGCCCAAGTCGGAGCACGGCACGCGCGCGTCGCCGATACCGCTGTACTCGGACGGCGAGGAGGCCGGCGGCGGCGTCAAGCGCAAGGCGAGCCCAACGCCAAGCGTGCTGAGCACGCAGGACGGCGTGTCGAAGAAGCGGCGGAAGACCGTCGAGATTGTAGGTCATCCTCGCCATTCCTGCGACCTTGCATCTGATCACCCTGCGAAGCAACCGTTCCCTCCCGAGCTGGAGCAGGCGTTTGATCAGCTCCGTGCGGCCATCGCCAAGGAGAACTGGGAGGTCAAGGGCAAGTTCCCGCAAAGCCTCAAGCCTATGCTCGCGTCGATCGCGCTCAAGGCGATTCTGCTGGGCCAGTACAACGACAACTTTTTCAACGTCATGCCGCAGTTGTTCCCGTACAACAAGTTCACGATGAGCGTGAGTCGCGAGTCGCGAGTCTGGTGATGTCGATGGCGGTCGCTGACAACGCGCATACAGAAACTGATCAAGCGGACGGTCTGGCAGGAGCACACGAAACTGCTGTTGGAGCGACAAACGGCGCTGCTGGACGAGCTCAAAGTGCTGGCAGAGGAGGGGTTCCCGAAAGCGCAGGAGGAGTGGGAGAGAAGCGTGGTTGCGTGGGGTACGCCGTCCGCCCTTGTTCGCCCTTGGCGCCATCCCTGACCTGTCCGTCGCAGAGAAACGGCAAGAACGCGCCAAGATGGAGGCAGAGGGCGGCTCCGTGGCGCACTCGGCAGAGGGCACGCCGGCCGCGTCGGACTCGCAGCCGACGCCGAAGCTGGAGACTCCTGCGTTGGCGGCGCGGCCATCCGTCGACGACGGCGGGAATGACACGGGGCTGGAGCACGAGGACGGGGCGGGGGCGCCGAACGCGCGGGGCGCGCGGGACACGCATGCGCCGCAGAAACGATATCGGCTGACGGACGCGATGAAGTTCATCATCTGGCAGCTCGTGTGCCTGAGCAACGAGTGCTGTCGGATAGAAAACGAGAAGAAGTGGGTGGCGAGCCCGCGTGCCTCCGCGTGTGCCGTGCGCTGACGATGCGTTTTGCGTTCTCTGCAGCGCGCTCGAGGGGTCCAACCAGGTGGTGAGCGATCAGGGTGTGCGCAAGAGCCTGTATCAGAAGGTGCGTGTGATGGGTGTCGTTGGGCTCTGGATAGCGGGCTCATGAGGCGTCAGATCGTCAGCGCGTTCCCGGAGGGCTGGCTGTCGTCCGGGCAGATCTCTCGTGAAGGTTCGTGACAGTCCGGTGTGCTTGTCCATCCACACTCACGCCAGTGACAGTGAGCGTGATGAAGAAGAAATACGAGAAGGAGGTCATGGAGAACGACACATGAACATTATTGTCCGTCTCCACTGCCTCATTGTTTGTTTCGAGCCCTGTGTCCCGCGCACGTTTCGCCAGGTTCTCGTCCAACCCTCCTGCCTGTGTACACCCGCTTTTACAACCGCGTTGGACACTGTGTACTCGATGCTGTGTTTTTTGCATACTTACTCTACGTGCTCTAGCTGTAATGATAGTTTCACATTTCTCTAATGATAGCTCGCGCGATGCTCCCTCTTGTGTGCGCCCAACTCGGCAGTGGGTCCCTCCGTTCCGCGGGGAGTCAATATAGCCTTTGTGGTACGTCGCCACAAGTCTCCTCCTGGCTGGCTCAACTGAAGCGTCGTTAAGTTCATAGTAGTACGGTGGCAGAGCTACCTGCGGGCCGTATCTTTGCCCCATATCCCCTGGTCGAGGTGGAGATTACCGATGCCCGCCGACACACGCTTTCTCGTGTGTTCTACTTTACCCGAGGCTATATATATATATGTATTTCGCGCTATCGTCAATGATCTGCGTCGACACTCCAAGAACAAGAGCTGCTATTCCCAGTACGGTCTATAGCTCCTTCACCATGTTCGAGTTTTGCTTTCCAGATATGGAGTGCGGTATACTTTGCGTTCTTTGTGCAAGAACCTCCATTTCTCGTACTGCGTAACGGACTCTATGCGTTGCGCTCGCCGATCGTGGACCGTTGAACAGACGTTTCTAAAAACGCGTGCTCAAGCGTAGCGCTGCGGACCAAGTACTGGCCTCCGATGATTCGGAGATGAGGCCTGAGGCTCGGCGCCGTTCTCGGGGGAGGTACACGAGATGGCCCTTGTTAACACGGCGAATCCGGCGAAGGCCTTTGAGAACTGGTCACAGGGCGAGGCCGCCCTTGGAGGCGATTAACCTCGTGGTCCGGATTAGAATGTCATGACGCTCTTCCATGGTACGGCAATTGTCGAGACTCGCAATGAAATGGAATTTTCATTTACAGGCAGCCTCACTGTACTCTCCCTTCGAGATGAAGGGCTTGTCCTTGCTCGATGCTCTCGCATGAATCCAAATATTTCATACATACCATAGGCTCGCTCCTAGAAAACGTAGTCAATGGACATCTTGTCATCGCGCTCACGCGTCACTATGCACGATCTGCCTGGATTGTCAGTGCCCATAGCAGCCTAGATCGTGAAGCTTGTGGTGGAATGAGTCAGGATGCATGACTTCCTCGGAGCGTGCGTCCGGTTTAGAATGCCATCGGACCACAGTCGTTCGTTATACCGTGGGGATAAGATGATGAGGATAACGCAAAAGGACATGGCTTTCACCCACTCGTGGCCGTCGCTACCGCCGCTCAAGGCGATGGTTCATCCACAGGTTTCCGGGATCGCATCACATTTAATACGTCAGAAGACAGAAGCACCTGAACGAGGCGTAGGTTGCGCTCGATTTTGTCACGACATCTTTGATCAGCTAGAGATGAATGAAGCCCACGAGATATAACATTATGACTACGTTGTAAAAAGGCTCACGGCAGTGGCCACTGTCAGCAACCCTGCCACTAAATGGCTTCACCCTGGACACTGAATAAATGATTAGGGTCCAACTGGGCAATCAATTTCGCTGCAACTTCATCGCGTGGCAGGATATCCAGCGAAAAGGGCTTCGGATGGCTGTCAACAGTGATGAGGGCGGTTGTACCTAGGCATACTATGTGGACGATGGCACTGACCTGACAGCCCCGGATATAAATTCCGCGCTCGGAGTCATCTCCTTCCCTTCGGCATCAAGGACCTTGCGGATGTCCAGCGTCGCTATGACGCGTGCTGCGGCAAGCCATATACTCGAGTCCGCCAAGAAGCGTCCTGGGCATAGCCTGCTCACGTTAAGGTCACGGTTCAATTGTTATCACTGTCCATGATCCACAACGTGACCCAGTCTTACCTGCGGCCGAACCCATATACAATCCGCCTTGGATCCGACCGGGCGAGTTCGTCGGACGACTTGCCTTCGTACCGTTCGGGCCAAAACCGGTCTGCATCTTCATAGGTGTCTGGATCCCTTGACATAGACCTGTAGACACGCGTCGCTTGGTGAAGTGAAGCCAGTGTGCGAGGCTCGCCTACCTACCATATATTCGACACCACCATCGACCCGCCGGGTATATGGCGGCCGTTGTAGACATCGTCATCACGAACTTGGTGGGGGATACCAAGGGGTACCGGAGGATTCCATCTTCAGAGAACAAGGTTGAGTGAGGACGACCCTCATCTCCAGAATTGCAGCCTCACCGGTATACTTCTTTCAGCACCTGGTCGAGGTAAGGGAGAGCGTCCCTGTCCATGAGACTTGGCAGGCGCGTACGGCCCACCACCCGATCTATCTCGGCTTGCGCCTTGTGCACGACTTCGGGATGAAGCACCATTGCGAGGAAGAACGTTAGCAATGTCGTGATTGTCTGCGCCCTATACGTCAATGAGAATCTTCTCCGCGTATCATCCGATGCTCACAGTATCCGTCCCCGCTGATAGAAACTCAGTCAAATATGGGTATGAGACTGGAACACATGCACGCACCAATGAACAAAAGGGTAGCTGCGCCCTTGATATTGTCCACGTCGTCAGGAGTCAAGTCGCCGTGCTCCGCTTGCTCCTCCAGCATGTACGTAGTGAGGCATGCTTTGCCTGACCCCTCGAGCTGAACCGTAAGCCAGTCGCCGATCCTACTGTACTGTCAAATGACCAACCATAGCTTGTTGGACTTCATTGAATGGGACATCGAGTAGCTGCCGCATGAGATGCCTCACTCTCGCGCCTTCTCGCTTGAATCCGCCGCCCGGGAACCACTCCGGGATATGCATAACTTAAGGAAGGATATATGAGAATAGCTGAATCGGAAGAGAACAAGTCGCAGCGTACGAAAGGGGAAGAAGTCAAGCAATGTCGCGACGAGACTTCCGGCGCTGACGGCCTGAGTCATCATTTCATCTGACAGGCGTATGAGGTCGTCTTTGACAGACGTAACAGCGTGTCCGTAGACTATCTCTAGCAGAATTGCCCCGGTGAATCTGAGGACATTTGGCCTCAATAATGTGGAAGCTTGGAAATTCAAATGGCGTACCTCTTGACCTGGTCGGCAAAGTGCTCTGAGTCGGACACGAGAGCCGACAACAGCGTACATGTCTCCATCTCTTGTACAGCATTATATGTGTCAAGCGCTGCCTTGGATTCCAGAGAAGCTTGATACCACTTTCGGTGCCTACGCCACAAATCGCCGTACGGCATAGTGAACATCATCGGCTTAAAGGCAAATCTGACGCCGGAATTGAGCAACTCGATGAGATTGGCAGATCACCATCACTCACACATCGGTGATGAGCGTCAACTGGGGTCTGTCGGAAAATTTGGCCCCTCTCTTGTCCATCAGGTCCTGAGCTGCCTTAACTGAGTCCAGTATAAGGACGGACTTCTTGAATAGTCTCAAGTACATCACACCCCCTGGTAGCAATGTAGTCAGTAAATAACGCGTACGACGACGATATGCTTACCGTATGTCCTGGCCCATTGACTGAATATTCGCTCGGGGTACTGCAGCGGGATTTGGTGCGCATTACCAAGGAATGGCAACGCTGATGGACCTGGCGGAAGCGGGTTGGTTCTTTTGCGTTGATACCACCATACGAGGGCTAATTGACATGTAGCGATTGACAGGACCGCGAGCGCCAGCGGTGAGCTAAGTTGGACTGGGAGCTGCATCCCGAAAGCTTGGGCTGAGGCTTTACAGGACTCAGCGTTCTAAGTATGCCTAGGACGAGCGGTTGTGGTACATATAATTTGTCGGACCTTCGGCCACACTAAAGAAGCTGCTTAGGCAGTCACAAAGCGGCGCAACGCCGCCCAGTCGATGCGGCGACGGTCACACCTTACCTATCCGTCCAATCCGTGGGTGCCTACTGGAGAAAAGCGCGTGGTAGATCGTTTGGTGCATTCCCATACCCTTCACCATCCGCGAGGTTCGATACGTTGCGAGTACCTGGATTTCCCTTTTCTTGTTCGCCTGAAGTCAGCTCGCGTCACGTGTGCCTAGCTTGTCGCCTGTGGCTGAACCCACAATGAAGCGTTAGCCCTCATGTTCCTCATAAGAATTCCTCGCCGATATGGAGTACGGAGCGCTTCTATGTTCGCGAAGCCCTAATTTACGTACAAGATTTGATCAGCGCTCGAACTGAAACACAGACAGTGGTCTTATCTGTAAAGCCATGAGCTCATATCAAGTCGCAATAACGACTACCGAGCCAGATCATGTCCGAGTCGCGAGCGGTGCATACTTGTGATATGTATGTGTAGCATATCAGTAGCTCGCTGAGTGAAAACATGGATGTGTTCTGTGTTTGTTGACCTTAGTCGCAAGATCAACACCCGCAATGCCAGAATATCGATAAGCGGATGAGGCCCAATTCAAGGGCGACTATAAATCTGTCACGGGTTTGCCGAGCCGGGGGAGATGTGTCCGAACCTAATCAAGGCGGCAAGACAGTGGACCGTACAGGCGATGATGATCACTGACTGTGTCTTGATCAGTGACCGTCAAATGCACCCGAAGGCCTCTTCCGGATTGCTCAAGTCAATCACTTGCACAGATGTGCACAGATGTCGTTGCCTATATACAGTGCGCGGCAAAGGTGCTCTAAGCATACCTGAAACAGTGAGTTTGCACACGCATCTTTCACTAGACCAGTTGGCCAATGGAAATGATAATGGACGTTCCAGCTGTGCGAGACGAACGGTACGTCAACAAATATGGGCTGACAGCCATCAGGGGCAAACTGCGGAACCATCCGCCATAACAAGGTTCGCGGCAGAGTAGTGCTTGTCTCCCTGATGTGGACTGTAGTCTAGATCTACGGACTCGATGCTTAGCTGGCGCACCTTGCCATTATTTTTCTAGTTCATTCAGGTCTCGAAGTCCGAGCGTTCTCCATCCAAATGATCGGTCATCAACAGTGTGGTCATTACGCAGGTTACGATGCTAACAAGGAACGCCACCAATCATTGGCGGTATCAGATTCACGCTGATTGCGACCTCTCCAAGGGCCCCGGTGTCATCAATTGATTCATTTGTTCGCTAATCAAATGCGGGCTCTACGCGAGCGTGCTTTTACCAGGCTCGCGTTGAGCAGCACAGGCTCTAACTGGAACTGGTCGTTGCCCTCGTCCCATCGTCATGCGGTATTTCGCATTTTCCAGTCAGCCATTCAGGGCGCTGTACATGGCAGGTTCCGTCATCTCGTTCCTGTTTGTCCGATTTCCGTTCTGGACGGTAGCATACTTGATACCGAGACTGCGTCCGAGGCGCAGCTGGTCTGTTGGCCGATCGTTGGCCATGCTCGTATGGCAAACAGGAGGTTACTGGGTAGGGCCTCGACTTGGCACAGTGCCTGCTGGCAAGCAAGCATGTGCGGGCGAGAAGGTTGTTTATCACATTCACAGTGAGCCCAGGACTGCATTTTGGTTATGCCGAGCTGATAACGCATGCATGGTCACAGGGGGTGCATACGTCGTGAGTAGAATGTTTGTACTGTAAGAGAGAGCAGCGCTGAACATACGGCAATGTACAGACATGGTCAGCATCGCCTTCGAACATGTTTATGAAGACGTGCTACGCCGGATTTCTAGAGCATTTCCCAAATAATCCGCGAATCTTCTCACTTGAGTACCGACTCTCGTCTTGTCGTCTTGCGCCTCCACAATCTAACCCGTGCCCAGCCGCCATCATCGATGCTATTGCAGGATACCATTCTCTTGTCCGAGAGGTTGGATTCGAGCCCCAGAACATCGTCCTGAGCGGGGACTCCGCAGGGGGGAACATAGCGTTTGGGCTGGCGCTCTACCTTGCCAGGTCCAAGCTCCCCGGCCTGCCGCCGCCGGGCCGGTTGCTGCTGATCTCTCCCGCGGTGGACTGGGGTAATACGCATGTTACACCTAACAGCTCTATGCGCAGGAATGCTCGGTCGGACTTCATCCAACCTGTGTTCCTGAGCGGCTACACCGCGCGGGCACTAGTAGGGAAATTGCCACTGGAGACGGCGGCAAGGAGCGTGTGGATCTCACCTGGGTCTCTCGATCTGGACGTCGCACCCGGATCGTTCGCAAGCCTGCCGCCGACGTGCATATTCGTAGGCGATGCGGAGGTGGCTCTCGATCAGGTGCGCACCTTGCGGGATAGGATACGGGCGGACAACGGCGAGGACGCAGTGAAGTACATGGAATGGACCGATGTCACACATGTTGCTATCTGCATGTTTTGGCATGAACCGGAGAGGACCATGGCACTGCGCGAGATTGCAGAGTGGTTAGACGATACGTAATGAGTCAATCCTCCTAGACCTGTGCCCACGCGATTGTGCTGAGAATGTGGAATGGTAGTGCGGTATATTTTGAAGCACCTCTCCACACCTCAATGTCACAACAGGATCTCACGATGCACTCTATATGTACAGATCTCATTTGCATTGATCGATGCTGATTCCCGTACTGAACCAGTGTGATGATCAAGGATCTCATATGTTCGCCAGATTGTGAATAGAGGGGTACGGATTTCGAGGCGGATCCCGCGTCTGGACTCCTTTCACATTTCGGTCACTGACCGAGTGTGTACTATGTAGCCTAGTAGGTGATCAAGCTTTCGAGACTCAAACAAATTAAGGTTAGGGCATTGTCTTCTTCGCGAAATGATATTTCCGCTCAACTTAGGTATCGGAGGCCCAAACACAGCACTCAGCCAATCATAAGTGAGAGGTGTCTCATTTTCTCGTGACTAATGGGCATTGCGATTCAATGGCTCAAGACGAACCCAAGAGCCGAAGGCTCACGGTTCGGTTCGGTGGCAGCTAAACTGCCAACCTAACCGTCGTGACGCCTGTTCTCGGACGATGCCGGATACGCTCACTTACTGACCGAAGTGCGTGATCCAGACACGGTTGTCGGACTTCGTGCTGTGAACATTGCTAATGCCGCCATTTGCTTGGGCTACCAGCGTCGTCTCCGAGCTGAGGCCGAACAGCGAGGTACTTGCCCGAGGGCTGATAGGATTGCTCTCGCAGATGCCACGGGGGACTCCATGCCTTCTCTCTGCTTTCATCAAGGACGCTATAGCTTCCATTCTGTTATCCCATGTCTCTACAGGAGGTCGCTTGAGAACGTCGAACTTCCACTGCCTGTCGAATCGGATCACAATGCCTCCGGGAACGTGATCTGCGATGCACTCATTCCCAAAGGTCTTCATCTTGTACTCCTTATACCAAGCTTCAACAGTGAGCTGTACCTTTCAACGAGGGTGAGTGAGTGTCTAATGAGATAAGACTCAGACGTCAGCATAAGATTGATCCCTTTACTGGTGATCAATACGAGTACGCTGCGCGAAAAACCGGTTGAGCACCAGAGATCTACTCATATGGACGAGAGTTTCGAGGGTGGACAGTGATATGCGTAAGTGGACCATAATGTCGTCATTTCCTTATAAGTGAACACATGAGGGCATGCCGGCCATATTCCACGGTCGTATTCCGATCCTCCGTTATCTTTGAAGATTGGATATGAGACGGTCTTCTCAATATTCTAGACACCTCGCATCAAAGAAGCTTGGTCATCAGGGCGAGTCACACCCCCTCCAATATATAACAGTATCCTGAAATCGATGAAAGTGCAAGTGTCCTCTTCCTTGTGCAGCCGGCGTGCGTTGCCCAAGGAATTTTCGAGGACAGCAATCGGACGTGGCCGCGCGTGAGCAAGGTGAGTACCGCACTGCCGTTATACTCCTTGTACGCTCACCTCAGACGCCCATGTGATGCGCTAGCTCGCCGCTGCGTTCATCGTCTACATCATGGCACATTGTGGCCAGTGTGATCGCTGGTTCATCAATCTTCATGCACTACAGGACCATGAACAACACTCGCCAAAGCACGCCCGCTGCAGACAGCAGTCCAAAAAGACGAAGACTCATACTTGTCATATATGTGGTGCCGTATGCATGTATCACTTCTATAGACGACCTCGTTGTCCATTGATTACTGTCCAGGGGCTATCGACGCTGAACGGATTACAGCAACATCAGATAAACAAGCACAATTGCTGTGTTCCTTGTAACCGGTACTTCGCAAGTGTGCAGGCCCTGCGCTCTCACCTACAATCGTCCATCCACCAGCCGAAGAGCGTTCTCTGCCCAGGCCATAAATGCTCCAAGCGCTGCAAGACGGCGGCGGGCCTAGTCAACCATTTGGAGTCTGGCGCTTGCAGGTCTGGCATGAACCGGGCCCGCATCAACGCGCTCGCGGTCGAGTTTGACAAAACCAATGTCATCACTAATCGCGCCCGCCTTCTGAGTGGTTCGCACGGCTCCTGCGCACCCAGGCCCTTGATCACGTCGATAGCGACATCGCTCTCGTTCAACGGCAGGTCATATGAATGTTTCATGTGTCACCGTCAATTCCAGACCCTCGACCGTCTCAACCAGCATCTTGTCAGCCCCGCGCATGATGACGAGATATACCGGTGCCCGAAAGCGTTCCAGGGCTGCGGTAAAGAGTTTCGCGTTCTCAGTGCATTGTGCCAGCACGTTGAAAGCGGGAAGTGCGGTATCAGGAGATTCAACGCGCCAATGCAGAAGGTAATAGGGTCGATGTCGAGTGCTTTGAAAGGTCTGCTTCTCTGAGGCAGGAGGGAGTATTTGTGGGCATTGCATAGCGGTGCATAGCACCCTCATCGTCTCATACCATTGCGATGCGGATTTCGGATCTGCAAGCACTCTGGGTTGTAGTATGTACCTGGTTTCTTCTCTGTCATGTAACATAGCCACGAATGGCCTGTAAGCAAGTAGCACATGGAACTGACTGCATGATGATGCTGTGTAGTTTGTACTAGGGTTATTCCTTTGACATCAATGTTTTCTCAAATGAAAGAGCGACATGGTATCTGCGTACCCGAAAATGGCGACCATCTTCGAATAATACAATGCAGAAAGAAAGCCGGCTCCTTATATCGTGAGGAGAGTTGAGTAGAACATATCAGAGCTAACTATAGCAACTCATACCATGGCCGTGCGCCAGCGAGATGCTTCTGGATTGCCATGGTACGACGTCCAACAGACAAAGCTCCAGCACGCCCAAGAATAGCTGAGTCGTCAATTCCAATATTTGGTAACCGAGCCTTGTCGCGCTGGTGTAGGTCTGGACGTACGCTCAACCCTTAGGGTGATTGATGTATCAATGTTCTCTGAACACTTATGTAGTTATCGTGTGCTCTCTGCGGCGAGACATGAGACAGTAGTCGAGCGTGAGCTTGCTCGCATGCGGTTGGTGTCAGGTGCCGACAGCGTGACAACGCAAGAACCCACTGTCATCAAAGGCGATGTTGGCTGTCACCGCGAGCAGTATTTCAGAAGGTGTGCCAGAACTCCGGACATTGCACGAACATGGGATAATGCCACCTTCTGATTGGCCAGCATATAATGTCGGGAGGAAAAGAAGGTTATCGAAGTGCCAATCGAAGACACTATCCCTGCCGGACGACGGTCGGAGTACCGTGTCCGGGCTCTGGACAACGGCACCTGCCCGCGCTGTGTTCAAACCTGTACGTTTGGTTACCTTGGCTGATTACATTGATTGTGAGTTGTATGGTGCTTACTCCCGCATCATACTGTGTTGTCTGGTGTCCCCAGCAGTATTCTTCCAGTATTTCGTGGTTATTGTATCTCTCACACGGCTTCTACGCCTGGCTTGGGAATCTCTTACACAGGGATCTCGTAGCAAATCTGCATGCTCTGAGGCACTGCCATGAAGGATTATCTTGCGCTTGCCGTGCTCATTGCAACCGTCCTATTGTATACCTTGTATAAACGGCTGACTGGGATCTCGATTGCCGATATTCCAAAGCCTGAATGACATTACTTCTTGACAGGTTAGCACTTTTAACGCCCTTAACATCCGCCAGCTTGTATCTTCCGTGATCCAGGAAATTGGCAGCAATTACGCCGGGAGGAAGTGGGCACTATGGATAACAAATGGCGGAACGCTTTTGGGGGCGTCGCTCGTATATGGCACGCACTTGGGGTACGTCCTCAGACATACGTTTGATTTCTCTGAAGTTGAGCAGAGAGCATACCACTTTACCTGAAGAGGGATGCGCTCTGGGTCAGCGACCCTCAAGCCATAAATTATATCCTGGGGAAGGGTGGTTACGCATTCGAGAAGACACCAGAGCGCAGAGCGACTGCTCTGCTGCTCGGAGATGAGGGAATCGACGGCGCAGATGGTACGATCTAGTTCAATGGAACAGATTACAAAATAGAGAAGTTCACAGTCACTATTGCCGCCCAGGTGCGACTCATAGGAGGCAGAGAAGAGTGATGGAACCTGCGTTCACAGTACCTGTAGTCAAGGCGTTTTCCCCAACCTTCGTGCAATACGCGGAGAGTGTGCGCATAAGTCCCTATTCCAAGCTCGACTCATGAGTTTACGCTGTTTCGTGTACAGCTCTGCTTACAATGGACAGACCTAATCGACGGCTCACCCGGTGGATCGAGTGTCGTAAACATAGCCGATGACTTAAACTGTGCGATGGTAGATACTGTGTGTGATGGTTTGTCCTCTCTCATTTTCTCGTCGGCCGTCTGAACGGTCTTCCTTCGCAGCTGCATTTGACTACCATACTGGATGTTTGCAAAATGCTGACAACCAGCTTGGAAAGTCGTACATGAACCTTATGTACGATGTCTTTAGTCTTAATGTTCGTGCCTGGGCGCGCTGAATCCACCTTCATAGGTCAGCGTTTGGCTCTCGCCCCTCGAGCGCGCGGATCGTGTTTGATTATTTCACCGAATATCTCACGCCACGATTCGTAGCGGCATTGTACCGAAATCTGCCCGTTAAGGGCTTCGCCAAATTGCGTCACAACCGCGCAGTCGCATATACGATAGCCGGAGAGCTACTCGAGCAAAGGCTCACGGGGAACCTCCCGGGGACAGCCCAACTTGGTCTCATGGACGTCTTTGGTATGGCGTCCTTTGTGTGGTCATTGTTGATGTGATCTGAGATATTCCTTCGGTCTTAGCGCGAGCGACTGTTTCCCCCGACGCGAATTCGAGGATGAGCCGCTCTGAGATGACATCACAGATGCGAATCATCATGTTTGCGGGCTCGGAGACAATGACGAACACCTTGACCTTCGCACTCCTTGAGCTTGCCAGGCACCCGGAATATCAGCATCGTCTTCGCGCTGAGATCCGAGCAGCAGGGAAAGATGGTCGCGCACGAGGCGCTGGAGGGATCGCTCTCACAGATGTGGAGGCCATGCCCTTCCTGCAAGCCTTCATCAAAGAGGTAATACGCTTCCATCCTGTTGCTCCGTACCTCTATCGGAGGCCAATGGAGAACGACGTGCTGCCACTGTCCACGCCGATCACGTCGCGCTCGGGGAAGGTGATTCGAGAAGTTCCATTCCTAAGGGTCTTCGTCTTGTACTCTCCATTCCAGGATTCAACAGGTTAGTTCTATCATGGCACACACACTAAGGCGTGCTCAAGCAATGATCTCTCTCGCGGTGATCCGACCATATGGGGAGAAGATGCGCACGTGTTCAATCCAGAGCGGCACCTGAAATCGGAACGGAATGGACCAACTGGCTTTGGCTTGTATGCTAATACGTGAGCGCCCCACTAATTCACAATTCTGCATGATATGTGCTAATCCTTTGTAGAATGATGTTTGGTGCTGGTGTCCGCGGCTGCATCGGCTGGAGATTTGCGTGAGTAGTCTTGTACTAAAGGGAACGACCGTACCTTGTTCTAACTGCAACGGCCGGACTACTGCAGTCTTTACGAGCTGCAGGCAATCCTGGTCTCTCTCGTGTCTCATTTTGACTTCTCTCCCACTGAAGACATTGTTCGACTGCGAAGGGAACACGCAGGTTCTATGGTAGCCATGCTGGATGGTGAGACTGAGAAAGGAGCGCAGTTACCGTTACGTGTTTCTCTGGCGGCACGAATGCCCAAAGAATACGACTCGGACCATGCGTCGCATTTGATATCTAAAGCCCGTGGTTTTATCCAAGAATATATAAATCAAACAAATCGTACGAAACCGACGATGTGTTAGTCCACGTAGATCGCATAGAAAGACAAGCGACGTTAAAGACATATATCTTCTCGTCATGCACTGGACTGGCGATATGGGAGTGAAGTGCTGCAAGGGACACGAACTCCCGATGGCAAAGGGAACACTCGAAGCCCTTTCCGTTGAAGGAGAGCGAGGTGGCGAGGGAAGTGATAGCACGTTTAGGGGGCATAGGTCCGTCCGGCCCTCGGACGAGGCGGGCAGGATTCGTTATGACATTTGTCTTGTCTAGATCAACGGCGATCTGATTGATCTGCTCTCTGCAATGTACTTAGGAAAGACGACACGCACAAATGAGATACAACCAATACTCACCTATCGATGGCCCTCAGCCGTTGATGATGTGTCTGCAGACAAAGCCGAGATGGTCGTGATGTCTGCGCCGCGCTCAGCATCGTTTGATACAGATCGTGGATGGGTAAAGATGACAGGGCACGCCTTGGGAACTGAGGTCGTCGACCGCGTGCCGGAGCGCTTCTCCGGGATTTGCCTCACAGAAAGTTCGTGGTAGCAGGACCAGGAGGAAGAATGCGCATTATTTCAGTACGACTAGGGTTGCGTTCCGAGCCGGCACAAGGCGGCTTTCTTAGGTAGAAAGCTGCCTTTGTATCGAGGCCTTGGGGCCATATGTCTGAGACTTCGGACATCACCCAGCGTCCCGGGGCTGTCTAGAAGTCGCCGCAGCGGCACGATGCAGTCGAAAGAGGCTGCGACGACGACTGGCTGTACCGATGGCAACATACAACTATCATGAGACAGAGCAGCCGGCAACGTTGGAACGTGTATGCAACAGAACTGGTACGTCAAAGAGGGTACAGGTGTGCATGACCTGAAAACGGAAAGTAGGCAAACTCCAACCAGACTGCAGTTTGGTACAGTACGCCTGCATATGCTACATGAAACGCCGAATCTCACATGCCAAGTGCTGGTAGAGCTCTTCTCAGCGTGTGGAACTCGACGCCGTTGTTGTGCACCTTTAGATCTCCTCGTCGTGCGCCAGGCTACCTAGACGCTTGTTGAGCCATTGAAGGGCCGCAAATCTCCGGTGGTCAAAAGGTAGTTGTACCCGCGCGCCTTTGCAATTTCGAACATCGCGGACTTTGGCGTCATGCACTCTTGAGGCTCGGGAGCGGCTGTGAGAAGTCCGTTATGAAGTGCGCCTTGTCGCACCGCACGGCGAGCGCGTTAGGATGGTAGCGACTTGCCCCCGGTCCTGAACGACAAGCAGCCTTGCGCCGGAAAGGAAGCTACTGTCTCCTCCCTGGGCAAGGCACTGCCCTTTACTTGTGCGCGATATAGCGGTTGGTCTGTGTGGGTAACAGGCGGTAAACATGTGCCAGACCGCTGATGAGAGCAGAGGTTGCTCCCGCTCTGGAAGACGCGGGACAGTACCAGTCCCCTTGACGTGCAATCTGTGTATATCTTTGAAGAACCAGAGAGATAGGGACAGTCATCATTTGGCTCAGCTCGGCCAGAACAAGAGCACTCACCATACTGCAGCTGTGACCCCAGTCGTGCTCCCCCTCGAAATAGAATCACAGGCTCTTCTACGACACTCTGCAACGTCCTGCGTGTTTTCGAGGTGTAACGATGCCACTGTGAGCTTGACTATGAGATCAGTTAAAGCGGAGAGCAGTACTTCGTGGAGAGCGGGAGTACCGAGTCAGTGTGTAGTCGCAAGACACGAATAATACATACCTCCATAGTATGTCGTTATGTCACCGTAATAGAAGACGCAGAGACAACAGATGTTGAACAAAGAATTTGTTGTTCTCACCTAAGCATCATATATCCCGAGTCCTGCAGGATTGCCACCTTGGATGGGCGACCTGTAAGTAACTCATGGTTGTGCAAGTGCACTCATAATAATTTGTCCAATGCTGCAGCTTTATACGAGACTCTGAGGTATTGAAGGAATGATCTGTATTCAGCTGAGACTCAATGTTAGCGGATAGCTTGTAGTAATGACATGAGTTGACTACACGACCTCAAGAATATCACCTCTTTATAATGTATGTGTTCCCTAATACAACACAAGTTTGACGAGTTGAATGCATTATCTTGGCCTGGCCACGTCGATCGCCAACTTGAATGGTTGCGGGATGGTAAAAGACGAGCGCTTCACGAGTGGCATGAATCTAAAGCGGTAAATTGAGACGTTTATTTGTATTACGTAAGCCTTCGTGCAGTGGCGCGGACAATGCCGCATGCGCTCGGTCATCGACCGAGGCGCGAAACCCAGCGCGGAATCCGACTTTAAACCCGCGTTGGGGTCCTTGCTGTGAACGCCTATAGGAAGACTCGACTCGCAAAGATAAGTACTTCTGAATCATCCATCGGCCCCGCGAGTTGCGGGTATGGACTAATGTACAAATTGCTCGACTATGGACGCACTGAACATCGGATTGCACTTGCAGTTGTCGTCAATTGGATATGGCTTGCTCATACTCCTGACTTTGTGACAGGACTTACCAATAGCGCACAGCAACAGGCGCAAGGACAGCATCGGCGTATGATTCGCATCAACTCCAGTGAGTCTTGTTCAGTAAGCTGCGCTTGCCACTGTCTTATCGAGCTCGAAAGTGGGTTCTCGGGGAGCCTGAGCGCGCAATATATTCCGCTCTTCAGAAAACTAGTATAAGTGCGAGCTGAAGTCATTCAAACCTTGCTTCAGCAGGCTTGTCTCTGGGGTCTCCTGACTCTTCCTTACTGCCTTACTTCTGCCACCCGAGGCCCGTGCGAATGCAACTCAACTGAACTCCAAATTGGGCCTGCTGCTATTCAGAAGCCAAGTCCGTCTTCGGGTTTCCGTCCACGTCAGCCCGGTTTAAGCTATCCTTCTTGGAACACCGATATTTCTACCATATCAATGAAGCCTGGACAGTACCCGCTTGGTTTCCGTGCACCGTGACACCGAGAGAACCAGGTTGTGTATTATCAGGCTGATTTGTGTCGAGAAGACTCGCGACGGTCTTCTGGAAGCTGCATCTGAAGCATGGCACATAGACGTTGCCTCAATTGCCTGGTTCATATGAAGGCATGTTATCAGATCCTTCATTATTGTCTACGAGAAGTAGGATTATGGTAGGGTCCGCCTATCTAACTGACAGAAGCACAGGTCATGCGCTCAATGGTTCGATGCTGTTCGCCGTTTGCTGAATATCTTCTTCTCACGGCCATCAAAGAGGCGTTGGGCGAGACGAACACCTGGCCCCTTTAGTAGTTGTGTGCCTTGTATATTGATATATTGATGGGATTACTGCGATAGTGGATATTCATATCTTCCAAACCATAAGACGGCTGCATAAATGCCGTTCAGCCCGTGCGACGAGATTGCTCTCAGAACGAAATTCTCCCCTGTCGCTGCACTACCATGTCTGATGCTGCAGGCTGTTCTATTAACTGCTGTGTTTCTCTACAGCATATGGCGCGCTCTTTCGAAGCACATTGTGAGTTGCTGCGTGGGTCCCTTGGCATTACTAGCGGCGCTGAAAATCCGATAATTCTCCGTAGCCAAGTGCGAACGCGCCGCCTCTAGTTGACCTGACGGTACGCAGTCTCTGGCGCAACTTGGACGGCTCATATACCACTGTTTAGGAGAAGGAGATCTTCACGGACCCTCAAAAAGCTTACAGGCGAGCACTTGCCGATCATGGCCCCATTATAGCTGTGCGACGGAAGGGTCGGGTACTTGCTTTTCACGTTTTTGTGCACCATTATAAATGACCGTTTGCTAGCTGGAATACATTGTAGATGAATCCCTAAAAGCCTCAGTCTTGACGACGGACGGAGATTTCAGTTTTGAAGGTGGCACCACTACTGTAGGTCTGAGCGTAATCGTTCTGTCGCCTTCAACTCATTATTCACCCTCGAGCAGATCCTTAACCTGCATTACTTCCTGGCCATCTTTCCATCTTGGGTTTCCGATTTGGAAGACACTGTGCAGAACGGCATCAACGCTCGATTAGAAAATGTGGTTGAGCAGAGTATACACTCACCTCTGTCAAGATAAGGCCTTGTTGATCTTGATAACTGTGCAGTATTTCCCATCTTCGTGAAGAGGACGGAGGATATCATGCATCGCCACCAAGGACAACCTATAGATATGTTTGAGCATGCTCACGCTAGTATCGCGGAGGCGATGACTGTCTTGATCTTGGGCGAGGTAAGGTGTTCCTGCCCTACACTTGTGACGAACCTCACCCGTTCAGGGATACGTCAACGAGATCAACATTGCCCTCGTCACGGCGGTAGCTGCGGAGATCGCGATTCTAACGGGTATCTACCAGAATACATCCATATTCGCACGGTCAATGCCTGTTCTTTGGCGCATCTTCACTTGGTATCGTGCCTACTCACTCAATAATGTGTGATAGAGTTGGAACACTAATTGATAGGCTTTGCTCAGGTTCAGAGTCATGATGTATTCCGTCAGTTACCGCTTTTTGGGTCATTTAGGACCAGTGGTTTGGAGAGAACTCAGGGGAAAGACCTGGAGGCCTGATCCCACAATTCAGAAGGAGGATGACTGGGATAACGGCAATGTGAGCCTTGCCATTCAATCGCAATTACTTCATAAAATTGGCATCACTTAGGTCACTTTACTTGCATATTTCGCCTGCAAGCACGCAGACCCGGACACCGGTGAAGTCACCGTCTTATCTGTGGTGAAGGTTATTGTTATCTTGCTGGGGTCAGTAACCGGACAATACACATTTGTCTTGATTGCGGCTAACGTGCTATTGCAGCATCGTTTTTGCCTCTGTTCATCAGAGGTATGTGAATCATACATATTGCTTGTCCCACATTTACGCTTTGCTGGGTAGCGCTTCCGTGGTTGTATGGGTAGTATTCAAGCTTGCTACTTCCCCTGAGTATCTGGATTCCATACGACAAGAGATGAAGGAATATGTGAATCCAGAGACGGGAAATATATCCCTCTCCTGCATCTATCGAGTATTGAAAGGTGCAAACCACCTTAACGCCTTCATCCGAGAGGTCATGCGAACTAAAGGTGACACATTGATGCCATATAGGAGTACGACACATAACATGTTACTTGCCAACTATGCCATTCCTCACGGTAAGCATATATTGTCACGAGTTGGTACGGCGTCCAGCCGTTTTTTAATTTTTTTCCTGTTCATGGGCTCAAACCTGTGACCTCTGCACTACATGCCTGACATGGACACATCGTTATCTACTGTATGATTAGATTAGATGGGCGGCAGTGCACGGCACAGCTCGGGCTCCGCTGACACAGCCGCTCTGACTCACCAGCCCCCAGGGCTGCGTCAGCATACTGTGCATGGATCAGCTGTGCACGAACCAGTGTGCACAGCCTCCCCTAAACTTCCCCTATATATAAGCTGGCCTCTGTTGCCCTAGGGACCTCAGTTTCGACCTCTTGTCCCTAGGTCAGTAAGCCTCCCTTTGTATCCTTTACTTACTTCCACTAACTAATACATCACTTGTCCCTAGCCTTAGGTTTGAGCGTAGCTCACCATCGCTTCAGTGAGATCAGTCAAACACCCTCAGCTCTCAGATGCTCCCCTGTCACTTGACCTCAAGTCGCGACATATATTTTCCATTTCTCCATGCTCTCACATCAACCTTGCAGGCTTGTTACTGCTTTCTTTGGCAATGTTGTCCAATGAAAGTGTTGATTACCACGGCATGGACGCCCATATCTTCTGTCCTGAAAGGTGGTCTGGTCAGAATGCAAAGCCAGCGGTCATGACCAGCCCCTCATACCTACCATTTGGTCTTGGGAGATGGGCCTGTCCTGGAAGGTTTCTTGCCATAATGGGTACACAGGCTGTGACTGTATGGCAACTCCTTGACTGATGGCTGCTGTTAGAAATTAAGATGATGGTGTGGTCTATGGTTGCAAGGGCTACTCCAATTCTCCAAGATAGCATGTATGAGGTTATCTGTCGCGACTTAGGGTCGAGCGACAGGGGAAAACCAAATGCTGGGGGCGTTCGACTGATTCTCACCGGAGCGATGGTGAGCGACACTCAAACCTAAGGCTAGGGACAAGATAATATATTAGTTAGTAAGAAAAGGAATACAAAGAGAAGCTTACTGACCTAGGGACAAGAGGTTGAAACTGAGATCCCTAGGGCAGCAGAGGCCGGCTTATATACATGGGGAGATAAGGGCAGGCTGTGCGCACTGGTCCATACACAGCTGGTCCATGCACAGCATGCTGACGCGGCCCCGGGGGCCGGTGAGTCAGAGAGGCTGTGTCAGTGGAGCCCGAGCTGTGCCGTGCACTGCCGCCCCATCTAATCTAATCGTACAGTAGATATGATGTGTCCGTATTAGGCATATAGTACAGAGGTCGCGGGTTCGAGCCCGCAAAAAGGAAAAAATTAAAAAATGGCTAGACGCCGTGTCAACTCGTGACATTACCCCCCCTTCAACGGCGCATGACCTCATGCGAGGCACCCTTGCCCATCTCCCACCCGGAGCGGCATCGTACTTCAGTCAGCGGCGAAGGCATTGGCTGAAAGTTGAGACCATTGAATGTAGCAGCATTGAGTCGACAAGGGGCGTTCAGATTCTTCCGGTGGAAGTCGGCTATGAGGGCCGGCGCATTGGCAACATTGCGCGCCGGTTCCCATGATGTATGCGAGTCGTCATAACCCTTCCACTTGACGAGGTACTGCAGCTGACGCCGGAAGATCCTCGAATCCTTGATCCGCTCAACCTCATACTCCTTGTCGCCCTCAACCTCGATCGCAGGCAGTTCCTCCGGCTCCTGGCCCGGGATATCGCTACGCGTGTACTTGCTAAGCAAGGAGACATGGAACACTGGGTGCACCGGCACCGACTTTGGCAGAACTAATTCGTAATCCAGATCTCTAAGCTTCCGCCACACTGCATAAGGTCCAAGGCACTTGGGACTGAGCTTCTTGCTCGGCTGCTTCAGCTTAAGGTTCTGGGCATCAAGCCAGACCTTGTCCCCCGGCGCGAAGACCGGTGCCTCCTGCACGTGCTTGTCATAGTACACCTTCATGCGCTCAGCTGATAGCTCGAGCGCAGAGCGTGTGTCATCGTGAATCTCCTTCAGGATCTTGAGCCGATCAGCGGCTGCAGGCATCGCAGACATCAGATTGATCTGAACCTGGATCACAGGATTGTACCCCTGATGCAGGAAGAAAGGGGAGTGCCCGGTCGCAGAGTGAACTCGATTGTTCAGTGCAAACTCTGCAAACGGCAACTGCTTTGCCCAATCATCCTGCCTGTGGCTTATGAAAGTGCGCAGGTACTGCTCAATCTCCTGGTTCCAGTGCTCGGTCTGGCCATCCATTGATAGGCACCAAGCCCCTCTGGGCCCCGATACAGCTCTTCTCGGCAATCGCATCCCGCCCATCACTTCGGCTCAGTCACCCAACACTTTGATTTCGCCTTCAACACTCTTCGACATCTTCGATGGTGCGCGATGCTTGCTCGAAGCTTGGCACGGTTGTCCCAATACCTCACGCATAGATTGCGGGACATCTCCCACATTCGGCGGACAATAGGGCCACTTGATGCCGTTTGTCCAAGCGCGTGCATCGCTCCATGCCACACCGACGTAGCCGGTCTTGCCCGATTAGGTATCAAACCTCGCGGCGTGACTTCAATGATGGATACCGGTCCGAAGTGTCTCGTATGTTTCTCTTCATCTCCGCATTCGGCATGACGTCACTCTACCAATGGAATTGATACGTGCCACTCGGTGAGGCAGACTCGTGTAGGACAATGCAAAGCCCCTCGTACTAGTGTGCCACTCTTGATAGTCGTAGCGTCCCTTGTGTAGTATAAAATCTGGCATACTTCTCTCCAAAAATATAAGATCCAGTTCCCCCCTCGAGTTCAGAGCTCATAAGTCGAGTTCGCCCTGCATCTAAGCCCTTAACTGCGTCACTTTGTTCCTCGCTACATAACCTCGAAACCTCGTCTACTGCGTTTACTCGTCGATACCATCTCGACGAACCTTTCAACTTCGGCTATTGTCGAAGAACTGTGTTGCACCTCGAACCGCATTCTAGCTAAGTCCACCCTATTGAATTGTGTCTCTTCCCTCTACGATACATTGAAGAGCTCTGCCGAGCTTCGATTGTCTCTACCATCCCCCGCTAACTACCCACAGCCTCCGAGTAGCTTTGACGATGTGTCGAGCCACCTCGTACCTTCCCTAGCGTTTGTAGCCTTTTCCGAGGGTGTTTCTCATATTCACTCGAACTGCGGGACACCTTGCTGCTAACTCCCCTCTCACTGAAACAATAACCTGCCTCTAGTCCTTTTAGGTTGTACCCAGGTTAGGGGTTAGGGTGTTGTAGATCACATCACCGTCTGAGGGTGGAATGCTGTGGAAAGCACTGGCTCGATCCCGAGTCCCTTGTACACCGCATGGAGATACTTTGAAGCAAACTGGGGACCTCGGTCTGATATGACCTTGGCCGGGGCCCCATGATGCTTGAACACATTGTGGATGTACAGATCTGCTGCACCTTCTGCTGTCAGGGTCTCATGACAGGCTGAGAAGTGGACCTGCTTGGTAAAGCGGTCGGCGGTGACCAGGATCAAGTCGAATCCATTAGACTTTGGCAAGCCAATGATCATATCGGTCGTGATGATCTGCCATGGGTGCTTGGGGATCTCGCTCGGCTTCAGCGGTCCCTGGGGCTTGGCTGGGAATGTCTTGGTACGGTTGCATACGTCACAGGTGCTTATGTACTCGTTGACGAATTTAGACATTTCTGGCCACCAGTAGTTCCGTGACACGAGCTCAAGGGTTTTGGCACGACCGCCATGACCAGTGATCGGCGAGTTGTGGTGGATCTTGACAATATCCTGCTGGAGCTCCGCGTTCCTTGGGACGTATACACACCCATGGAACAGCAGAAGCCCTTGGTCGGCATTCCACTCCTCAAAGCCCCTTTGCAGCCAGGGCGGCCCGAGGTCCTGCACCTTTTCAAGTGCCTTGGCCACTACACGATCCTTCTCTGAACATTCCCTGATGCGTTTCATAAGCGACTGATCAACTGTTACTGAGGCATGGCCGCGCCTGGCAAAGGTGATGTGGAAGCGCTCTGGTTTGAGAACCACCTGATCGGTGTTATTGTCCTCATCACCAATCTGATGATCTGGCCGGCAGGACAGGGCATCGGCCTTTCCATTCGACGTCCCGGCTTTATGCATGATGTGGAAGTCAAAGCGAGCCAGGAATAATGACCAGTGTGCTTGGCGATGCGTGAGATGCTGGGATGTACGGCTGTCACGACTTGGCACGGCGCCTAGCCATTTTTTAATTTTTTCCTTTTTGCGGGCTCGAACCCGCAACCTCTGTACTACATACCGGATATGGACACGTCGTTATCTACTGTACGATTAGATTAGATAGGACGGCAGTGTGCAGCACAGCTCGGGCTCCGCTGACACAGCCTCTCTGACTCACCGGCCCCCGGGGCCGCGTCGGCATGCTGCGCACGGACCAGCTGCGCACGGACCAACGCGCACAGCCTGCCCTAATCTCCCCATGTATATAAACCGGCCTCTGCTGCCCTAGGGACCTCAGTTTCGACCTCTTGTCCCTAGGTCAGTAAGCCCCTCATGTATTCTCTTTCTTACTTAACTAACTAATACATTTCTTGTCCCTAGCCTTAGGTTTGAGCGTCGCTCACCATCGCTCCGGTGAGAATCAGTCGAATGCCCCCAGCTCCTTTTCGGTTTTCCCCTGTCGCTAGACCTCAAGTCGCAACAACACCAGTACTCGAGGTTCTTATGATTGGTCACGATCTTGAACTGATTGGGTAACCCCTCGAGATAGTGGCACCAATCATCCAGCGCCTCAATGATTGCGAGCATCTCCTTGTTGTAGATCTCATAGTTTTGCTGCGCTGGATCCATCACATGGGATCGGAAGGCTACTGGGTGCCATTTACCGTCATCCTGCTTCTGCATCAACATGCCACTGGTGGCATACCCTAAGGCATCGACTTCGATGCACGTCTCCCGGTTAGGGTCGTATAGCGCCAAAACTGGAGTTGTTGCAAAGAGTTGTTTGAGCTCATCAAAGGCGTGCTGCTCCTCTTCACCCCAATGCCATAGGTCGTTCCCTGTAAGCCGGTTGAGTGGTCACGAGATCTTAGCGAAGTCTTTGATGAAGCGGCAGTAGAAGTTGGAGAACCCCTGGAACTTCTGAACATCCTTTTTGTTCCGGGGTACCGGCCACTCATTAATTCCTTTTAGCTTCGCGGGATCCATCACTACCTCATTGCCACCGAACACATAGCCAACGTAGTCGACCTTGGGAACATCCCATTCGCATTTCTCAGGCTTCAGGAATAGATCATTGTTTTGAAGGCGACAAAGAACCTCGCGTGTGACCTTTTCATGCTCCTCTTTGTTGGTGGAGAAGATGAGTATATCATCCAGGTACACAAGGATCTTTCCGCCGACGATGAGATCATGGAAGATCTCATTTATCATGGCCTGGAAGGTTGCAGGAGAATTGGTGAGGCTGAAGAACATCACCAGAGGTTCGTACAGCCCCCAGTTAGTCATGAATGCCGCCTTTCATTTGTCACTGGCTTTGATCCGGACATTGCTATATCCCCATCTAACATCAAACTTGGTAAAGAGCGTGGCGCCACGGAGCTTGTCTACCATTTTGGCGATTAGTGGCAGCGGGTAGCGATTTTTGACGGTGATCATGTTCAGCTGGCGGTAGTCCTGCACGGGTCGAAGCATCCCTTCCTTCTTTTTGATGAAGAAGAAAGGGGACGAAATTGGCGACTTCGACTCCTGTATGTAACCCTTCGCCAGCTGCTCCTTTAGGAACTTGTCGAGTTTCTCCTGCTCGTTGTTTGACAAGGGATACACCTTCAAGTGGAACATCGAATAGCCGGGCACAAGCTTGATCGCGTGATTATAAGGCTTCCTTTCGGGTAGCCATTCTGATGCTTCTTTGGAGAAAACCTTCAGAAACTCGTGGTACTGTTTGGGCACCGACTCCTCAGTGGTCTTGACGACCTTCTTCTTGATCTCCTCCTCAGCGAATAGCTGGGAATACGTATTCCCAGCTGCAACGAACAGCTGGGGAGCACCAGGAAGCATAATGCCTTGCTCCCAGGCCTCGATCAAGTTGGCTTCATCCCATTCAACATTTACCAGATCTTCTTCGGGTTCGAAGTCCGGGAGTACCTTACTCCGGCAAGTGCCTATAATTGACCGTTTGGACTTCGGCAAACGCCTGCGTGCCATGAGCCTGACCCCCGTATCACACGCAGTCGCTGCTTGCTCCATTTGGCCAGTCCTCCTGGCACTGCATGTTTCAGGGCATCGTGACAATTTGACGGAGCCTTTCTCCCAATCAATTTCAGGGTTATGCTCGCATAGCCAGTCCAACCCGACAATCACATCCTCTGGACCTATGTCCGTGACTGTAAACACTGTCTTCTTGACATGTTCTCCTATCTGCATCTGTAGCACGGCTACTTCTGAGATGCTTCCGTCTTTATTCAGGGTGCCATCGATATTATAGAGCAGAATGGGCTCCTTCAGCCTCTGCGTCTGCACCTTATTCTCTATGACAAATCACTTGTTGATAAACTTTGTGGTGGCTCCGCTGTCCACCATAGTGATTATGTCTTTGTGCCATCTTTTTCCTTGAAGTCTTACTGGAATGTGAAAGTGCTGAGACCCCTGGTCCAACCCATACACCATTGCAGAAGACAATACATTGTACTTGTTACATGATACTCGCGACCTGACGCATGCGGCACAAAGCGCGGACTGGATCAAAAAGACTCCTCCTTCATTGCTCGGTAGTGCTCGAGCTCCTCGCACATCGACTTTATATGTGCTATTAAGTCCGCCAGCTCAAAACTATCCAATTTTGCTAAAGCGGCACTTGTACTCGCCGAGGATGAAGCGACGGGGGCGCTTGTCGCCACCTGGGTGGAACCCAAGGCAACCGTAGCCTGCGCGTCAGCGTGTTTTGTGTAAGGCTTGTCCTTACAGTTGAGGCACTCAAAACGTCGGTACCCTTGCTTCCCACAGCCAAAGCATTCGCCTGGAAAGTCACCTTTTCTGACGGCCACATTGATGCTGGCCGAAGCTCCTTGTGGTCGGGGTGCACCACCACGTGCCCCACCGCGTCCTCGACCTTGTGCCGAGAAGAAGTTGTTCAACTCAGTGATAGGCGCCAAGCCCCTCTGGGCCCCAATTCACCTCTTTTCGGCAGTCGCATCCCGCCTGGCACTTCGACTCAGTCTCCCACCACTTCGATTTCGCCTTCGACGCTCTTCGACACCTTCGGCGGCGCGCGACGCTTACTCGAAGCTCGGCATGGTCGTCCCGACGCCTCGTGCGTAGATCTCGGAACATCTTCCGCATTCGGCGAACAATAGGGCCACTTGACACCGCTCAGCCAAGCGCGCGCATCGCTCCAAGCCACACCGATGTAGCCGGTCTTTCCCGATTAGGTATCGAACCTCGCGACATGCCTTCAACGACGGACACCGGTCCGAAGTGTCTCGCATGTTTCTCTTCATCTCCGCGTTCGGCATGACGTCACTCTACCGATGGACTTGGTATGTGCCCCTCGGTGAGGCAGCTTCTTGAGGAACAATGCAAAGCCCCTTGTACCAGTGTGCCACTTTCAAATAGTCGTAGCGTCCTGTGTAGTATAAAATCTGTCGTACTTCTCCCCAAAAATACAAGATCCGGTTCCCCCCTCGAGTTCAGAGCTCATAAGTCGAGTTCGCCCTGCGTCTAAGCCCAAAACCGCGTCACTTCGTCCCTCACTGCATAACCTCGAAACCTCATCCACTGCGTTTACTCGTCGATACAGTCTCGACGAACCCTTTGACTTCGACGATTGTCGAAGAAACTGCGAACCGCGTCCTAGCTAAGTCCCCCCCCTTCGAGTCGTGTCCCTTCCTTCTACGATACGTCGAAGAGCTCTGCCGAGCTTCGATCGTCTCCACTAGCCACCCCCAGCCTCCGAGTAGCTTCGACGACGTGTCGAAGCCACCTCGTAGCTTCCCCATTGTTCGTAGCCTTTTTCCGAAGGCATTTCTCATGTTCACCCGAACCACGGGACACCTTGCTGCTAACTCCCCTCTCACTAAGACTATAATCCGGCTCTCTAGTCCCTTTAGGTCGCACCCAGGTTAGGGGTTAGGGTTCTGTAGGTCATATCATCGGGCCGACGTGCCTGGCTAATGTCAAGGATCTGCTCGACCTCAGTGGTGCGCTTCTCAGCTTCTTGCCACGTGGTGAAGGCCTCAAGCTCAATCTTTTGGTAGACATGGGAGGGGATGTCGCTCAGGTACTTGTCGCGTAGTTCTAGGTCCCCATACCCAGAACGGTCCGCCGGACCCTTGAACAGCGCGGAGAACTCTGCAGCAGTGCATTTTTCACAGACCGACTTGTCCACACAGAGTTTTGCCAACTCTACTTGTGCCGCTGCCTCATCGTTGAGGTTACCAAAGCAAGCCTTGAAGGTAGCAGTGAAGGCTGCTTCGTTCCGGAATGGGGTCTTGACTCCTTGTACACCCATCTGCACTGATGCGAGCTGGGAGAAGTAAGGAGTGGCCCAGGTGCAGGCATCACCATTGAGCAGGCTGAACGCAACCTGCACCTTGAGTTCAATGGTTGTCCATGATGTGTTGACCAACCAATAGATGCGGAGTTGTGACAGGAACCTGTTGCATTCGATGACGGTCTTGCCATCGTATCAGAGTGGGAGGAGAAGCTTTAAGGTCTCCTTGTCAGGGGCAGTCGCAGGGGAAGACATTATCGATGGCAGGAGGGACAGAGGACGGCGCGGGGGCGGAGGCGGCTGTGGTGGCCCTTTGCTGGTTGGACTTCCAGGGGAACAAGTGCACAAGCCGCCTCGTGGCGGTGACAGCGGTGAAGGTGCTGGAGGAAGCCCAGAGGAGGGGTTACGTATGTCAGGGACTGCTGACGTGGAGGCAAGCACTGTCAGTGAGGTGGACTGAGCAGAATCCGCAGACTCAGACTCCGAGACTCCTTCTTCACCCGCACCCTTCTCAGGCTCAAGCTCTGGTGCAGGGTCTGAAGGGAGATCTCCTCGCATTTGACTTGGACTGGCAACAGTTTGGGGGAGGTAGGAGCTGGGGGAGACAGGGCGAGAATGTCGTGAGGTGGATCGGGAGGCGAGGGTGCTACGGGAGCCAAGCGGATGTTGGGCCCTTCTGATCACCTTGTACCATGGGTAATCCTGCTCGATCGATCGGGGTGTCCGATTGGGGCACAGCTGCTGCTCACAGGTGAGGATGATAGTCTCAGGGCCATCTGGGATGTAGACGTCGACGAGGTCCTGAGAGTCGAAAGCGTGAACTTGGCCTTGACAGGCAGCCACAATGGAGGGGGGGAGGACGGGGAGGTGCACGTACTACGAAAGGCTGTGCTAATCTAGCTTACACCTACGGCGCTCAAGATGACACTGAGATTTACAGTTCACATAGGGCCCAATACTGCTTTTGACTATTATGCAGCAGGAACCAAGGCTATGCATCCATGAGAACAAGTACCGCCCACTGAAGTGTAGGTACTGAAGAGTTTGTTTCCTGAGTGGTGGCAATGTACAGTAGGCTATCTACGTATCATAGGGTATAGTAAGGGTGCACACCACCCAACCTATAGGAAAGAAAAGTGTGAGTGTGTGGGTTCCGAGGAACACCGGCCGCTATGGGAGTTTTGACCTAATGTCGCGACTTAAGGTCAAGCGACAGGGGAAGATCTAAAAGCGGGGGGTGTTTGACTGGTTCTCACCGAAGCGATGGTGAGCAGCGCTCAAACCTAAGGCTAGGGACAAGTAAGTTAGCATTGAAAAGGTAAGTAAGTACATGGGCTTACTGACCTAGGGACAAGAGGTCGAAACTGAGGTCCCTAGGGTAGCAGAGGCAGGCTTATATACAGGGGAAGTTTACAGAAGGCTGTGCGCACTGGTCTGTGCACAGCTGGTCCGTGTGCAGCATGCTGATGCAGCCCCGGGGGCCGGTGAGTTAGGGAGGCTGTGTCAGCAGAGCCCGAGCTGTGCCGTGCACTGCCATTCTATCTAATCTAATTGTACAGTAGATAGCAATGCGTCCATATCAGGTATGTAGTACAGAGGTCACGGGTTCAAGCCCGCAAAAAGGAAAAATTAAAAACGGCTAGACACCGTACCAAGTCATGACATTACCCCCCCCCTCAACGGCGCATGACCTCATGCGAGGCACCCTTGCCCATCTCCCACCCAGAGCGGCAGCGTGCTTCAGTCAGCGGCGAAGGCATTGGCTGAAAGTTGAGACCATTGAATGTAGCAGCATTGAGTCGACAAGGGGCGTTCAGATTCTTCCGGTGGAAGTCGGCTATGAGGGCCGGCGCATTGGCAACATTGCACGCCGGTTCTCATGACGTATGCGAGTCGTCATAACCCTTCCACTTGACGAGGTACTGCAGCTGACGCCGGAAGATCCGCGAATCCTTGATCCGCTCAACCTCGTACTCCTCGTCCCCTCAACCTCGATTGCAGGTGGTCCCTCCGGCTCCCGGCCCGGGATATCGCTATGCGTGTACTTGCTAAGCAAGGAGACATGGAACACCGGGTGTACCGGCACCGACTTCGGCAGGACTAATTCATAATCCAAGTCTCCGAGCTTCCTCCGCATGGCATATGGTCCAAGGTGCTTGGGACTGAGCTTCTTGCTCGGCTGTTTCAGCTTAAGGTTTCGAGCGTCAAGCCAGACCTTGTCCCCCGGCGCAAAGACCGGTGCCTCTTGCATGTGCTTATCGTAGTACACCTTCATACGCTTGGCTGACAGCTCAAGCGCAGAGCGCGTATCATCGCGGATCTCCTTCAGGATCTTGAGACGATCAGCGGCCGCGGGCATTGCCGACATCGGGTTGATCCGCACTTGGATCTCAGGATGGTACCCTTGATGCAGGAAGAATGGGGAGTGCCCGGTCCCGGAGTGAACTCGGTTGTTCAGCGCGAATTCCGCGAGCGGCAACTGCTTTGCCCAATCATCCTGCCTGTGGCTGGTGAAAGCACGCAGGTACTGCTCGATCTCCTGATTCCAGCGCTCAGTCTGGCCGTCTGTCTGAGGGTGGAACACTGTGGACAGCGCCGACTCGATCCCTAGTCCCTTGTACACCGCATGGAGATACTTTGAAGCAAATTGGGGACCTCGGTCTGATATGACCTTGGCCAGGGCCCCATGATGCTTGAATACATCGTGGATGTACAGATCTGCCGCACCTTCCGCCATCAGGGTCTCATGATAGGTCGAGAAGTGGACTTGCTTGGTGAAGCGGTCGGCGGTGACCAGAATCGAGTCGAACCCATCAGACTTCAGCAAGCCAATGATCATATCTGTGGTGATGATCTGCCATGGGCGCTCGGGGATCTTGTTCGGCTTCAGTGGACTCTGGGGTTTGGCTGGGAATGTCTTGGTACGGTTGCACACGTCGCAGGTGCTTACGTACTCATTGACAAATTTAGACATTCCTGGCCACCTATCACAAAACCTACAAACCCACCTTATAGCTTGATAGTTAGGGGGGGAGATAAAGCACTTAAGTATGGGGGAGGTAATGCTGTTAAGCACAACAATGAAGTGAATAGAACTGGGGGACAGTGTCACGACTTGGTACGGCGTCTAGCCGTTTTTTAATTTTTTCCTTTTCGCGGGCTCGAACCCGCGACCTCTGTACTACCTGCCGGATATGGACGCGTTGTTATCTACTGTACGATTAGATTAGATAGGACGGCAGTGCGCGGCACAGCTCGGGCTCCGCTGACACAGCCGCTCTGACTCACCGGCCCCCGTGGCCGCGTCGGCATGCTGCGCACGGACCAGCTGCGCACGGACCAGCGCGCACAGCCTGCCCTTATCTCCCCATGTATATAAGCCGGCCTCTGCTGCCCTAGGGACCTCAGTTTCGACCTCTTGTCCCTAGGTCAGTAAGCCTCCATTTGTATCATTTCTTACTTTACTAACTAATACATTTTCTTGTCCCTAGCCTTAGGTTTGAGCCTCGCTCGCCATCGCTTCGGTGAGAATCAGTCGGACGCCCCCAGCCTTCAAGTTTTCTCCAGTCGCTTGACCTCAAGTCGCGACATTAGGTCGAAACTCCCCAAGCTGCCGGCGTCCCCTCGGGACTCCCTATATTCACTTTCCTTTCCCACAGGTCGGGTGGTGCGCACCCCTACGATACTTCACGGTACATACGATACATAGATAGCTTTACTATACATCGCCAACCCTCGGGGAACGAACTCTTCAACACCTGCACTTCAGTGGGCGGTGTTTGTCCTCACGGACGCGTGGACTAGGTTCCTGCTGCATAATAGTCAAAAGCAGTACTGGGCCCCACGTGAACTGCGAACCTCAGGGTCTTCTCGGGCGCCGTAGCGTAAGCTAGTGTAGTACGGCCATTTTTAGTACGCGCACCTCCCCGTCCTTCCCCCATCCAACGTGGCTGCCTGCCAAGGCCAGATCCACGCATTCGACTCCCAGGACCTCATCGACGTCTACATCCCAGACGGCCCTGAGACTGTCCTCTACCATTGCGAGCAGCAGCCGTGCCCAAATCGGACACCCCGATCAATCGAGGAAGATTACCCTCGTTACAAGGCGATCCGACGAGCGCAACACCCGCTCGGACCCCGAAGCACTCTCGCATCTCGATCGGCCTCGCGGCACTCTCGCCCTGTCTCCCCTACCTCCCGCCTCCCTCAAACTGTCGCCGATCAAGTACAAGGAGATCTCCCTCCAGACCCTGCGCCAGAGCCAGAGCCTGAGGAGGGTGCAGGTAAAGAAGGAGTCTCGGAGTCCGAGTCCGAGGATTCTGCTGGGTCCACCTCGCCGACAGCGCTCGCCCCCGCGTCAGCAGTCCCTGACGTACGTAACCCCCCCGCCGAACTTCCTTCGGCGCCTTCACCGCCGACTCCGCCGAGAGGCCGCTCGAGCACTCGCTCCTCTCGAAGTTCGGCCAGCGGAGGGCCACCACAGCCGCCTCCGCCCCCGCAGCGTCCTCCGTCCCCCCCGACGCCGATAATGTCGTCTCCTGCAGCCGCCCCCGACAAGGAGACCTTGAAACTCCTCCTCCCGCTCCGCTACGATGGCAAGACCGTCATCGAATGCAACCGGTTCCTGTCCCAGTTGCGCATCTACTGGCTGGTCAACACGTCATTGACCACCATCGAACTCAAAGTGCAGGTCGCACTTAGCCTGCTCGATGGAGACACCCGCGCCTGGGCCACTCCCTACTTTGCCCAGCTTGCATCAGTGCAGGTGGGGGTGCAAGGGGCCACGACCCCATTCGCAAACAAAGCGGCCTTTG